AAACTCTGCTTTCAGTCTAAATGGCGCAGTCCTCATTCTCATGCCACTTAATGCAGCTGATTTGACGAGAACCATGTCATCCAAAGCACCTTTCTCATTACCCACTGTTACAGCAACCATTCTTTTTATCAAATAGCGTGATAAGAAGAAAAACAAATCTGTCATTTCCTTGTGAGGAGTTGAATGATCCCCAACTTAGCGGTCTGCTTCAGCCTGTCTCAACAATGGAGGAGCCTTGAGCTGATCAGTTTTCTGACCTGTACATTTGATAGCACCAAGTGCTGCAGTGTGTCTGTTTCCACCATCTGGAGTGTTATCAACATATTGAAAGTGACAGCGGGAATATTGTTCAAATGTTATCCAATGCTCTGCTTTCACTGATGTTACACTAGGATACACATGGCTTTAATCTTCTTACCACTCTTCCATCTATACAAATGGTGTGACCTTTCTGGGCGGTGACACTGTCTTCTATCTGCCGGCCATGTTTTGCTGTCAGTGCTACTCATACATATGGACTGATCAGTGTGGATTTTTGCAAGCGCTATTGTGCCAATTCTGGGAGGTCTGCCAGCCGGCGTACAGCATGCGTGCCTTCACCGCGAGGGACAAAACGGAAATGACAAGGCAATCGCCATTCTGTCAGCATTGCCATGGAAGCACAGGCATGGCTGTTTATCCCAAGGTTAATGGGATGACGTCTGGAACTGAAAGTGCCAGATTGAGAGAAACATGTGCCTGTTTTACTTAAAACAAGTAGATTGCAAAGGCAGTGTCACATCACTCTGAGGAAAGCCCTGGGCAGGTCAGAGGAACAAAATGAATATATAACACGACCCATCCTACTACGAGCACGTATCCTAATGTAATAAAGACATGATTGGATTTCTATAAAATCCCGATTTCAATGTGATGCTATACACACACACACCCATACATAATGTGTATGTGGACATACTGCAAAGTGAGCAAAGCCGAAGACTTTTATTGGACTATAAAGGGCTCGATAACAACCATTATTTCTGAGAAAGCAAAAGGATAAATGTGGGCAAGTGGAGATTTTAGCATTAAATCTCCAAGGATCTGTGCGGTTGAACTTGTTGAGATGTTTTTCTATTTTTTTAGGGATAGCTGAACGGATGTTTCGTCTTAGTTTTAGTTCAGTTTCTGAATTCACATGTGAGCTGTTTTCTGTATGATATGCACATACAAATGTGGTGTGGTACGCATGCGGCAAGGACACGGGACTGCACAAATGAGCAGCTTGTCACTCGTCTCATGCGCTTGCTGGCTGTCACCTCCCCTGTAAACAGCTGAGCGTATGAATCAGGCCGAACAATTTATCTAAGCCGTCCTTCCAACGTCGTTTTTTTTCCCCATGTGTGCAAACGCAGATCTGACTCTCATTGTATAGCAAGTGAAATTTTAGTCAAGGTAAACAGATTTTAATTACACTGCAAACAATATAACCAATATAATCTATTTGTAATTATAACCTAAACAACATATGCTGCAGCCACAGGTACCCAACAAACAAAGTAATCATAGCATATCTGATTATCTTTTGATTAAGATGGTATTATGACTTAAGCTCAGTACTTTCTTTTTAATCATTCTCCAACCTATAATCACATTTGAGAGCTGTTGTGTGCAAGTAACAATTTTCGAAGACCCAGTAATCATTCATTCAATTTTGAAAATGGAGAACATTTATTTTATTTTCTTGTCTACAAACGGCCTCATGACTCGGACGACCACATTTGTAATTAGTTAACAACTGTTTCAGAGTAATTGTCAGTTCTATGCTTTGTTGTTTCAGATCATGTATTCTTCTGATTCCGTGGAAATATCCCTGAAAAACAGGCTATAATATCATCGCGCCATTTTTTAAATTTTTTCAAACCAGACATTGATTTTTAAAAAGTTTACCCCATGAATTCCCCCTATACGTATATAAAAGGGTTGTTCCATAAAGACTGGGAAGCCTGAGCTGTTTTACATATGCTGAGTGAGGCTGATGCGTTATCTTTCAGTTAGCATATGGAACAAGGGCTTATTTTAAATGTCTTCACCTCAGCCTCGCAAAGAGTCACAGCTGCAGTTGGACAGACTTAACCACAAGAATTATAGTCTGGTTCTGATGAATGGCAATGAGACAGATTAATCGACTGCTGTGCAACCCTCACTTATCTGATTTTAGGACCGCTCCTCCCTCTCTGTTCTTAAAAGGCAGAATTATCCCTCCAGCAGTAAATGGGATGTAATTTGTGTTTGAATGGAAAATTAGCAAAAGATTACACTTTTTCTTCCTTTCCTTTTTTTTTTAAACACTGTTACACCCTGAACTGGAAAGGCACAGGAAAAAGACCCCTCCTCTACAGTTTTGCCCAGTTTTGGGGGCTTCAAAGTGCATTAGATCTACAACAAATTTTGTCTCTTTCTTGTGATCAAACCTCACGATCAAGTTTCGTGAAATTCAGGGTCTTACTTTTCTTATACACTGAACATGTCTTCTTAGAGAAAGTGCTGTGCTTGTAAATGCTACTCAATAATAAATCCAGGTCTGTTTCTTTCATTTAGATTTTATTTTTAGATATGACATTCCAGGTTTTGGGTCTTATTTGTTGATCTAATTAAGATCAAAATCATCTGTTCTGGACCTTAACTCAAAAGGACAAATTAAAAAGCAAGAAAAAAAGCAATCGTGTAAGTGAACTATTTTCAAATGTATTTATTTTTAAAAAACAACTGAGAGAAGCACATTCTTGTTTGGGAAACTGTGGTCTTCACAGCTGTAGGTACTGTACCTGGGACACTTCTGTCAAAGAAAATATACAATTCTTGCAAACACAAATTCAGTAGATATAAGCCAAAGCCACTCGTACTATACCTTAGGGTATGTGGCACGTCATCAATAGTCTTTCCCAGAACTCTGTACTCTGACTATATGGCAAACTTGCTGTTTCAGTTTGAGCTCCAAATTTTTTTTGTCCAAGGCATGGAAATGGAACTTTTTATTTATATTTCAGATCAATGAAAACATAATATTCATCTTAAAATGGATAGATGTAAAGAATGGGACTTTTAAGGTATTTATTTTCTAAAAAGGCTATGTAAGAAAACTTATTGGAGTCATCGTAGATTAAAGCTAAATGTGATAAGTTCCAAATCATCCTTGAATGTTGGAGATGCAGCAGAAAGCGCAGAAAGACCTCTGAAATCCTTTTCTCGCCTTCTTTTTGAGCCTGCGGTTTGGTTTCTAGCTCTGCTTTGGCTCCCACTTGCAAAGCTGTTTCTCCCATTCGATGTGTAACTTTTTTTTTTTTGGAGCTATTCCGTATTGATGAAGCCGTTGATTCAAAGTGAGATTGATCTCATACTCGCATGGTTTTCACATTACAGTGAGTCAATTGTTTCATTGATTTAAAGAGAAAAAAAAAAAAAACGCTTCACACAGCTTTAATCTTTTAATCAAAATATTGTGTAAGAAAGCCACAGGCATTAAGGGGGCCTCAAACTGTTCTATTTTATGCTGCAAGGTTTTGGCCAAAGTGTTATCAAGAGCAAATGAAATGGAAAGGGAAATGACAAATGAGTAGACATTTTCCCCACACAAAGGCTTAATAGAAACTTTTGTGCAAATAACACTTTTATCTGAAATTGTAAACATTTGCTTCATTTTATGTAAATCCTCTGTGTGTTTATGATTGGCAAGCCACTCTCAATGGCTTCATGGCATTAGTGTTTCATTCATGATGGGCTTTATCCCAGAGTATGAAATATTGGGGTTGTACGGGCACAGTTTTATAAACTATAATCATGGCTGACAATTTTAATCCTGCTTACTAATGCAGTCATTAGTTCAAAATGCTGCTCACAGTCATCGTAATATTCAGTGCCATTCAGGCCTAACCCGTTCACAACTCTGCAGCTGATGCTCAGTGCACTTCATCATCCTTCCAGTTACTGGACAGATATGAGGAACTCTTTTATTAATCTCTCCAATGAACATGTCCCTGTGCCCTGAATATAAAAGGCACTTGTACAAAATGTCTGTCTGTATAACCCCCCCACAGTGCGTGTTGTTCTCTGGTAGTGTTTTGAACTGATTCTGTTTCAAAGTGTCTTTTTGAAGGATCTGAGTTCAGTCTGTTTTGCTGCAAGGTGTTTATACATACCAAGACATAAAGCCACTCTTGATTCCTGTTTTTTTTTTTTTTTTTAAAGTCAAAAGGAGCTCTCATATCTTTTTTATGAGCTCATGGCAAAGTTGTCCTTTATCTGTAGGGAACGAGATCATGAATATTGTGGTAACCCAGAAAAGTTAAAATCCGTGCACGCTTCCTTGTTCCCCTGATCCCTCAGCTTTTGTTGTTGCAATGGCCAATTGTACCCTGGAAGAGATCAAGGGGACCCCTGTCGGTTGTGGATTATTCCTTTGTAGAAGCGCCACTGTAGGGGATAGAGGATTAAAAGAGCAGACACTGGATGGGGATTCTACAGGAAGTTAGTTTGCAGCACACACTGCGCATGAATTGTTAACGTAAAGAATTTTCTATTTAAAAGACTATTGACTATGGTTTCTTTTATTCAAGAGAGAAAAAGCGGAGGCTCCGGGCTGTGGTTCAGGGCTAGTGTCGCACCACAGGAATATGACTCATTTGGATATTTTTATTTCAAACGGACAATTAGCGCTGCAATTGTTTGTACCCAGATGAGGAATTTTTTATTGTGTTCACATGTTTTCCCAGCTGAGGGAGGGTGCGGCGGGGGGGGGGGAAACGAGAGGGCACTGCAGCTGAATGAATATGAAAGAATCTTTGTCCTCTTTCTTCCCGCCGCTGCCGTTGCCCCGTGGGCTGCTGCTGCTGCCGCGGTGACTTCATTGTTAGTGTTTCTAATTGAATCAGAGGCATGCTTGATGTCCGCAGATAAAGGTGATCACAGCGAGCTGATCTACTTCCCTCACCCTCTGCATCTTGTGGATTCTGTTTTTTTTTTCTGCAGGAAGCCACGGACCCCGAGGCTGGGCAGCGCTGTACCCAGAGTGTGCCGCTAACAACCAATCACCTGTGGATATTATAGATGACCACGCCTCAGTTTCGGAGGAGTACCAGGAGTTGGTGCTCGATAAGTTCAACGTTGAATCGTCCAACCAAACCACCATGAAAAACACCGGGAAAACAGGTTTGCATCAGAAATGCTTAATGTACTATGTGATTATACGGATTTGTGTTTAGTCACATAACACGGCTCGAGATGCTTCTCCTCTCTAACACAGACAACTGTTGCTGCATGGAGTTATTACAGAGTTCTTTAAAAAAAAAAAAACGAAAGAAGAAATGATAATGAAAGCCCCATTTTTAAATTGAACTTTTAAGATGTTTGGATCAGTGGGATGAAGGATCTTAGTGTTCCAGTTATAGAATGAGCTAGGCTTGCCAAAAATGCACATCCCATATAGACGCTGCATCTTTAAACAAGGCTTTTCAATTGAATTTGCAGACTATGTATTTTCACGTCCTCTAAAGGTAATATTGGAAATGCACGCCACTCTTAAAATATGAAAGCTGACATTTACATTGAGCGTGCACTTATTGGTAACCTCCTCATTGCCGGGGCCCTTCCAGTCGCAGGGATTGGAAGGAGATCCCATTCCGGCTTCTGGGAGATGCAGCCTTAAATCGACACCGAGGAGGTTAACACACAGTTCATAATTGCAGAGATATACTCAATTCAGTTTTCTAACACGTAAGCAGGAACACTAGATAGACCTCTGGGCTGGAAGAAGTTAAATTGGACAGCTCTGAAGTGCCAAAGCTTCAAACCGAGCATTTCAGTGTACAGCTGTCGATAAAACATTAAATACAGCCGTATTGATGGTATGCTGTCTGAGTCAGTTTGAAGGTGAAAGTAGTTCAAAGCATCCAGATAGGGGCAGTCACAGTGTAAAAAGAAAGAGAGCAGGGGGAAATCAAATGAACAGTATAAACGGCCAATGGAAGTGTAAGAATAGTACAATACCACCAGCACTGTGTCAGGAACAGGGCACTTGAGATGCTGAAAAATCTATCAACATAAACAGGTAAACAAAGTGACACCGAGTTGAGGGGAGCATTGTCCAGCAGCCACTCCGGGCTCTGTGAGGGGACAGGTGTGTGGGAAGTGACTGAGGCATGAGTGACGGGGTTGAAAGAGCTAATGGTGGATGGATATCATCAAGGATATCTTTAAATCACTATTTATTCGGTACAGAAAGGAAAAAAGTAAACACGCTTCGCAAGCCTCAAACAACTCTGCGGTTTTATTCAAACACACACCTCTTATCATCTGTATGTCTTTTTTTTTTTTTAACTGCATCCATTGCTTTCATGATCTTAGCCATAACTCAGCATTCTCTTTGCGCGCACATCCTTGCGTGGCGTGTTTACAGATTCGTTTTCAATCTTGTTCAATTAGCTGCTTCATAAAAATCACAGCGCAAACTTTTTTTCTTCTTCTTTTTTTTTTTTTCTTCCCGCTTTAATGCAGCAAATGCGTGATACATTTGGTGTGAAAAGCCTGACCCTAATTGATGTGTCTGCTTTTGGCACAGTTTCTGATGAGAGTGGTGTCATCTTTTGCGTTTGATCATAATGAGAGTTGTTAGCCTCCATGACAACCAAGGCCACTGACACAGCCGAGCAATGCTGCCGGCTGCTTATTTACCAAGATGGAAGTAACATGGGTCGGTGTAATTTTGAGCACACACAATACAAGAGGATCGTAAGTGCCTGTGAAAATAAGGGAAAAGTGGAACCGCATTATCACAAAATATTCCAAGACAAAGGTTTTTTTTAGAAAAGGTCAATGCAAAATTCAGCAGCGTATTGTGAAATTGATTTAAAATCAGTGTCTTGAACTCAAGGCCCCCTTTCTTTTTTCTTTTTTGTGACGCAGGTTGAAAGTATTGATTGGCCCCCCAAAAAAAGGAAAAGTAACTATAGATTAAATAGAAGAATTATCAGCCTATTTCGAAAAAAAGCAAATAAACAAGCTATGTAAGCCTTTTTTTCTTCTTTTTTTTATTTACCCTCACCCATCTATACAGTAAGATGGCCAGCCCCTAAAAATATCTGCAAATTGACCATCTAACAAAAAAAAAAATTAAATCCCACGGCTCCAGATGCAGGAGACTTTAAGTGTGACATATCTAATTCTCTTATTCCATTTTACTACTGGAGCCAGGCTACATGACCTGAAATGATGTGTAGTCTAACTGAAACAGCTGAACGCTCTGCAGTTTCTGCGGGTTAATTTCCTGTCACATTACTGCTCCTCTCATAGGTAGCACCAACATCTATAGCAGACCGTGTCTGTGGTCATGACTCCCCTGAAATAATTTGTTATAGAGGTGGCCTGGTTTCTCCCCTGTATTTTCCATTGCCTCTACCTTAGATTTCGAAGCCCTTATCGCTTCAAACGTGGATGCTCGTGACATCATTTCGCAGTGTGGGTTGGTCTTTTGTCACACGAGGCATTTGACCTTCATATTCATGGGAAAGATTTTTTCAAACAACTTTGGGACGCTTTATTTTTCTCCCAATGAGTCTTTGTCCTTCAGAGTTCTCATGTTATTTTCCACATCGCCACTTTTAGTGTCTTTGTATTCTGCTCACGCCGTCCCTTTTTTCTCGCTCCTTTTCCCACATCTTTTCTATTTTAAACTCTACTTACGTTGTTAAAGACAACACCAAGCGCAAGCGATCCTTTGTTGTGATGCTGAAATGTCACTCTACATACTTAGCGATCGCTTTAATCAGTCATTATTTAGCTCAATTGATAACATTTTCTGTGATGTGGAAAAATTTAGAGCGCAAATGTCTCTGCTTTATCCCGATTAAAGAAATCTATCAGTTTTCCAGATATCTGGATCAGATATTTTCTGGCACACGGCCAGAAATGTTGGCTCCTGTTTGGGACTCTGGTGTACTGTAATGAACATTTTCAACATTATCCTATGGATTAGTCACATATGCAGCTGAATGTTAATGAATACATGAATTAATGTTTGTATCGGCTTCCATCACACTGTGCTCCATACATCATTCTAAATGCTAAATTGTCAGAACCACTCTTCATTGTTGTGTAGACGATCCTTGTCATTGTGACAAGGGTAAATGCACATAAGACTTTCCTAAAGAGCCGTTTTGATTTTTATTCCCGATGAATCGCCGTTTCCTTGTTGGATTTTTTCTTTATCCCACAGTTTACATTGTGAATCTGACCTTCCTTTTCTGTGCACATACTATACTGCACTGCATCTCTGTGCATGCTGGAAAATAAAGCCCCCCCCCCCCTCTGTCGCTCAGCCTGGGGTGGAAGTTGTCGTATTACTTGACCCGACTCGTTCTTGATGTCCGGAAGGAAATGTGTTGCTCTTAATACTCGCAATGGTCACCATCTTGCCACCAGCCCAGTCCGTTTTTCCCATTCGGTGCTGAGCCGGTAGGGGGGCTGCTGCATGGCGGGGCTTTTTAACTGAGCACCGGTGCCTGCTGAGTCCAAGAAACGCTCCATGGAAGACAGAAACCTTCGTACTGCAGGTCAGCAGCCAAACAGCAAGATCTTAGTCCCATACAAATGCAGCTAAATCCAAGCACTGGTCCAGATTGAGGTCAAGAAGGGAAGTTCATTACCTCAAAGGATTCCGAAAATGTAGTCTGACTTTGTTCTCACTGACTGAAATATTGGCATGACATAATGCCTTTTGACATTACATGAGCGTATTTTGCCGACTCCAACCTGCTTTGGCACAAGGGGGTGCTGAAATTGACTCGCTCCCCCCCCCCCCACTGAGGGGCATTAACGTCCTTCTCGCTATTCAAAAGTCAGTCTTGCAATTAAGAGCTGAGTGCAGAGATCTTAAAAGTTCACTGCAATTGATTACATGACGTTCCCTCGTGCCTTGACCTGGTTTGAGATCAGGCTGATTGGACGCCATTCATGCACCATTTCTCAACAAAACATTTCTCAGTGAGATTTCAAACAACTTTAAACCCAATTCAGGGGGAATCGGAAGGCCCCAGAGACATCTGCATTGATCAAGGATTTACTTTCACACACACCCCCCTTCTTTCACAGGCTCTGATTCAAGGTCTTTTTGGCTTAGCTTCTAATTCCTCCTCTGCTGTTTGAGGGTTCACATACACCCAGGGCTGCATTCCTAATGAAACTCCCAGGGCCAGCCGGAGTCTCTGCTCCTCGGCCTTTTCTGTGTTGCACGTAGGATTACACCGCTTCAACAACAGCACTTACCCAGATTTTTTGCTCGGCTGCAACAGAGTTTCACATTATGATAATGTTATGGGTTGTTATTTCCCATGCTGGCTGATTTTTACTTTGACCAAATGCTTTCAGTCTTGGAAATCTCCTGCATCATTTCTTCTTCTTCATGCTGTGGGCCTCCAGCTTAAACGGCACATTAATACTGCTGGCAGATTCTTTCTTGCCTCACGACATAATCTCAGTTCATCCCTCATCACACAAGGTGCTTCTTTTCTCAGATCTTCTTGTCTCTTCCTTTTGTTTCTCCAAATCTCCAACTTATTTTGCACCCTCTATCCATCAATGTCTGACCCGTTTTAGTGACGTTAATCCCTTGCCTTCGGTCTTCACAACCTATTCTTCATCTCGCCTATTTACTGACAGTCTCTTTGTTTTGTTTCCGCGCACCCATTCTCCTCGTTTGCTTTGTGATATGATTAGAAGTGGGCTGTCCTGATTCAGCGGCTGACTAAATCCTCGTGTAACACCAAGGATCAGCCGACAGAGCATCAGGTCTAATCTGGCTAATGATGTCAAATCTAGACGTGGTAAAAGGTTCTAAATGTATTAGCGTGTGACCTCAGCCAGGACAGCAGAGGGATGATAATCTGGCTTGTCATGGTATTTCAGATGCTATGGATTACTAACACAGCTTCAGCCTGGCCTTACATGACATTACTGAGAACATTAGCGAGCACTAAAAGCAGCAGGCTCCCCTGTATACATGAAGAAGTGCCCGCAGGCAACATAAATAAATCCTGCCTCGGTCCTGAAGGGCATGCGTCTTGTTGCGGTCTGCTTAATGCACACCATGGTATTAATGTTACATTGAGCGTTTTTTCTGTCTTGTGAGACTTTTTTTCACCGATATTTCCAGATGTAAGAAATTTGTACAATTGACTCTTTTTGCTTCATCAGCTCTTTCATTTAGCGTCTTTTATAAACCGTCATCCCGGTATACGATCACGGTTGGAAAGGGCTGTTTATGTCAGTGGAATCAGATGTAATCTCTTCCACATTGGTTGTACATACCCTAAACCTGTGTAAAATGTGTCAGTAAAAGCGACTGTCTTTAAAAACAGGGATGTGATGAAAAATGTCACTGATGAGTGTCTCTGCAAAAGCCCCTTCAAATGTTCCCTCGACTCTCTTCACATCTCCACACCTCTCGCCTTCACCTGCCTACATACAGTATGAGCTGCACATGAGGACTGATTTCCATTTCTCCTTCTACAGCACACGTGGGCTGGGTTTTAGCGGACAACTTTGCAGTAATGAAGTCTGTGAATACTGCCCAAAGTGTATTTCTGATGCGTTTTATTTCCATTTCAGCAACATTCAGATCAAAACCAATCAGTTTGTTCAAGGAAATAAGAATTTAGAATAATATCCTGAATAAATGTATAAATGTTCTGTGAAGTTCTCTGTATCTCTCTTTATTCTTTTCTAATGTTTACATCTATATGCATATGCCCGTTCATTTTATTCATATCTGATTTCATATTTCTTTATGAAAAAGCAAACCACTTGAACAATTTTTGTCCATTTTGCTGCTGTCATTATTCAAGTGCGGCACCCTAGATACTCCCACAAAAACAACTGCAATTCATGATTTCCTCTCTACAAAAGTCTTTCCTCTTAATGATCTTACATGACAGAAAATGTAAAAAAAAAAAAGTCTTCAGTTGTGCCGAGGAAGCAGAGGCATTTCAGCCTTTTTAAATGCCGCCATGTGGATGAAGATCAGAAGGCGTGCGAATGCCATTATGTCGTTCTAGTGAGTCATGCAACAATTAAAGAGATGGTGGCTTTTACTGAACCCGTTCACCACACCTCACACAGTTAACCAGGGATGTGAAGGCCACTGGAGAAAGCATGTTTGTGCTTTCTCTAAAGGGCACATATCTAACATGGCTGTTGAGGTGTTCACACTGGCTTTCCATTTAGCTGCTAGTAAAAATATTCTCCACACGGGTCCCAAAGACAAACCCTGTCAGGTTCTGGCTGTCTCTGGTGGAGAGGTTTTATTTTCCAATGGTTGGATGATTTGAGGGAAATGGGGTTGTTTGATGTTTCCTCTAAGCTGGGAAAAAAAATTCAGATTTAAAAAAACAAAAATTCTTATTATTTAAGGAGAAAGATACATCATTTCAGAGCAGATGAATAATAAATCTGAGCGCAGGTGTGTCATTTATAGGAAGACTTATTTAATTTGTAATCTCATTTTTGCTGCCTTTGCATATTTGCGCTTACATCTCTGCCCTTGATTCGATTATTCCCCACCCCTGTTTGTCTCCAGTTGCTGTGCTCCTGAAGGACGACTACTTTGTGAGAGGCGCTGGACTGCCTGGGCGCTTTAAGGCTGAGAAGATGGAGTTTCATTGGGGCCAGACTAATGGATCAGCAGGCTCAGAGCACAGCATCAATGGGAGAAGGTTCCCCGTAGAGGTAAACACCATTTTGCTAAAGTTGAACAAATGCTCCTGGTTATGTGTTGAAGGTTAAATGGTAAATGTCAAAGAATCATTTGAGAACTGGTTAGGTGATACTGGTTCTAGACTCACCAATGAGCCTTAATATCAAGCTTTGGGCACATTTTAGTCCTTAAATCTGGCTGAATTCTTTGTGGGGTTGCTTTTTGTGGTGCTTTGAAAGAGCGGTTGTTAAAACTTCAAAAGCTCAACTGTATTCTGCAGTCAATAGAGAGCCGAGGCTGCTTTTTGAAGCCTTTTACAGTTTCTTTGTTCAAAAGAGGTTTTGAGTGATTTCTGGATCCACTGAAGAGTCAACCTATACTAATGTAGTCGTGTGGCTGATAAAGCGGCTCGGTCATGGAACCCCCTGGTAACTTACAGAATTTTAAAAAATACATGGAGACAAAGTATGAAATATTTAATTATTAAAGAAGTGGATATTAGATACAGTATAAGTGTGCAGCATTGCAAAGATAGGAATATGTGAAGAGTTAGTGCCATGTGCACAACCACAAAGCTAATGGAGCAAACACTTCTTTTTCCCTTTTTTCTTTTTCTTTTTAACAATTTGGAACTCCACAGCTCGAACACATAAAAGTTAGTTTACTAGAAAACAGCTCCATGCAGAAATTAGTGTGAATATAACCCTGATGACATTATCCAGGGCTATATCTGTTTGTGTTTGGAGACACTGCATTTATAGCACTGAAAGGTTTTATTGCTAAGTGGATTTCGAGAGTGTAAAGGATGAGGGAATTTATCAGGCTGGGAGAAAAAATTAAAGCCGCAGTATGTAAGTGTTTGGAAAAGAGGAAACAGATTTCAAGTGATAAAAGGAAAGTAACACAAATCAAAATGTAAAATAGATGTGAAGGGTGCTGAGTCTCAAATCTGCTGTTATGATTTGTAGTAAATTAAAGTAAGAATGTATTTTTTACTCTGGTAGAAAAAAGGGGTTCGTACGGCCTCTTTTTTTATCATTTACTGTACTATTCCTTTTGAAGTAACCAAAATTTAAACAAACAAATGTTCTTATACTTTCCATATTTTTGGGGTTTAATGTCAAGTTTTGCACCTTAATCTAACTCTTATAAAATTCAGCATAATTGGTTAAAATTTAATAGAGTATAAAACCAGGAAATAGCTGTTGGTTTGTCTCCCTGTACTAAATCCAAACACGCAGCTTGAGTCCTCCTGTGTTTGTTTCTTGGCTCTCCTCTTTGGAGCCCTGTCTACCAGCACGGCTTTTGATGCTGAATGGCTGGGTAATTAGATTTATTTTTGCCACATCATTTTGTGTTCAGTGTAGTGTTAAAGGGCACTGGATTATATACAGCCATTATAAAGCTGTTGTGCATATGGCTCCTTTGATGGTGTGCTTCTAAATAATATGATGGAATTTGCTTTAATGGCCAATTTGGGCAGCTGTTAAGAAAAAGAAAAGTACAGAGAACAAGAAAGTTATGTCCTTCAGTTGCATAATTCATAAATGTTAGATGTAGGTTTGTGGTTTGGCATCTTTTTGGTATGGAGACAAGGTTTGTTGTCTTCTCTGTGAAGGTGCTTCTATATCCCAAGGCTAACATGCTTATTTAATACATCATAACTTCATAAAAATACCTGCTTGGGTTAGGTGGAAAGGAGCGTGGCTAACTAGGGAAAAACAGATACAAATTTAATATAATTGAAATAATAATGGTTTAACAAAAGCTATATATTTCATATAGAAGGAAAAAAGACCGAAAAACATGATGCTGATTCCTACAGGATGTCTTGCTATTGCTGTCGTGTACCTCGACAACCCGAGTAAGCTAGAAAAAACCTTGACACCACATGCTGCAGTTGAGCGCGTAGAAACTGGTTAGCAAGCGAGCAGAAAGGTTAAAGTAAACAGAGGAAAGTAAAGGATAAAAGACTGGAAAATGCATGCTCGGTTTGGAGAGGTTCAAACCTTGGCCAAAAATACCCAGAATGGAGGAAAACTAGCCTAATCATCCTCAATTGCAGTGACTAGGTGTGCCGATGCAGGGACTGTGAATCTGTGAGCACTACAGCAGCATCCGAAACTGAATGCTGAATGTTTGGGGGAAATCAGGAATGACGGCCCGTCATTTGTGTGCAAAGGTCACCCGAAGCGTTTAATTGAGTTTCACCCGCAGTGTTCCCAGGTTAGGGTGTGAACGATGCGTTAAAAGGCAAAAGTAAAGTAGAACTTTGTTTCATTCAGAAAACGGCAACTTAAAAGAAAAATACATCCCAAAACATCACACCACTAATTAATTAATGGAATGAAAACAAGTAGAAAAGAAAAGGGGAAATACTGCCCTGTAGTCTGATTAAATAAATTGATAAGCTCTGTGCAGAAATAATACAAGATGAGAGAGACCATCCAGCTTGTTAGCAGCTCACTGATAAAATGCTAGACCTCATTATTTAAATGGGGGTCCATTAGTACACATTGCATTGGCTTACTTACTCATACTTGAAGGCATCAGTAAATGCTGGAAAATTCTAAAGTTTTTGCAAGCTCTCATCCAATAATCTTCCCTAAGGAAGGTCTTTCCCTATTTCAACAATTAATTCAACGTAGTGCGGGGTTAAACAACAAGACCTCTCAGTAAAACTCAAGCCGGTCAGCTGTCCTGTTTGTGTTCTTTCCACCATCTGAAAACATTTAGTGCCGTCTGAAACAAACACGGAGCGAAAAAAGTAAAGCAAAGAATGTTGTGACTTGCAGAGCCGAAGTGTTCCATCAAGCGCGATCTGGAGAACATTTTACTTTATAAACTACATCTGTCAGTCTGCCCAGTTGCCAAACACTTGTACAGAGCTTTAAAAAGGCAAGCTGATGCAACTCAGTGGTAAACATGCCCCTGTCCCAACTTGTCTTTTTTTTGTGTGTGTGTGTTAAATTTTTTAGACTTACATGTTATGTTATGTTTGGACTTTTCTCTTTGGATAAAATATGTTTTTCAGTTTATTTCCAAATTCTTACATTTTTTATTCTAGCTTATTGTTTATACTGTCAAAAAAAAGAAGCGGACTTCGGGTTCTTCATGATTTCAGTGATGGACAGCCCTCTTCTAGTGTCTCTTATTCAGTCACAGAGCACGTGAAGAGCATGCAGTCCCGATGGAGCTGATGTGACACAGTGCCGTTTGATAGGAACTGAGGGAAAAATGGGGTCAACAAAAGCCTCTGGAGGCAACTTCAGTCACTCTGTGATTTAAAATAGACAGTTACCATTGATTTTTTTTTCCTTGCAGGAAGAACAAAAAGACTCTTCCACCCATATATCCTGTTAACTACACGTGTATATATGCACACAACCACAGAAGCAGCACAGAGTGGCAGCTCTGCTTTTAAGAAATTATTCTGTTTTCGATAAGTCAGATTACATATATCAGACATGATGTATGTAGGCATTATTTCTCATTGGTAACCAGAAGGTAAGAGTGAAATCAAATGATGGATGGTTGAAAGGGAGTATGGTTGTGTAGGATCTAGCCTTTAGCCATTTGACTGCTTCATCTTGTAAGATGTGTTATTTTCATTTTTCATATTTAGGACCACAAACAATTTGATGTATTTCAGATTTTATTATATCTGAAAAGACATGTGCCGGTAAACCATACACGTTGCACAGAATGTATAAATGTTTGCGCTTGGCATACCCGCTGACCTTTTATAGCCGAGGTGAGCTTTTGTTTGTCTGAGTGTGTGTTTTGTCCAAGATGTGAGCAGCATGACCATGACGGTTTAGCTCCGGGACTGATTTCCCTCTGTTAAACAGAAACAATTTTCTAACCTGCTGTGTAATTATCTCGCAACTCCAAATGAGTCACTTTCAGCCCTGAGTCACTGTCAGTGTAACACCCAGCATAAAGGATTTACGCTCACAGGAGAGGGAAAGGGCTTTTGTGCCACCTGCCCAAAAGCTTGAAAACAGGCACAAATATAGTTTGCATGTGAACAGGAGGTGAAAGACAAATTTAGTTTCTATGAGCTGTATTATGGAGCAGAACTGGCTTTGTAGTATGGTTATGTTAACAAAAAAAAAAGAGAGCAAGAAAGAAAGAACCCAGTGGGCTGCTTGGCCTGTGGCTCCTGAGCTTGACATTAATCTAACCATGGTCTTTTTCAAGGGAGTGAAGTGGGGAAATCGATAGATGGACCACCTGTTCGCTCAAACAGCACAATGAAAAATGAAAGTGTGGATTTTTCTCCCTCAGGGTACCTTAGGGAGATCTTTTCTCATAATATATTAGGGTGTCACCAAGGTTAGATTAATTATACATGTATTACAAATCACACCTTGGAAGGGTATACGTTAGCACACCCAGCACTAAGGGCGTATGAATAAGTGTTGCTGTGAGCATACAGTTGGAAAGATAAAAGCTTCAGTGGCACTAAAAAGAAAATTCAGGGAGAATGCTGGATGAGTGAAGACTGATCCTTTGACCCGTGCAGAAGAGCTAAACGCACTCCTGGAAGAAACTCATGCAAAACTTTAAGGCATGAAATCCACAGTGTATTGGAAACATAATCACCGATATGGAAACAGCCGACAGCTTCCATCCATATAAATGAAGTCCAAAAGCAACCGGCACATCTGTCTAAATAGAAAGGTTGATGTAAGGCGCACTGCCAAAGACACTGCCGCATGCAACAATATCAGCTATATCTCAGAGGAACACATAACAAAAAAAAAAAACAGATCCATTTTGAGAAAATCTAGACAACAATGTCTGAATCAAGAAATGAGAGTTGGTGGAGATGCGCTTCATTTGCTCCCTTTGTTTGCTTTTCGAAATTGCAGCACACGAGCTCTTAAAGCCACTAAAGTGTGGGCTGTATAAGACAAAGTAAGGGTCCATATTTCGAAAGAACCACTGTATTTTTTCCTCTAGTTTTATCATTCTATAAGAGCTCCCATACAAATGTATATTTACCTGGTATATTAGCTGCACTCAGCTGAATGAGCATTATGTCAACAGAGCATTTTGCCCTTAATGTACGGATATTCTTACTCTGGCAAACGAGAGGAAGCGTTGCTAATATCTTTTTATTATTGCGATGATCGGCAGTAAGAAACACCAGGTTTCCTACGTTTGCTCAGCGACACCCATGCACAACTGACACTTCATTCTTCTTGAAAATGAGTGCTCTAGCACTTAGTAGGTGCTCAAGGAAAAGAACAGGTAGATGATTATGTGTGATGGAAGTGTGAGAATTGAGAAAGAAATATCCGTCTGCAACAAAATTTTTGTGGGAGCACGTAAAAGGAAGCGGAAAAGCATTTGTGTGTGATATAATGTAGCATCTCCCCTCACACAAACTTAGCTTTTATAGTTTTCCTGCCTCGGCTCAACATTTCGCTGTCCTGGGAAATCACGGCAAACATGACTTTGTTTTTCACCTTTTCCGCTTAAATGGGACAGGGGAATGCAGAGCGGCTGTAAGCTTTTGTTTTCACACTCACTCTGTGCTGGAAATGAAAGAAGAAAAATGACTGTTATAAACCAAATGCAGACAGAAGAATATCTCGGGCGGTGTGGACAGCACGTCCCTCCGCTTTACACAAAGCTCAGAGCTTTGCAGGACCACCTGTCTCTCTCTTAAGTCCACGTCTTTATCTCTGGGTGTGCATAAAGTTTCCTCTAATGTGGAGAATTTGTCAGATCTCAGCAAAGATGCAGTACACAAAATGTGCAATCGAATGACTCACGTTGCTTTATTGACTGCTTTGAAAGTGTATAATTGAAATCACGTTTTCCAAAGTGTGCTGTTAACAAGAACAAGTCACATGAGCCAATCTTGGTGAGTAAATGAAGCCTAAGGGGGGGCAGCTTAATTGGGTAATGTAGTTAATAACATCTGAAGGGTGATGAATGGCCAATCCTCTTTCTTGCTGAGTTCTCAGACAACAAATTAGTTCCATTAAAGGCTGCAGTTAAAGGACCTCTAAAGGAAACTGATTAACTTTAATTATTCGGATTGAGTCATTTTGAACCTGCTTTGGACCTGTGGTTCCCACTAATGGACTTATCCACGTTTATTCTCTTATTTACTTATTTATTTTGCATTTGTTGTCAGCACGGCCAATTGTGGCTTATTATGTCTCATGATTTTCCTGTGAAAAGAAGAAAAATAATACCTTTTAATTAACATCGACATCTGAGACCCTTTTTCCTATAGACGGTTAGCTCTGTTCTGCAGCATGAGAGGATTTTTCAATTTATCGAGGCCCTGCCTGCAAGATGATGGACATTTCCAATTGCTACTTTTAGAATTATTTGCAGATTTTTATCAGGACTACCATAATATTTCTGCTTGAAATGAAAGAAATGTGAACCTTGTTATTGAAAACCAGAGCCATGACGGGTATATGAATTATTCTATGTATGATGCCTGTTATATTACACCCAAACATCCAAAGAGTTGTTGTGAAATCAGAAGCAGTGTTGTGGGTGATTTTAAGGTAATTGGGATCTATGATTAGAGGCACACCATTCTGTTAGATCTTTCCACAGAGCATGAAAAGATAGAGCATTCCCCCCAGTTTTTCCCCTCGCCTCGTTACTGTGCCTGTGAGGACAGTTGCCCTGAGGAATGGGATGCTGTATTTCTCTGGCAGCCTCCAGGAGTGGCAGCACACAGAAAAGACTGACACAGATTATGAGAGATTTATAGGAGTGATAAATACACCCTCTTTTCTGCCCCTCAAAACAGCTTTTCATCAGCTCCTCAATCGTGCGTCCAAGTGATTGATGACCCGACTGTTGGTTCTCCTTGTCCACTCCTTAAGCTGTTTATTCTCCGTTTCCCATTCCAGATGCAGATCTACCTTTACAATTCAGACGACTTTGACAGCCTCAGCGCCGCCATCAAGGAAAGACGCATCATCGCTGCCATGGCTGTCTTCTTTGAGGTAAAGTGTCCGGCCTAAAGGTTATGACTTATCTGGAGAAACCCGGGTCTGCAACGCACGCCTTTCCTGTCCGGTCCAGACTGAAGAGCCACTGCATGCGTGGCTTCCCTCAATTATTTATTTCTTTATTTGTTTTTCCTCCTCTGGATCTCCACCACTTCGCTGGGTGAAAACTCAGAGCTTATTTAACGCTTTGGCTCATTATTGTGCATTGCTGATATTTCCATGAGCCAAACCAACTTATAGTTTGCGCTAATTACAAAAACGTGAGCGCTTAAGCAAGCTAAAGAAGACGACGAGTATGACAAATGTACACAATCAGACCGGCGTGTAGCAGGCTGACATTAGCATTCAGCAGGTGTAAGTGCAGTCCACACAGCCAGGTTGTGTAATATGTTGAAATATCCTGATGCATAAAGGTTCGTCTTTATACCTACAATTCTCAGAGGAATTACTCTGCTCTTGAGGAAAGCCTCTTTGTAATAACTTTTAGCTTGTAGCTGCTGGTAGCACTGATGGAAAATGTTCCTATTCGCAGGCCTATAAAACAACTATAAGTACAGAGATTTTACTTACTGCCAGCTGTTCAAAATGGTTTACAAAACCATTAAGAAGAGCAAATACATAGAATCTGAGTAGACACTGGGTCTTATATATGTAGGCGCAATAATACCATGTGATAAGGACAGAAAAAATATTAGGACTAGACTTAAAGGACGTAAAAAATAAACCTTTTTCACGTAGATGAATTCTCTATGTTAATTCAAAATCATCAGTGGGACCTGTGTTGTGATAGACAAAATGTCTTTAACTGCTTGCCGACTGTTTTCTTGTTCTTTGGCAGATTGCTTACTGAGATACCACAAATTGTCCCCTGTAGATCTGAAAACATGAGCTCTTAATGGGCAGATTGGTCCTAATTTCCGTTTAGCGTTAAAGCACCTCTGAGATTTATGAACTGTGAGCGGCTCCACTGACAACCTCAGAGTCCCTTTTCGCGTTACACTTATTTCTGTTAGCGACGCCTTCACAGTAATGGCAGGTGATCAATGCGAGCTAACATTCAGCTTAATTGTATGTAGGTACGGGTCAGCAGAGGCAGAGGTAGGCTGGAATGGGGACACAGGTGTTTAGCAATGTAGGTCTACCCGCAGACAGTGATGAACCGGAGTGTGCAGGAGGACCTAAATGCCTCCGCTGAGTCCTGACAGCCCTATTGCTTACTGCAATTAGCACCACCATACACAATCCGCTGAATAGCAGTTTACAGTGTGAGGGTTTATAAGCAAGCGCACACACACATTGGCTCAGATTTACCATTTCTAATCAATGAGGAGAGTTCTTGCTGTGCTCCCCAAAGGCCTATTAATGGCCTCTAAGGTGTGCATATTACCCACATTCAGCATTCAGTTCCACACAATTATTCTCCTCTGACTGACCTGAATTAATGTTGAGCAAGGGAGGATTGGTCCCCACATCCCAACACTGTTTTTGTCCAGGCTTGTCTGTTATATAGGACGGTGGAAATATCTGTAAACTGTGGGGATAAACAAGCCAAACAGTTAAGTTTTAAAGCAAGCAGATAAGGAAGAGTTCATCAGTGGCATTTTTTGTCCTGACACAAGTGGATTTGTATGGTCGTAGAAAGTTCAAAGAAACTTAGAAACTGAGGTTGTAGCATAAAAACATTCTTTTTTAAGTACAAAATGCTTTAGAAATTTTTCTTTCCAACTCTTGCATTTTGGGCACTTTGTGATAAAAGAGTTACATCTCATTCACAGTTCAAATAATTCAAAATTCTCTTAAGTCTTAAAGCTAATAATTACGTCACTCCTTAATGTGGCATTCAGTTTTTACTTCGGGCAAATTTGCTGAATCACAGTGCCCAGAAACGGTGTTACTGTCCAAACAGTTATGTCCTGGACAGACTGCCTGCCTGCGTGACTGCTGCTGTTTTGCAAAACTATCATCCCTCACAGAGCGGAGACCCACTGCCGTCTGTTAGCACACAAACTCCAATTTCAGACCCTGCAGCCAAAAAACTAAGCACTTCAAGCAGATTACACTAGGCAAGATTTTCCAGCCACGTTTCTGACACACAGACATGATTGTCGAGTTTTCCATCAGTTTAGTTGAACATTTTTACCAACACACTGAGATGACTGGAGATGATTGATAGCATAGTACAGACTTTGCAAATATTGTAGTGAAATCCTGAAAATCCAGTAGGGAAAAAAAATCACCCTTGAAAGGTAAAGAGCTACAAGAAATAAATCTCTGTGAAATTACTGGTTAAAACTGAACAATGTTTTTTTTTTAAACAAAACTTACTAAAGAAATAGAATATGTCATAGATGTTGGCCTTGAAATTGACCAAATACTCTTTTGGATAAACTAATACGATTTCACCCAAAAATCATGTTGAAGGCAGGAGATTGTATTAAGAGGCTGCAGGATTATATTGTATTTCAAAGATGCTGCTCTTATCTCTCCAACCCATGTTTTCTATTAATTTAGATTGTTTTTAGCTTCTTCTTTTTTATTTTTTTTAGATTATTATACTAGTCACATAATCCCTTTTGTAATCCTTTTGTTTCTGGACATTTTCATGCAGCTGGGGCAAAAAGACAACCCAGCAGTGGACCCAATCATCCAGGGACTGAAAGGAGTGGTGCATCATGGTAAGTAATGAGAAAACAGCCCCAAACTTTCCTACAAGGATAACAATATTATTTATGTGCTGAGTGCAGGTATTTTGATATTTAGGGACTTCTTTCTTTCTTATCGCCTCCACAGTGTTTGTGTTTATTTATTTACTATAGCTCTTTATGTCATACCAAAATCTCCTTACCACAGAGCATTATCCCGGGAATTAATTTCATGTGGGATTTTCAAAAAGCAATTGACCTTTCCAAAATCCCCCTGACATTGCTGCTCAGTCGATGATGATGTTGATCCTATAGGTGGATTCCCCTCACAGCGCATATACCTCGCTGCCAGCCCCAAAAAAACAAACGTTGACGCTCGGCCGCTTTAACCCTGGATGCGGTTTGGATTTCAGCTCTCCGATTGGCCACGACACAAAATATGCACAGCGTTTAACTTCATAAGGAGAATGATTCGGCGAGATCCAGCCTCTCCCATGGTGTTTTAGCTCAGCAGGAGCAGAGCTCCACAGCTTCACTCACAGACACAGAACTATTAATTACATCCGAGCCACAATTAGACAACCCCCCTTTATCCATCTTATATCGGCTGTCATGTTCTGTGGTTTTTATTCACAATCACATTTAAACTGTTGTCTGCAATGGTACAAGTTGTAATGGCATGATCTGTTGCCTTAAGTGCTCTTGCCGGGCTTGCATCACATGATTTAGGCTGCCTGTTTCTCCATGTCTCAGTATTACCATGTAATCCTTTACAGCAGCTCTCGTTTTAGATCCTGCATCTGATGGTCACTTTGTATCCATAACTGTACACCAGCAGGGACATGAGTATGTATGAGGATGTATAGAGGCATGATGTCATCTATCCACACTCGTGATGGTTTCACAAGACTAGAGCCTGGCTTCAGCGAGTCGATACTGATTATAATTTCTAATGAGATGGATGTTTGATGTGTGCTCTTGTAGGCTACTCAGGTTATGACATTTTGAATTAAAGAGCCGGAGAGGAAAAAAAAACTTCTTTTGAAAGACAATGGTGTAGTAGTGCAAGTAAGAAAAGCTCCACATCAGCAGGGACCAGGAGGGCACTTTTTTTTAAACATCAGAATCAGAAAATAGGTTACTTTGAACTGAAGTAACTGAATAGAAGCAAACTGTCATCAGCTGAGAGGGAGATTTCCGTGCAGTTTTCTTTCCTCTGACTTATATAAGTTGCACTTAAAAAGACAAACTGTCACACTTTCCATAAATCTTTATTAGTCAGCCTCCAAACATATGATTATTTAGATACATTTTTTTGGCACCTGGTGTTTGTAGGGTTTGTCATTCACACACAGCACCTTACTCCTGTTGCTGTGTTGATGCCATGTTAGGTTCTGGCTTCAGGGATTGAGCTACCAACGCTCTAATTGGTGGACAGCCTGCTCCTCACCCTGAGCCGCAGCCTCCCCTGATGAATTCTGTGTTGTCTAGCTGCACAGATGTCTCTGATAGCACAGCTGAATCCCATTTCCCCGCTGAAATCAGGCTCAGCCTGGGTGTGGTGCCGTTTGGACTCTCTTCCTGCTAGCTGCTAAAAGCTCCTTGCCTTCTTCGCCGTTAGGATGGTTGGTTTTCCACTAGCTCGTTATTCCACAGTCATCCATCCATCAGCATCTCGCCGGCCCGGGAGCGATAGGGCACGTACGCTGTCTGAAGACAGAGAGAAGAAAGGCTGTGCATACTGAATTTGACTCGGAGTACAGATGAGGCATGGGGGCGAGGCTTCCTGTTCCTCTGTAGCCTGAATGCGAACCACTCCCTAAACCTTTTTTTTTTTCTTCCTCTTTTTTTTGTTGTTAGATAAGGCCATGAGTAGGAGATTGGACTACATACATTCCACTTTATTTAGTTTCTTCCCATTGCAATCAAAAATTTTAAAAAGATCAACGAATAATCTCCCATAACATACACAGCATACCCCCCCACATACACACACACACACAGCTTTGCCAGGTTCTGATCAGAGGATAGAACAGATCCAGCAATCATTTAGATCTGTCTTTATCCCCATGGCCTATCCACAGTTGTTACATGGAGCAGAGCATGCTACCACCCAGCCACAGATCAGCTGTCAGACTTGACCATCTTATCAGGCTCCCCTGCTTTTGCTCCTCTCTCAGCCCTTCTCAGCGCAGTGATCTGGCCACGGTGATAACAAGTAGTGAGGCTTTTAACCGCTGCTCTGCTACTAGGGGGAGGCTTCGGGAAAGCAGTAAAGATGACACCAGGGGAGCCAAATAAAAAAAAAATTTGGTCAACGTTCACGTCCAAGATGTGCATCACTTTTTGGCCAAGTATCAGGCTGTAGAAAACGTTGTGTTGTTGTGCAGAACGCCGCCCTTTACATGTGTGTGCACTAACACGTTTTAATTGTATTGCTCTCAGAAAAAGAAACAAACCTCAGGTCATTCATCTTGAGGGATCTGCTGCCGTCATCAGTGGACAGTTATTACCGCTATACTGGCTCTCTGACCACTCCGCCCTGCAGCAAAGTCGTGGAGTGGATCATCTTCTCCAGGCCTGTGTTTCTGTCCCACTCACAGGTGCGTTGGGTCCAGTCACACACACGCCTCGACAGCTATATTCCCCACACACAGTAAGATCCCATTTGTGCACAGTCAGAGGATTTCTCGCAGCCCAACACCGTCCAAGCAATTTTCTCCTCGTGTGCCTCTCCTCTTTCCCTCATTCCTTTCCACCTCCTTTACATATGAGTCTGCCTGCCTGTATTGTGCATGATTAAACAGAAAGGGGCAGATAATTACTGGCATTTGAATGACACTAAGTGTGAGATAGCACTTCCACATACATCGTTCTGCTGGCCTGAGACAATGTCTATAGGCTCTTGAATATAATACAGCTCCATGCGAGGCTATTATCAAACTAATTAAGTTTCCTGAGTTAAAGCGCTCCTTGAATTGACCGGTTACAGTAATGATATAACTACCTTTAAATGGAAAATGTTGCATTTTACCACCACCAGCCTGTGTGCTTTACAACATTTTACCTCCAACTGTTTGTGATTTCAAGAGATAATATATGCCAAATCATGCCCCTCGCTTTTTGCTGATCCCCTCCACTGTGCTGTGCAGCATCTTTTATACATACAATTCTTGGGTTAGCCAGCTGCATATCCTCTAGTGTATTCGGTGCCATGGAAATTTGCAGGGCTCAGTGGAATTTCTGTGAACTTGCACGAGGACAAATCTTTTGTTCAGAAATGACTTCTGCTGCAAGAATATTGACCACCTTTACAATGTTTGTGACGCTCACAGATAGTCTTTTATGAACCTGTAATTCATTTCTCCAAGCACCCATAGGACACATTGATTCCACAGTATCTGTAATGTGTAGTCATTACAGCACGCGGCAGGAGATCATTCTTGGCAATCAATGGCCACAAATTTGCCCCATTGAGAAGTTACAGCCCAGCAGGTAGCCATGGGTGGTGATTGAAGTCTGTGCCTGCTGTTGCCTGTGGTGTAAATGTTTCTTGCAAATACTGTTCTCCACTTGTGAACAGTCAGCTACTGTCAAGTGACTACAAATGCTGTGCTGCATGATATATTATATTTAACGCATGCGTGCACGCACACTCGCACAGACACACGCACAGACACACGCTCAGACGCACACACAGGCTTGCAACAGTAGCACTTTGATTTGCCTTGATAGCTATTCTGTGTTTCTTTCCCTCTAGCTGGATGCTTTTTACTCCATCTTTACAACGGAACAACAGGACCATGTCAAGTCGGTAGATCACCTGAGGAACAACTTCAGGCCCCTGCAAGACCTGAACAATAGAGAGATTTTTAAGTCAGCCGTAAAAGATGCATGGCAGAAAGATTTGACTGAAATCCTAGGAGGTCCTCATAGCACGGAGGCTTCGAGAGGTAAGCTTTTTTCCCCCCCCCCTGTATTCTGTGGAGTTCATCATTAATACGAATCGCTGTAACAGGACTGCATCAACTCCTGAGATCCTGTAATGACAGTCATTACACACCAGTTTGTTTGTTCTTGTGAACCGATGCCAAAATGACTTTGTCTGAAATCTAAAATCTGTGATAGGAGCCATCTTCCTGACTGTGTCTATCAGAAATGTGAGGTGAATTTTACGATCTGTTAGTAATGGGGCCTATTCAGATTGTCATCCTGTGTCATCCTTTCACTCATAGGGGGTTTGTTAAATCATATAATAAGAATAATTGGAAACCTCTTTGTGAGTAACATCTGTGCAGATAATGTACCTATTGATGGGTGAACCTATAAATCAAAATGTATCAGTGCTACCTGAATGAATGAATAAATAAATGCAACATAGCATGGGACAAAAAGACATGCTATGATTTTGATTAGAGACCTCAATGCTTTTTACACAGTTACAATTTTTTTTAGCAAGCATAACATAATCCATTACATTATTATAATGGCATTATGCCTTGGTTATGCATTATGCATTAGCTTTTTTCCCTCTACATTTTTTATGTCTTTTGCACATTTTCATTTTCAATTTTCCTTCATATTCAAAACTCTGTGTACTATGTTATAGAGGCTATTGGATAAACAAAAACTTTTACCTCTGCCCAGTAACTATTAGATTAGCCAGCTCAAAATTACAGTGGTAGATTTTTAACATTAGCATCGTTGGGATGTTTGTCATAAATTATATTCTGTTAGGAAGGCATTTATAGAATCTGCCTCAGATCAGTGGGTCTGTGAATATCAGAGTGAATACAGCGATCACAGAGAGGAACTGATTGACCACATTCCGTTGTAATCACCATTGTGGGACATTTGGGACATATAGGCACATGTCATTCTCCCATTTTCCAATGAATTCTTCAAAAAACATATTAATATCAAACACAGACCTCATGCAGGGTTTGATCATAGTATTTTTGTTTGTCTTTCTTTCATGTGTGCATCTTGCTGTGCTTGCTCTTACAGAACAGTGCAGGAACTAAGGAGACTAATGAGAAAGGCTGCTGCTCCTTAAATTGGTGTTGTTGGTTTCTTGGTATCTGGTGGGGAGAATTGATTGGGAAGGCTTGTGATGAAGTTGGAGCACTCTGAAAGGGCCGATCAGCAATCATCATTAATATGTGGCACAGCTAAAATAGGCCCATACAGATTAAGTTGTGAAATTGCTTTTGCGGCTTTATGTCAGTAGTCACGATGGATGCGGACCAGTGTATCTCCATTTTTCTCTGTCTCCACTCCCTCTTGTTCATTTTGTCCTTTGTCCAGCATTTCTGTTTCTTTTTGTTTAAATACGAGCGTTGGTTGGGGGTTGGGTATACTGGAGCTAAGGCGTGCCAGTATTTTTCTGTGAGTGTGACATCTGTTGTGGTTGCTCATGAGACATATCTGTCCATACACAGCAAATGGCGGCTTTGATGTGAACTGTTATGAGGACCACGGCCACACCTTGACTGAATGTTCCATCACTGCCGCTTTTATGGTTCTGTTTGCCCATTAGAAATGCAGAGCTAACCTTTCAGATGCAAAATAGAGATTGCAGATTGGTTTGTGTTGTGGAGATTTATTGTTTGTCGAATAATAATTTCAAGATCAATAAGGCAGCATTTATTTAGTCATTTGTGTTTGCTGTACACGTGTCTGTCTTTGTGTGAAACCCGGCTCCATCACAGGCTTTTCCCCACAAGCAGACCAGATTTAGTGCACACTCTGATTGAAAATGAGTTCATTCTGTCAGTGCCGATATTACTTTTCTTTTAATTATGAGTTGCTCGGTTTATTGTTTTATTTCCATCAGCTGATTGCCAGTAAAATGTCAAAATAGGACAAAATGCCAAACACAATTACCCAGAGTCCAAAGTTATGTGATATGATTGCTTCTGTTGTCTCAGTTATGGTACGGGTGGGGTGTACAGAGGCTTTCAAATAGAAGGAAGCAGCAAAGCCTGACACTGGGGCTTTTTGGAACAAAGACAGGTAGATATTTATGTTGAAGAAAATGACTCAGACAGCTGAGGCTGTAGTGGCATCTGTAGGAAGTGTCACTCATTATCATAAAATAAGTGACAGATACCGTGTTGGCATTTGTCCTTCAGATAGCTTTTTTCTGCAAAGTTCAGAGAATGCAAGATATTCTTTTTAAAACAGATACATATCTTTTTTGTGTATTCATTGAAATTCTTGTTTTCCGCATCATCCCACTGCCAGCACACGGTTGCTTTAAAACACTGCATACAGCTTTCAGAAGTGAGACAAAGTGGAACTGCTTTGTTAACAATAGTCGATTCATCCCCTTCATGGTAGAAGCTGCCAGGAGAAAGAGTCATGCTTCTTTCTGAGTTGTACTGCAGGATAAGATGAGACCTCTATTTGGGATATTTTGGGAGGATACAGAGTAGGAATTTGAAAAAATCCAAACAGTATGAAGTCACCAGCATTTTCACCACTTTACCACCAAAGCTCATAATGTTCAGTGTGTCACTGTTGCACTTCTTATCTGTTGTCGGTTTGGTTACCAACTGAATAGACATTTAAATGAAAATCCTTTATCTCATCTGCAACAGTTTGAGGATTCAGAAAATGAATAATCACTGGAAATCAGCAGAGTTTGAAATGAATAATTATATTCTTTATTTATATATAGAATTTTTTTTTTAAATCATGTCTATTCCCACATTTTTGCACATGTTGCCCAGAAATATAGTTTTTTCCTGGCCACAATCTAACAGCTGAGCTGAAGATAGTTTCTAGATGGATGTTAATAAGCTGGTGTTAATTATCAGAGGGAAGATGATTGTCAGGGCAGTATTAATGCAGGCACCAGAACCACAGTGACACCTTCAGCAGCTATTAAATTATTGTTCTTGAGCTACTGAACTTGACAACGAACATCCGACAGGTTATGATGCATTTCGCACCTGTCACACCTAATCAACACCCTGAGATTCTCTTCCTGTTGTTTTTTTCCCCTGTGTTCCTTTGACTGATTCCCTTCCTCCCTGTCTCCTTTTCTTTCTCTCACATGTCATGGTGCATAATTTGCGTCATAACCTCACTGTGCGAATGGGGGAAAATTGTGGTGACAATTTCAATTTGGCAGAAACTCTGAGAGCACACAGTCATTTGACACTAGTTTCTGATTGCTACTGCCCTGATGTGCTGAGAGGCATGTCCAGATTGTCCCTTAGTCATACTGATGGAGCTCCGTGTAAGAAATCCATGCGGCAGCCTGCACTGCCACCTTGAGGCTGACTCACGTTTTTCCTTTCAGTCTCCCTGCTTAAGCCCTCTCAGGGGATTTGTGAATTAGGTATGGACCGGAAGTTCCTATGTAATCTGTATCATCTGTATAGCTGGATGCTTGATATTCAACGTGGGATCTCTTGCGAGGCTTGCATGACAAACACACAGGTGTCGAGACTTAACGCTGCACAATAACACCTGAGGTTGTGTCTGGCTCCAGCCAAGCCCTCAGAAATGTCTGCGTTATGTTTTCTTAAATATTATTGCGAGTTGCAGCTTTTTTTCATTTGTAAGATGGCTTCAGTGGCCATCAGCTGGGTTGGTTCAAGGTGAACATTACACACGCACTTATGCACACACAAATAAATTCATATGGCCCAATCTTTCTTTGTTCTGTCAGTGATTTTTGTCCCTTTCATGCCCTCTGGGTCTCATACCCCTCTTTACCTTCGTCTCCTGCAGTGTGCAGCAGCGCCCCAGTGAACATGAAGATCCAGCCGCTGAACCAGACCGCACTGATGGTGAGCTGGGAACGCCCTCTGACAATCTACCACCCCCCCATCACCGGCTACATGGTCTCCTATAGCTGGGTGAAGCGTGACGTCGCCGATGAGAAGACCTTCACCAAGACTGGGGACCAGAGGATGGTGAGCGCTGAAGTCCTCTTCTCTTCCATCTAAATCTACATGGCGTGTTGCTTAAAGAGCTCTGATCGCTGCGCAGAGCCTCAGATGTACAGTACCTGTCAGGATAAAAGGTTGGCTGGATCAGTGACAGTGTGTAAAGGGGGAGGCAGGTTGTTATGAACCCTGCATGTGGCTGTTGGTTGATACGAGGACCCAGACGCTTCCCTGTCACTCACCTGTCTAAGAATAGAAACACAGGCCTGTCGCAGACATTGGCGTGTCACAACTGATATATGTGTAATGAGCTGAGAAATGCACCTGTGGCCTTTCCCCAGATGTATCATTTTCCATTACACTGTGATTTTTCTTTCTGTTGTTTTTTTTTTTTTTTTACTCTTATTTTTTTTTCTAAGAGGGGCTGTTTGTTTTGTTTTGTTGTTGAATTCATTTAAATTTGAATCAGCCTCCGAAGCAAGTATCTGCATCACAAGGTCAAACAGCTTATTCATTACAAAGCGGTCAAAACAAAATACTATTTAGACTTTTATTTTTCCGACGCTAATGCCAAGGAAAATCTGAAAAACCCTCTCCTGGTCCCTGGCAGCGGAGACAGCTCTTTGAACACAGACTTGCTTTAGCAACAAATGCAGAGCAAATGTAGTCCTTTAGATCTCTGATCCAGCAATCGTTTAATTCAGCTTAGCTGCCTTAAACATTGAAATACCACTCCAGCTCTTACAGTATCATTCCATCCAAATATTCACTGTGTCTACAGAAATAAATCTTCTCCCTGTAGGAGGTTGCGCCCACTGTGATGTTCCCTTTTCACACTATATATATTCTTCTCCATGGTCACATATCTTTCTATTTCTGAGAATGTAACACCCAACTGTGCATCTCTTCATGGCCTGCTGACCCCCAGCTGTCTTGATAGTTTGCATGACTGCCTCTTTAGAGATAAACAGTGCCGGGTCAAAACACGCACCCACCAGTTCAGAAACCTGGGATCAGTTTCCTGGTGGCACTACCACCTTCAGCTTGGTCATGCATTTCAAAATACATGGTTGTCATTGTCATGGGTTGGAAGATGCAGAGGCATCTGGAATTGTTGCTGCTTTTGTGACTCCCGTTCGGTTGGGGAAACTGCACAGAGGAGGCAAAACCTATAGGAAAGCACGATCTTGTACTTTGGCATGATAAACTCCTACATCTAAAAGCAGCCGCTGACACAAAAAAGCTATTTTTATGTATTCAACTGTTCACATTTTCAAGATGATTGTCCAACAGTAGGATTGTTTTTTTTCTAAGCTGTGGTCCAGTATCCAGCTTACACTCATTAGATGGCTCACTTACACATACACATGAATGAGGGGAAATGCAATGTTCAGCAGTTGCACTTTGAAAGTGAACATGATTTGAATATTCATAGATACTGGGAGAGAGGAGGAGGAGGAGATGTAATTTTAAGAATTTTAACCAGGTAATTGAACTATTTAGTGGAGGGAGAAAAAGATTTTGCACACTTCTTATTATTCCATGCAGCTCGTCTCATTCTGTATGCCTTAAAACACGCCTGCAGGGCATCTTTAACTTAGAATCTAGTCACAGAAGCTTAAACGTGATGGGCAAGTAAGTTAAAATGAATATGCAAAAAGGCCTTCCTGCTGTCAGGGACTGCCTAACAAATTAAGTTAATGCTATGCTCAGCTAAAGATGGATTAAAAATAATTTCCTCCCCCTTAGATTATTGCACCCTCTGAAGTCCATGTCTCAGTTGCAGCTTATAGAGAATCCTGTCACAATGCTACGGCTTGATGTTTAGCATAGTAAACATTTCGTTTTCAATCTCCCTTTTTCTTATTTGCTACTTCAATGTGGAGCAGCATTTCCCGTAGTGACCTTTTATTAGCCTTTAGCTAAGAAATCCCAGGTGTTATGGCACAACTGTCCTAACTCTACAGCCTGGTCTTCATTCTCTATTTTGTGCTCTCAGTATGAAGCACAAGTGGGCAGAGTCATCTCTTTTAGTGGAGAAATAGCGTAGGCAAAAGATACAGAGTAGACCTAGTGTTTTTGAAACTCTTGTTTGAACTTCATATTGTGAGTGAAACAATACAAAAATCAGGCATGTGGATTTTTTTCGTGTATGTGTTTTTTTTAACCTTTTAAACTGACTGTTTTCCACTTAATAAAATAATGCATTACCATGATGTATTTGTTATGAAACAGATTTGTTTCATTAAGACCAGCATTTATTGTTTTTTTTCTCTCCTTTTTAAGTGCTGATTGAAAGAATGATTACTGTGTTCATGTGCTGCTGCACCTGTATCGAGGCACTTGTGGCATTATTGTCCACTTCTCTTTCAACTGTCAGTCCCTCATATTTTGCCCACTTTCATTTCCATTTCAATTTTCAGTTTCTATTTCTGGACACTTTATCTGAATTATTCTGGTGAGAAACTACTTCTCCAGCAGCTACAAAAGCACAGGCAATCACCCATCCATTGTGAGAATAATTTTAATATAAGTATAGCCATCTGTGAACACTATTAAATTAGACAGGAAAATTACTATTGACAGAACTGTTGCTCAGTGCAATATATTTTCACTTTAGGCATCAGCATCCCAGCTTTCAAATGTGATTTCACTATACTTTGATTATAATTTTTGCAAATGTAAATGTTCTCTCTTGCAGAAAGCAGTGATTACTAATGTATCCCCGGACCTCCTGTACCTGTTCAGAGTGCAGGCAGTGTGTCAGCACGACCTGCGCAGTGATTTTAGCCAAACACTCTTATTCAGAGGTACATCCTACTGTTGAATTATTCTACACCTTTCATGTTTAGCCGCTGAAAATCTAACATAAGTAATCCTATTCTTCTTTTCCCTTCCTTTTTTTGTAGCAAATACAACAAGAATCTTTGAAGGGTCTCGGATTGTGAAGACTGGGATGGTTAGTTTACCAGAAGATGGCAGTGCAAATTTTTCTCTGTCAATTTTCATGTCATACGTGTGCTCTTGTGCAGCCTTTTTTCTTTTTATTTATTTATTTTTCTGCTTTTGTGCCCCTCAGCCAACAATTTCTCCAGCTTCTTCAGCCGACATGGCCCCCATCAGCTCTGGCTCCTCCACTTGGACGTCCTCTGGGATCCACTTCTCCCTCGTCTCCATGGCAACCGGAATGGGACCTTCCTCCAGTGGTAGCCAGGCCACTGTGGCGTCGGTGGTGACGAGCACCTTGTTGGCCGGCCTGGGAGTTGGCGGCGGGGTCATTTCCTCTCTGCCTAGTTCAGTCTGGCCCACACAGGCTCCCCACGCCACCCAGAACCCGACACATCCCTCCACCTCACCCGCAAAGTCCAGGGCCGAGCAGACGGCACATCCAGGTGCTGAGGCAGACAAACAGGCTGAGGACAAACAGGCTGCGCGTGAGGGTGAGGAGGAGGAAGGTGAGGGCGAGGGAGAAGGAGAGCAGGAGGATGAAAAAGACGAAGAGAAGAGAAAGACCAAGAATCCACCTGATAACGAGAAGAAGCGAGCAGACAGCACCGTGGCTGAAGAGCCTTTAAGGCCAACCCCCGCATCCACAGCCAAAGAGAAAGGAGAAGGCAAACCTACGATTAAAGGCACCACAGACCCTGCAAGCACCGACGACCAGCTGCTCAGTGTGGAGAAGAATCATACAGAAGGAAATGCAGTCTCCACTCAGGAGACCCGTAATGACAGCACTGAGATGCAGATCCCCCAGAGCTCCACACTATCCCCAAAGATTAATGACGGGAAGAGTGACTGGCCCTTTTCTGTCCAGACTGGTGAGCTCCTTCTTTCATTCATGGAAGACACATTTTGAATCCCCTTTCAAACTGTTTCTTTGCTAACTCTCAGCCAACATTGATCTCTTGTAGGGAGCTATCTTGTTAGGGAAGACTTAACTCCTAAGCAAAATTCTGTAAACACTACCAACCACTATAGAGCCCAGTTTAGAAGAACAAACAACTTGACATAAGACCCTAACCAAACTAGTTACCATCTCAGTCAAAGACAAAGCTTCAGGCTCCTGTGTCACTACAGCGCGGAGGCCTGAAGGAATAAGATGGCTGTCTGCCAGAGGGGTTTTGCCTCGAGGAATTCTTTTAAGTATATTTCAAAAGAGTTTGCTTCAAGGGAGAGCTTTTATGAAGGTTTTTTTTTTTCACCATCACGCAGTTAGAAATAGCGTGTTCTATGAATGAATGAATGCAAAGTTCAGAGAGAACAAATTGTAGTGTCCTTTTGAATTTGAAAACAATATAATACTCCTTAATATGACAAAAAATTGAGATCAGGGTTTGTGTATTTTTTCACAGGCAATATGATAATGATACATGTTCTTTTTTGTGAGAAAATTAAGCTTGAGAAATGTTTACATTTAAAAATAAACTAAATTTTTTTGTTTATTAGTGACTTTTCAACAGTGCCACTATTCTAAAGAGAACATCCGTCCTCAGGATACTTTAAAAACTGTTTATTCATGAAGTTTCTAAATGATTCTCTGGATACTCGTGTAAGTGAGAGGTATAAAATTTATGCTTGTGTCACCTGTTAGACCAAACTCCTTTGACCAATGGGACACGGACCTCTCACTCAGGTGTGAGCCGTATGGTGTGGATGGTCCCCTTGGTGGTGGTTTCTGCTCTCACTCTGCTGTGCCTCATCATGCTGCTGATTGTGATGGTCTACTGGAGGTGAGGAAAAATACACACATCCACATTGCAGAGGCCTCATTATTCGGCTTGAATTTTAATAAGCAAGAGGTTTTACATGTAGCTGCTGATCTTTGGTATCACTGAAACCTTTCTCTCTCTCAGTTAAATGAGCGGCTAACCCACACTGGTCTCAACCATATATTTTTCACACTTTGTGTAGTAATCTTCCACCGTCATGCATTACTTAATGTCCCACTTTGCCTAACATAGTCAGTCATTTTAAATGCATACATGGCTCAGTTTCAGCCGCTCTGGTTGGAAAGCTGCCCTCGTGCCTTCACTTTGCATATCAGGCCCATCACCCACTTGGGTGAGGGGGGAAGAGACCTAAAGGCCCTGCAGTTCCCACACAGGTCCCAGCTGTGTCTTCATCTGCTGGACTAATTTCCAGTCACGCCATTGGAGCCCCAGTAATTACACAGGCCAGGCCACTAGCACATGTCGGATGGTAGTTAATGAGAAACAAATAGCACTATGGACCACTTCCTCAGTTGGTGCCAGACATATTTACTGCTGCTACTTGTGTAGGATTTTATTTGTTCCTGGTCTCAGACTCTCTCTTTTTTTTTTCTTCCCCTTTTTGATTGGACTGCTCTGTAAAATCACTTCAGCAAATGTTTATGGCACCTTACTGTGGCAGATAATAAAGTTGTGATATAAATAAAAGCCTGGCTATCAGCTCCATAGAGGTGTAAAAAAACAGACAGCTGGAAGCAAGATGACTGTAGCGGATTCAGTTGGTGGGCAAATTACCGAGAGTTGTGGTATTCAAGTAGAAACACAGGGGCAGCTTTGAGATTACAACAGCTGTTGTTGTGACAACTCCGACAGTTCACAGACAATGCCTTCTTCCCCTGGGGAAAAGGCCATGATGAAAGATGATATTCACACTCTCTTAAATCTTCATCCTCTGTGTAACCTCTTGGTGACAAAGCAGCTATTGAAGCCTTTGAGTGTCCCCGGTTGCAGATTCTTTGCTCATTATCAACATAAAGCCCAAATCTATTTCATTTTCAAATATTTATCTGAAAACAAGTAGCCAGTGGGCTTTATTGACATTTGGTAGACTTGTCTGCTTTCTTTTTTTCTTTAGTCCATTTTGATTGTTTGGTCAGTCTGAGGTGAAGAAACCTATCCAGGGTGGAATTAATTGCATCAGCAAGAGTGCACATCTGGGAGCTTCTGGGGCTGGAGGTGGTTGTTGAAAGCTCGGACAGATGTCAAAATGAGAACAAATCCCATCTCTTATCAGCGCCTCTCTGCTGCTGATGCCCGTGTCGAATAGAAGGCCTCCGTTTTTGTTCTGTTCGCGCTCTCGCGAAGCAACTCATTCCTCTGTGACGGTAGGAGAGAGCCAGCAAGGAGATGTTGACAGTGCTGCTTAGGTAGCTGGACCACATCTGCACTCCAAGGGAGTCATTAAATTTGGAGACAGTGACGCAAACCAGGAGGGGGACTCTCCTCCCCCATTTGTTTTTTCAGCGTCCCCTCTTGGTCCCTCTCTCTCCATCTCTCCATCTCCTAAATGCAAGGCCACCTTTTTGTTTTTGTTGCGTCTCTCTTTAAGAATGACAAGCTTCTGCTCCCTCCTCTGCAGCAAATACAGGTAGGAAGAAACTTAGGCTACGATGACGCTTGAAATGTATGGGTACTGGTAATTTATTAGTGGAGATCGTGCCTTTGAAAAGGTGGTTAATATGCACAGGGTGTAGGACTTGCTCTCCTCTGTCATGTTAAAATTGGACATTTTTTATGCCCGTTATGGAGAGGGATTTCTTAAATATGGAAAGCGTTGACCCCAAAAAATGCACAGCTGCCCTTTTTTACAAAGCTGAAATATCCGTCATTCAATAATTTAAACATTCTCAAAAGATCGTTGCTGCTTGCACTATTCAATATATAAACTTTTGACCTTGAATTGTATGACATTGGTGAGATATTATCCAAGAGGAGTTAAAAAGTGTTGGCTTTTGAAGCAAAATGGATTTTCCGGTGAACAGTGTTGGATTAAAAAATATATGAGCACTAGCCTTTGGAATAGGCAGCTGCGCCGATGAGTCTTATTTTCTTCAGAAATGTACGTGGCTTTGGTTTGCCGTGTTGTGAGGCGTCCTATCTTGGTCATGAGGAAGTTGTGTTTGGTTTGTGTTTAAATCCGTAGCCGGCTAATGTGAGCTGCTGTGCGTTGTTTACCTGGTCCCAGTAGCCGGCTCACACTGCGTTTCCAGGAGATGCTCGTTCTATCCGCGTGCAATCAGCCGTGTCCCAGTTACTCCAGGGTTTTCATTAGCACTTTTCAGCTGTTGTCATTCTCCTGAACATTTAACATGCTCATGTTGACAGTGCACATCCGAGGACGACTCCCTAATACACTTTACTGCATCACCTGTGCTGCTAGCGTGTGAATTCACTGTGCTGAAATCCCTCCTCTAATCGTTTTGTATCCCTTTAGGAGATTTTTCCAAACAGCTCATTTCTATGTTGAAGAGAGTAGCTCTCCAAGGGTGGTGGCCAATGAGAATATCCCAATTATCCCGATTCCAGGTGAGTGGCACTATGTTTCCTTTACTGTGTTGGAGAAATTGGTATATTGTTTGGTCTGATACAAACATAAATTAATCATGATAGGGGGGGTATATTTTACCAGCTGTAAGTGGAGAAACAACCTGCTGTGATATCAGTTTGGATGGTTGGCGAGAGATGATTCATAACTGGTGAAACATAAAAATCTGTCACTAATAGGGAGATATGTGATGTTTAAATAAAGGGGCGATCTGTTTAACAAGCAAACTGGGCTACAGCTGTAGATCTGCCAGTGTTGACACAGTTTAAATCCCTCTTGTTAAATGTGATGTTTGTATTGTTTTATTGAACCTGAAACGAGTATTTGAACCAAAATGCACAGCTGGAGTGTTCGCTTACTCCCAGAGATCCAGCTCTATTGATAAAAGCACACCTCTATGCTCCCTCATTAACTGTTTTCCGATGGTTTCTTAAATTACCTCGACATCTCAGTTTGCACACTTTCTGTTCATTTGCATGTGAAGTGACTCCTTGAACAGCTTTGCTGGAGTTGTTGGCTTTTCTCTGCCCTTAATATCCCAGGCAGCTGTGCAGTGGCAGCTTGTCGATATCAGACTTTACCTTCACAGTCTCTTAAAGCTCATTTTAAGGCAGTGATAGCTTAGTCAGAGTGCAGCTGATGCTTGAGTTCACTCTGCATTCATCCCACTCGCATTGGTCTTTGTTAATTCATTGTTTCTTTCTCTGTAGAACTCTAAATGCAAAGTGCTCACAATTTGTCAGTTTCCTACATTTAAATGCTTCGGAATGTGCCACGGGACTTCAAAGCATCCGAGAGAACATAGCTGTGAACGTTTTCGCATGCTTAAAAAAGAGAAGTCAGCCTAATAAGCCGTAGTCCATTAGAACATCGAGCTGCTGATAGCACTTTGATAAATTACCAGATTAATAAATGAGGACTCACCTTTACACTGTAACCAGTGAAGCAAGTAAAAGCCTCAGCTGCAAGGGTCTGTGAGTTAAGACTTGGGCCGGGATCAGCCCTGATGACAGCTGGGTCCCCTCTATTGTTGTGACTGTGCAGCGCAGACCAGCCTTATCAACGTCCCTTCATGTGTGATATAGGGCTGATTTGGCTTAGCTGAAACAGATGCTCCCTCCCATAAAAGCCCACAAAATAGCTGTTTTTGAGGTCAGCCTGCAAGAAAAATCATGTTTGTTTGTTTTGTTTTTTTTCCCATCAAGAAAATGACTCTCTGCGATTCTCACCACAAATTATGTCCTTTGGAAATTCAGTTGGTAAACATCCGCTCCTGACCATGATGGATGGGTGTGCTGCTAACTGCGCTCACTGCTTTTTTTTTTTCTCCTGCAGATGACATGGAGGCCATCCCTGTCAAACAGTTTGTTAAACACATCATGGAGCTCTACAAAAACAACATGCAAGGTTTTGCGGAGGAGTTTGAGGTATACTTTCACTCTGCTCTAGTTTGAGGAGTTTTCTAAACATTGTTTTAAAGCTTTATTTAACAGAAAACTGTGCTTTTGATAATGACCTCCTGTGCAGATTACCAACAACATTAACAAGACAAAGCATGTAGAAAAGTACATTAGTTTTCTCTCTTGAGTTTGACACAGACTGATTGACTACTGGTCACAGCGTTTGTCAGTTTTGCTCATTTCTCCGATGTAGACAAACATGCTTTAATCAGTCAGACATGATATGGTTTGTTTGGATGAAGACTGGCTCTTTTTGACCAGATGGTCAAGAGAAAGATGTAGAGAAAGATCAGAGAGACAAAGGTTAATTGGAGAAGGTCTCTGTGCTGGTTGACTGGATGGGAACACTTTTTATCTCTGTAACTAGGTTATGAAAGGAAGCAAAAGCGTCACCCCTGGAGTATTCTGTCTAATTGGGGTCATTTGATGTGAGGCTGGTGTGGATGATTTTTCAAACGCGCCAGGATGAAGCTGGGCTGCAAGTGACTACATTTTTTGGATGGATGAATGTGCTGTGGTGTAGTGAAGAGGAAAAGAAGGAGGCTGTTCTACTGGAGGCTTTAGCCGGAGCCCCAGTGGCAATAAGCATCTGCTCTGCTGAAGCGTCCTTGACCGAGACTCTGAACCCCTGCTGGAGGTTCGGCTCATCCCGAGCCCCGAGCTCGCTCATGCACCGGGGAGATTTAGGGAAAAGTTTCCGTTTAGAAACAAACAGCATTAGACAAAAACAAAACACCACAGCTACAGTTTAAGCAAATCCATGCGTACTAATTCCAGTCATATCCACTGTGGTGCTCCCTCTCCAGGAAGTCCAACGCTCCACAGTCGACCTGAAAATCACAGCAGAACATTCCAATCATCCTGACAACAAGCACAAAAACCGATACATCAACATTGTGGCATGTAAGTCAACTGTAAAATCTGATTAGTCTGTCTGCTGCTATGGGATTCAATAATGCTTTTTTTCAGGTTTTCATCCTTTTTACAATTCATGTAAATATGTCAATTTCTTCCCTAGATGACCACAGCAGGGTGAAATTACGAGCTTTGGCGGGGAAAGATGCAAAACATTCGGATTACATCAACGCCAACTATGTGGATGTGAGTTCATTTCCACTTTACTCAAGGCTCTAGTTCCTTTTTTTCTCTGTGCTGATGCAGGCACCGGTTTGGTTATCAGAGCAAGCATGAGTTGTAAAAACTAAACTTCAGTGTTAGACCCTAACATCTTTTTCGAGAACACCAGATAAAATATCAAACACAGAAATCAAGAGGAAACAGGGTTTTGTGCGACACGTATCAGTCAATACAAAAATACCGATATTATTATGACTTTAAATAAATAAAATGAAATACTGCTAATGATTTCTGTTAAAAAAAAGAAAAGGCTAATCTTTATTGCCTTGCCGTTTCAGGGCTACAACCGACCCAGAGCTTATATAGCCGCTCAGGGTCCTCTTAAGTCTACGTTCGAGGACTTCTGGAGGATGGTCTGGGAGCAGAATACTGGGATCATTGTCATGATAACTAATCTTGTGGAAAAGGGAAGGGTAAGGTCACTTCCATCATCTCAAAATATGAGATCATAAAACAAAGAAATCTATCCCATGCACGCTAATTTATGTTTCTTTGCAACTGTTGTGCCTTTCAGAGAAAATGTGACCAATACTGGCCAACAGAAAACAGCGAGCAGTACGGAAACATCGTGGTGACGCTGAAAAGCACCGAAGTGCACGCCTGCTACACCCTGCGCCATTTTCTTATAAGGAACACTAAAGTTAAAAAGGTAGAGTTCAATCCAGCATGTACTTTTTTTGCTATGTTATTCATGTCCACACACGGAGAAGTGTGTAACGATAGGCACTGTTTGGATGGTTCTGTGATTACCAGGAAATATTTATTAAGACCCTAACCTGCCAGCCCCAAACTAAACAGACAAAGCTGTTGATTGATACACTATATTGCCAAAAGTATTTGCTCACCTGCCTTGACTCACATATGAGCTTAAGTGACATCCCGTTCCTAATCCATAGGGTTCAATATGACGTCGGTCCACCCTTTGCAGCTAGAACAGCTTCAACTCTTCTGGGAAGGCTGTCCACAAGGTTTAGGAGTGTGTTTATGGGAATTTTTGACCATTCTTCCAGAAGCGCATTTGTGAGGTCGCACACTGATGTTGGACGAGAAGGCCTGGCTCTCAGTCTCCGCTCTAATTCATCCCAAAGGTGTTCTATCGGGTTGAGGTCAGGACTCTGTGCAGGCCAGTCAAGTTCATCCACACCAGACTCTGTCATCCATGTCTTTATGGACCTTGCTTTGTGCACTGGTGCACAGTCATGTTGGAAGAGGAAGGGGCCAGCTCCAAACTGTTCCCACAAAGTTGGGAGCATGGAATTGTCCAAAATGTCTTGGTATGCTGAAGCATTCAGAGTTCCTTTCACTGGAACTAAGGGGCCAAGCCCAGCTCCTGAAAAACAACCCCACACCATAATCCCCCCTCCACCAAACTTTACACTTGGCACAATGCAGTCAGACAAGTACCGTTCTCCTGGCAACCGCCAAACCCAGACCCGTCTATCAGATTGCCAGATGGAGAAGCGCGATTCGTCACTCCAGAGAACGCGTCTCCACTGCTCTAGAGTCCAGTGGCGGCGTGCTTTACACCACCGCATCCGACGCTTTGCATTGCACTTGGTGATGTATGGCTTGGATGCAGCTGCTCGACCATGGAAACCCATTCCATGAAGCTCTCTGCGCACTGTTCTTGAGCTAATCTGAAGGCCACATGAAGTTTGGAGGTCTGTAGTGATTGACTCTGCAGAAAGTTGGCGACCTCTTCGCACTATGCGCGTCAGCATCCGCTGACCCCGCTCCGTCAGTTTACGTGGCCTACCACTTCGTGGCTGAGTTGCTGTCGTTCCCAAACACTTCCATTTTCTTATAATACAGCTGACAGTTGACTGTGGAATATTTAGGAGCGAGGAAATTTCACGACTGGATTTGTTGCACAGGTGGCATCCTATCACAGTTCCACGCTGGAATTCACTGAGCTCCTGAGAGCGACCCATTCTTTCACAAATGTTTGTAAAAACAGTCTGCATGCCTAGGTGCTTGAATTTATACACCTGTGGCCATGGAAGTGATTGGAACACCTGATTCCGATAATTTGGATGGGTGAGCAAATACTTTTGGCAATATAGTGTATGATCATAAGTACATTAATGGATTCATATCAACATGATTTCTTTTTAAATACAAAAGTTATTCACAGTCAAATATTCATAATTTTCTTCGTTCTGAAAATGCTAATCATTGCTGTCTTGCTTAAGATTATCAAATAAAATATCATATATCTGTTTTTCATTATTTTACGCATGCTAAAAAGCCGAACTGTGTAGAGATTCTAAAGTGTTAATTTACATATTTTTCTATATATTCAACAGAAAATATTTATTTTTATGTATTTGTAAAGTACTGTGAACCTTTTCTGTTCTCATTTATGGCCTCCTTGCTCACGTGTTGATCATTCTAAACATTTCTTAACACGCTTTGCTTCCAATTTTTCCGGCTTTTTACTTCGGGTGGTTTTTAGTTTCGGGTGACTTAAATGGTAAATCTCTGTTCATCGACTAAAGGCTAAAAATAGGAGTTAAGATTGAATGTTCAAAGGATACGTATATCCTCTGTAGATCCTTTTGCTCCACATTGGGAGAGTGAAGGGACGGCATTGTCTCCTCAGCATAATCATTGGTCTGTTCTAACGCTTCAGGGTCAGAAGGGGAATCCAAAAGGGAAGCTGAATGAGCGCACTGTGGTCCAGTATCACTACACTCAGTGGCCTGACATGGGCGTCCCAGAGTACACCCTTCCTGTTCTCACCTTCATCAACCGCTCCTCAGCGGCTCGCACTGCAGACATGGGTCCGGTCCTGGTACACTGCAGGTACATCGCTAATGCTGATTCCCACGGCTAACTAATTGTTGCCGATGCGCGTTAAGACTCACATGTGCTGACTTGGTTCGAATTTTCCCTCGGCGGTTCGACTCACATTAATTTTGTATTCCGCTCCTCAGTGCTGGGGTTGGGCGCACGGGAACGTACATCGTCATTGACAGCATGCTGCAACAGATCAAGGACAAAAGCACAGTCAGCGTCCTGGATTTCCTCAAACATATACGCACACAACGCAACTACCTAGTCCAGACGGAGGTAAGACGCCCCAAAATAATCAGGTTCTTTGGGAAGCTGGCTTCTACCTGCAAAGGTCACATGCGATTTAAGATGGTAACGCAGTTCTAAAATCTATTCACTTTGATACTGTGAGCTCAGATAAAGGTCACAGTCTCTGCGGCTTCAGTGCAGCACAGAGTGCAAACTATTACACGCTCACCATAATACGGATGACCGTATCACAACAGACCCGCTGAACACTGGCTGTTCCCAGGCCACATCCTCTGCACCTTATCATGAACATTTAAGAGCTCATGTGAAATAGATTGAAAAGTCCCATTAACATATATTTACATAATTCTTCGAGAACCTAAGCTGTGAAGCCACCCCCTTCTGAAGCGTGCAGTCTGATCTGATTGGTTTGGCTCCACTGGCCTGAGCAGGCACCCCCCTGCATAGTCAAAGCAGAATTTGAGAAAGTATTTTTTTTTATCGAATGGAGGCTTTCAGTGTAGGGCAAACATCAATGAAAATCAAAAAAAAAAGACATATTTTCCCCTATGATAAATGTTGTGCCCACTGCCTATTAAAAGCAGATATTTGAAATTTTAAATGTATTTATCATATAATAAGACACATACAGGGCTATCACGTTATCATCCAGGTTGCATTTTATGTGTCAGAGTTTGTTAGGAATAGTTGCTTATTATCTGATGGATAATTCCTAAGACTGTGTCCCCGCTGCTTTCTGACAGGAGCAGTACGTCTTTATCCACGATGCTCTGATGGAGGCCATCCTCAGCAGAGAGACCGAGGTGCCCGCCTGCCAGCTGCACAGCTACGTCAACAGCATCCTAACGCCCAACTCCACCGGCCGCACGCGGCTGGAGAAGCAGTTCAGGGTGAGTCCGGCCGGCCGGTCCAGCCGGACGAGCTGTCACGGCCCACAATGACAACATCAGCTAGATTCCAGGTGGTCTTCGGATCAGAAGCTTGTTAGCGACAGGCACGGTGACTTTCCACTTCCAGACATGAGGAGATCGAAAGTGTCTTTGATGTTTGCTTTAATAAAGTCGTGTCTGTCACCCCTGCTGCGTTATGCAAAGTTTGATGAATGTTTCATCAAGCTGCTGCTCTTTCAACATCAAGAGAGAAATAAATAATTGCTCACATAATGTCATTTTTTTCCCGGGCTTCACGCGCTCATTATTAATTTGAATGACGTGCTGTTAATTTCAGGTTGCTAAACAAGGTTATATCTTATTCATCATGTCTGATTTGAATTTGCACCGACTCCCAGGATTAAAACCGGATTTTTGTCTTCTCTGTCTCCAGCTGCTGACTCAGTGCAACGCACGCTTTCTGGAGTGCTTCAGCGCCCATAAAGACTGCAACAAGGAGAAGAACCGCAATTCCTCAGTGGTACCCTGTGAGTATTCCCCACAACGCTGGACCCGAGGCCAGGCAAACAATGGATCCCAGCATTCCTGAATGAAGAATGTTACCTTTTTTCCCCTTTTTACAGCCAGTAAATTATTAAGACAATTTGTATTCCAAAATTAGAGTCCATTTCCATAATCCTATAAGTTAATCTTTATATGCATTCTCGGCACATTGACGGGAGGAAAGGAGATACTTGTTGCTATAGCAACAGTCAGGACGGGTAATGAATGTGTGCATTATCAGCCTGTGTGATATAAAGAGGCCCGGGTAGTGATTTAAAGCATGTTTTTCTATCTCTGCCTCAACAGCGGAGCGAGCGAGGGTTGGACTCACCACTCTGCCTGGCATGAAAGGAACAGATTACATTAATGCATCCTACATAATGGTACGGTGTTGATAATTAATGAGTAGTGTTTCTTTACGCTAGCCCGTTGTGCTTCTGAGAATGATTGTAGAGAAAATGAGACGCAGCCATCCTTTAAAAAGGCTAACAGCCCACCTCTGTCATCCTAGGGCTATTACAGGAGTAATGAGTTCATCGTGACCCAGCATCCTTTGCCCCACACCACCACAGATTTCTGGAGGATGATTTGGGACCACAATGCTCAGATTATTGTCATGTTGCCCGACAACCAGGGTTTGGTACGATGCACTGATAATGACAACCATTTAAACATTTGGAGAAGAAAAGAAACATTAACCCGTGCTGCTGTTTGCCTGCAGGCTGAGGATGAATTTGTTTACTGGCCAAGTCGGGAAGAGGCCATGAATTGTATCGCCTTCACTGTCACTCTCATCAGTAAGGACAGACTGTGCCTCTCCAACGAAGAGCAGATCATCATCCATGACTTTATCTTAGAGGCTACACAGGTGTGCACTCCTTCATCCCAACGCTCATTTAATCTCATAATGTGTTTTTCCATTCTAAAATCCTGTGGGTGTACTCTCTCATCTTGTGTATAAAAAGGATGACTACGTTCTTGAAGTGAGACACTTTCAATGCCCAAAGTGGCCAAATCCAGACGCTCCTCTCAGCAGCACTTTTGAACTGATCAGTGTCATTAAGGAGGAAGCCATGACTCGAGATGGCCCCACTATTGTGCACGATGAGTAAGTCTGCTTTTCCCCCTGTCTCTCTTTATAGAGTTAGTTAGAATTTCTCAGGAAAGTTTTGGTCATTACACAAATCTTTTCTTTAGACTTGACTCTAGCACAAATCTAGGGAAATAAATTCCATGTATGATTTCATCACACCCTGTTAGTCTTGTGTGTAAAGGATTTAAAGGGCTTAGAAGTGATAAAGATCCCTCCTGGTTTTTAATTACCTTCTGTTAGTGGCCTTGTTTGCACCAGCAGGATGGAAAAGAAGCCATTAAACGTTGAGTGCCTCGCATGGTTTGGGGTGTCAAAGTCCTTAATTGTATGCCAGCGCTAAGAATCTGCAGGCCGCCACCAGAATAAACAAAAAGGCCAAGAGTTTGTTGGTAACTTGGCAACGACAGCGGTTTCCATGCTCCCAGCATCAGTCTGCAGCGCCTGCTGTTAGCTCAAACATCAGCTGCGGGAATAGCCTTCATTGCCCAGTGTCCACTTAATGACAGTTTCAGAATTAGTAGGAAAACACACCTTCGTGTTGTATTCTGTACATGATGATGCACTGGCATAAAAAAACAGCCTAAATAAACAGCCAGACGCCACGCGGTGGACTTGGACATTTGCAGTCTTGCACAGGAACACCAGAAATGTGCTGGCACACATCGGTGTCTTAAACAGCTGAGCTGTTATGTAACCCACTGATGTAACCCAAGACCACGAGAGACGGAGGAGGGTTTTCACTTGGAGCTCATTGTGAACGTTTCCTCCCAGGTACGGAGCAGTGTCGGCGGGGATGTTCTGTGCCCTGACCACGCTGGCCCAGCAGCTGGAGAACGAGGGGCTCGTCGACATCTATCAAGTGGCAAAGATGATCAATCTCATGAGGCCGGGAGTCTTCACTGATATAGTAAGTCCGCAGTGATGAAGAGACAAACACTGGTCTTTGGGGTCAGTTTGAACCTGCACTCACGTGTTCAGCCGACTATGTGGCACCCTCTGAAGGGAAATGGTTCGTTTTTGATTGACATCATAGTGGGCTCCAACCAAAAAGCACGAGGATGAGTTTGTTTCTTCAAGCAGCAAATTAAGTGTGACAGATTTGACTTCCAAGCTACAGTTGGCATCAAAATGGTTCTCTTTGTCCTTCTGCATTGCTGTAGTAACATGACAGAGTAGAATAGATAGCAGATCATGCCGTGGGTTTCATATGTATACATTTAACAAAGGTATGAATTAAAATAAATTAAATATATATAATGTATATATATTATATGTATATTCATATTAGGCTTTGGACTTTAAGGTGTTAATTTTTTTTTTTTTTTGTAATTTATATTTTTATTTAGAAAGACAAATTTCCATCACATTCGTTGATTACAGCTTTTCCCATTTAAGATCGTACATGAGTATACTACCGGAATGTTTAAATGAATTTTTCCATACTGTCTTTCTAGTATTTTTACAGACTATTTCTAAATTTTAATTGTAAACAATAACAAAAATGAACAGAATTCAACAATAATGGGGATTGCACCATCTCAAGCAATAAAAAAACAACAACACAGGAACATACAAGGGGGGGGCACATACTTCTCAAGAACAGTCAAATGAAGTCAGATCTAGTCGGTTTTACATACTCAGTCCATTTGGTCCAGATCTTATAAAACTTTCCCTTTTCAACTTGGAGGGAAAAAGAAATCTTTTCCATAACATAAATCTGGTGAACAATTTCAATCCATTCATCGATAGTGGGTGGGTCTGGTTTTAGCCATTTCCTTGTGATGGCTTTCTTACTGGCTGCCAGTAGTATTGCCAGGAGTTTTTTGTCTGCATTTGTCCATGTGTCCAAATGTAAGTTACCCAAGTACAACGTTTCACATTTGAATGGAATCTTTATATTAAATACATTTTCAATATGTTTGTGGAACTCTTCCCAGTATGGTGTTATTACTTGGCACTCCCAAAAAACATGGAAGTGGTTGGCTCCCTTAGACCCACAGAGCCTCCAGCAGGCGTCATCGTTGTTTTGATATCGTCTCTGAATGGGTGTAACAAAAAATCGTGCAACATTTTTCCAACAAAACTCCCGCCATGTGTTCGATCCAGTTGAGACCCACTGCAGTTGACATATTTCTTCCCAGCCTTCTTGTGAGATTTTAACCTTAATTTCCTTTTCCCATTTCCTCTTTATGTATTCTGTATTCTCATGTTTAGACAGCTGTATGGCATTATATAACTTTGAGATAATTCTACTGTCTGAACTGGGTTTAATTAGTGATAAAAATGTCTCCATGAAACTTGAATCACTCTTTCTCAGCCCCTCTTTAAAATTTCTATTAAAATAATGTCTCACCTGCAGGTACCTAAAAAAATCCTCTTTCTCCAGTCCATGATCCTTCTGTAGGGTATCAAAACTCTGAAATATCCCTTTATGGACAAATGAATAATAGGTAGTTAATCCTTTTGAGATCCATAACTTAAATCTATTATCAATCTTATTAGGTGCAAAATCTGAATCGTAGGCACACCACCTCATAATTTTAGATGTTTTTCCTATTCTGCAGATTTTAGCCAATTCCTGCCAGGACCTGAGAGAACTACCTGTAATGGAGTCTTCTGGAATCTGCTGTTCCTCTTGTAATTTATGATCACCGAGTAGGGCTGTTATTGGGATTCCTTTTATTGTTGTGCTTTCTATTTCCTTCCATGCTGCGGTGTATGATGATGAGCACAGGCAGACTAAAGATCTCAGCTGGGCTGCGTGGTAGTAATCCTGCAAACAGGGAAGGCCCATTCCACCCTTTTCTTTTTTTAGTTGTAAAGTTTTAAACTTAATTCTGGCCTTTTTACCCTGCCATAAATATCTCGCTATTAATCTATCCCATTCTGAGAACTGTTTAGGTGGAATTCTAACGGGTAAACTTTGAAATAAGTACAGTAGCTGTGGAAGGAGAGTCATTCTAATGGATTCTATCCGGGAGCTCAGACCCAAAAAGGGAATAACATTCCATCTATGTAAATCTGATTTTATTTTCAAATTTAGTGGGCCATAATTTATATCAAACAGTTTTGAGAAGTCCCTCGGTAGTGACACACCCAGATATTTGATACACTCAGCCTCCCACTTCCAGTTGTACACAGTCTTAATTGAAGACGGTGGATCATAGTTAAATGTTAATACTTGAGTTTTATTTATGTTAATTTTGTAACCAGAAATTAAACTAAACTCTTCGAGTAACTTCATCAGTTTTGGGATTGTTTGTGTGGGCTGCGTTATATTGATCAATAAATCGTCAGCAAACAAGGATAGTTTTTGCTCCCCAGATGTCGTTGAAACCCCTTTTATATCTGGACTCTGCCTGATAAGTTGACTCATGGGCTCAATATATAAGGCAAAGAGAAGCGGCGACACACAACACCCCTGTCTCGTTCCTCTCTCCAAAGTGAATGAATTGGTCAGATCTCCGTTAATTTTGATTCTAGCTGTTGGTTTGTTGTATAAGGATTTAAATGTGTCAATTATCGTTTTATGAAACCCAAATTTTGAAAGCACTTTATATAAGAATGACCACCTCACCGAATCGAATGCTTTCTCTGCATCTAGACTTAATATCAGTGCCTCTAATTTTTGTTGAGTAAGTTCCTTCATAATGTGTAATGTTTTTCTAATGTTGTCTTGGGTCCGTCTCTGCTTGACAAAACCAGTCTGGTCCTTATGTATTAAATCTGGTAATATGTTTTCTATTCTTTTGGATAGTATGGAGGTGAAAAGTTTGTAGTCATTGTTTAGAAGACTTACAGGACGGTAGCTCCCACATTCCAATTTGTCTTTTCCTTCCTTGGGTATGACTGAAATCACGGCCTCTTTCCATGAGGGTGGAATAATTTTATTTTCCAAAACCCAGTTGAAGGTTTTCTCTAATGTTGGTATTAGTTGGTCTTGCATAGTTTTATACCATTCTGTAGTGAATCCGTCTGTCCCTGGAGATTTTCCCTTTTTAGTTCTCTTGATTGCTGATTGGATTTCCTCTTTTGTAATTTTAGATATTAATTTTTTATTTTGTTCATCAGTGACCGTTGGAAGATTGATCTTTTCCAGAAAGGCATCGGTCTGATTGTCGTTGCTTGTCTGTATTTGAGAGTATAGTGTTTCATAATATCTTTGAAAGGAGTTTTTGATTTCTTCCGGATTAGTTTCTATTTTATTTGTTACACTATTTCTTATTTTATGTATAGTTCTACAGGCTTGTTGTCTTCTTAACCTATATGACAAAAGTTTCAGGGATTTCCCACCTATCTCATAATATTGCTGTTTTATAAAAATAAGCTTCTTTTGGATTTCCTGGATGTTTATTTCTTCTATTTCTTTCTTAAGTTTTATAATCCTATGGTTGGTGTTTTCATCTTTGGGCGATTTTGCATGTTCTCTCTGTAATCTTTTCAACTCCTCTTCTAAATCCTGGAGTTTCTTTGCTCTGATTCTCTTCTCATATGAGGTTATGGATATAATTTTACCTCTAATCACTGCTTTTAATGCGTCCCAGATTATAGGAGGGGTCACTTCTTCATTATCATTATTTTCCAAATATAGATTAATTTCACGTTTTAGTTTATCTCTAATATCCAATTTGTTCAAAATGTTAGAGTTCAGTCTCCACAGAGTGAACCTCCTCTTATTACTCAGACGGATTGAGATGTAGATGGGGCCATGATCTGAAAGAGTATTAGGGCCTATTTCACTGCTGTCTACCCTAAAAAGATCCCCCTTAAACATAAAGAAGTAATCTATGCGGGAGTAGACATTGTGAGCATGTGAGTAGTGTGAATAATCTCGACTCTTTGGGTTTCTTTCTCTCCAAACGTCCACGACCCCCATCTCATTCATCCAGGTGTTTAATCTTCTGCTAGTGTTTTTTGCGTCAGGTTTCCCGTTCGAAGAGTCTATTTTCGGATTTAATCGAACATTGAAGTCTCCGCCGCATATTAAAATCCCTTGACTTTTGGTTGTCATTATATCAACTACTTGTTTATAAAAAGACCAATGACTTCCGGGAGGAATATATACGTTAAGGAAAGTTATCACGCTTCCTTCTATTTTGCCTATGACCATAAGAAATCTACCTTCCTTGTCCTTATATTCTGAAATGTGCTCATAATTTACAGCCTTGGATATGAGGGTCGCCACTCCCCTTCGCCTCCCCGAATCATGTGAAGAGAAGTAAACATGTTTAAATCCTTGTTTATTTAATTTGGCGTGTTCTGAGTCGTTTAGGTGCGTCTCTTGCAAAAAAGCAATTTGGACTTTATCTTTCCTTAATTTTGACAAAATTCTTTCCCTCTTAACTGGATTGAGTACTCCATTTATATTAAATGATGCTATTTTTAAAGATCCGTTTTGCATCTATGTGATTCCCCCCTCCATCTCACTCAAAAACCTGGTGCATTTCCCCCTTCCTGCGAGAACCGGCAGGGAACAGACAATTAGCATAATAAACAAAGAACTGAACATAATTTGTCCATGTAACTTCCTAGGTAGGGGTCTAATAACCTGACCCTGTTGAGACCCTCCAAGGGGTTCGAAGGAAAAAGTTCCCCTCCTCGATCCGGGGGGGGAGGTCCTTACCTGCAACAGTCGCATGTCGTGAGAAAAAAAAAAAAGGAAAAACCGAGAAAGGTTTCCCAACTCCAAACGAAGAGAAAAAAGAAAAAGGAAGGTCCCAATTGAACCGGATTATTCAAAAGTTTGTTTCCACCACTAGTTACAGATTTGGTTGGAGATATTTCACAATTCCTCCCGCCGTCTTCGGCCTGGGGAAGATCCGCTAGGTCCCGGAGGGGGTCGCAGGTGTTCTCCTGAAGGCTCGCAGCTTCTCCTTGTAGCTGGAGCCCCGGCCGGCTTTAAAGGTGCCCTTCCTCGCTCGTCGATCCATTCTCGTCCAGGACAGTTGCTGCACCTGCTCCATGAGCGTTTCCGGAGGTTTAATGGTTGGCACATTGAAGCCTCGTCTCAGCAGATCCTCTGACGCCTCCTCTACCGTATCGTAGGTTATGGTTCCGTCTTCGTATCTAACACGCAGCTTCGCGGGGAAGAGGGTCTGGAAGTGGATGTTATTTTCCTTCAAGACTTTGCGGATTTCTTTATATTCCCTTCGTCTTTTAAGTATGAGAGGTGGATAATCGTGATCCAGGTTGATGTGATTTTCTTGCCATGTAAACCCCTTCCTCCGCCAGGCTTTGTGGAGTATCATCTCTTTGGTTCTGAAGCTTAAAAATTTAATTATGATGGAGCGCGGTGGGGCTTCGGCTGGAGGTTGCGGCCCCAGAGACCGGTGAGCTCTTTCGATGTGGAGATCAGGGATGTCTTCATTCAATTCAAGACATTGACGGAGTAGCACTTCGACAAATGAGATCATCGTCGAATCCTTCTCGGATCCTTCCGGTACCCCATATATCCTTATGTTCTCTCGTCTGGATCGACTCTCCAGATCCATCAATTTGTCTTCCAGCGTAGCGTGTAGCTTTAGCATAGCCGTGATAACCTCCTCCGTATTTAGGATCCTTTCCTCTGCCTTCTCCACACGTCCCTCCACTTCTTCCATCCTGGTGTTCACCTTCGCAAGTTCTTCTTTTATCGTCTCAAATTGTTCTTTATTTTCTTGGCGAAACCCTTTTAATTCTCCCAAGATCAGTTCAGTGTCCGTCATTTTCAGGCACTACTCGTGACTTGTTAACTTCAACCCGTTAGCTGCTAGTTGTTGCTGCGTCCTTTCTTCCTCACCCACCTGACTTCAGTCGGCGTTTATTTCTCAAATTAGTGGTAGAGTCTCGTCCCCCTTTTTAAGTTATTGTATTGGTATATTTATCTAGTTTTTAAGGGGAGAATTTCTCTAATTCCTCCGGTTCAACCAGGAGCGCTCTCACTATGCGACCATTATGATGGTGGTCCGTTCCGGAAGTCCAAGGTGTTAATTTTGATTAATTAATTTAAAAGAAAATAATGCATTTAAAAAATCCCACTCTTCAACTTAATGATATTTCAGAGCCATTTAGATGCCCAGGATGCATTGAGGGTAAACACACTTTGCATTACTGTTATAATGCAATGGTTTAAATGAAACATAAAAGACCAGTAGGTTTTGCTGTTAAAGGGTTAAGTTCATGTAAATATCTAGTCATTCATTCTGTCCTCAAGCAAGATTTATTACAATTGACAAACTAAGGTTTTTTTTAAAGTATATGTGCCATTTATATAAAAATTTAATTAATAGGGATTAAGTAATTATAATTTAATTCATTTAAAGACAGAAAGACCATCTCTTTGGGGTCACTTTGTTTCTTTTTAATCTACTCAGTTTTCTGCGTTGTTTTCCTTTTCTTCATTCTGCTCCAGACAACAAAGGCTTCAGTGATTGAATGCTTTACTCCATTTGCTAGCCAATAAATTAGATTTGCCTGCCAATTGATGCTAAGCAAGCCATAACTCTTAAAGTGATTAATTCATTTAAAATGTGTTTTTGAAGGTTAAACATACACAAGGCATTTATGGTTCTGCTTTCAAATGCGTCCCCCATATGTTGGGTTTAAGAGTGCTGCGACTCTCATGTCTGTAACATTATGAGGCCATAACTGAGGTGGTATAGTCAGACTCATAAAATCTGTTTCCTAAATGATTAACTATAATATTTAAGGGACTGGGTGATTGAAACGGTCTAAATAAATGGGAAAACTGGGTCAGGGCCCAACTCTCCGTCGAAGGAAAGACTGATTGTTGAATAAATCAGGGTGAAAAATACACTGGAACATCAATCTGTGTTTGATTAATTTTGGTAACGAAAATTACTGAATTAATAGCATGTGAAGGTTGAAGGGTGTTGGGGCTCAGAGCTGTCGAGGCTGGCGACACACATGGTAGATCAAGTGAAAATATTAAAGACCACTTTAATAGCATGTCTGTATTATCTCTGAGGATCAACGGTGCAGGATTAGAAAAAGAGGATGGTTAGTTTGAGCACAAGACTATTTAAAGCGAAATTAATAACAAATTAACCCAGGAAGACCTCGGATATGCATTGAGAAAAACCTAAAAACTCTGAATATGTAAACGTGGGACTTTTGGGAGGTCAAATTCTCAACTTTTTTTGTAATTCTTCTCTTTTGCCAAATGTTATCTGTTCACATTGTCATTTTTAATGCACTACAACTCAGATCAACTCATACACTGCACATGGATCTAAATGAAGCATTCACATGTAAAGCATCGCCCCACAATTTCCCATTTGAACACAGTTGCAGGGGCCCTTTTTGGTTTGTGCTGCGTTGCTTGGTTTCTTGTGCACTCACCTGGCAGCGTCCATGTGTGGCACGGGTGTTCCTGCTGAAAGTCGGCCAGATGCTCTGAATGTTTAGTGCACGTTTGATTCAATGGGGTTTGTCAAAGCAGGAGAGCTCAAAGCTGAGCTGATCTTTTCCACAACGATTAGTAAAGGAGAGAGCAAACCCCCCCCCTATCCCGAGGACCCAGGCAAAAATGACAGTTTCTTGGGCATTTGCTAACTGAACCTCAGCGCTTACACAGATCCAGGAGCGAGCTGGATGGAAAGTGCCTGTCCACTTAAATGCTATTGATTTATTTTCTTCAACTGTACATGTACAAAGAAGCATCGTCTCATTCGGGTGTAAAAAATAATATAGTAACAAAGTAGGTCACATTTGGTTCTGTTAACCTGCGGCTTGTCTTTGTTTGTGTGCACAGGAGCAGTACCAGTACCTTTACAAAGCCATGCTCAGCCTGGTCAGTAACAGAGAGTGCAGCCTGAGCCCCATGCACATGGACACTAATGGGGTGGTGGTGATCGGGGACGAGTCGGACCCTGCGGAGAGCATGGAGTCGCTCGTCTGAGGACATTCTCGCAGGCACCTAATTTGTAAAAATCCAAGAACTTTTCTGAGGCCTTTTTTGCCAGACTATTGATTAAACAAATAACCTTATTACTTTTTATACTGATAAAGGTTTTTGATATTTATGTTTTTGTCCTTTATTTCTTGTCTTAAATGTTCTCCTGCTGAGCATTTGCACCTGTTTTAAGTTGACATGAGGAAAAAGCAGCTCTGTCCAGTTTGCACTATACTATCAGTGTTACTGCCTAAACCCAGTGAGTGAAACTTTGGAAACGGTCGAATTCCGCCATCACCGCAGAACTGGGGTCTTGGACCGCGTCGAGACAAACCTGAAGCATGAAGACCCGGATGAGTCTAGGCGACCCACCTCCAATAACGTCTCAACAACAACACTCCATCACATGATTACATAGCCCAGCATGTATTTTTCACCTTGTCACTGCAGTCACACCCTTTTGAGGCTCCGCTCCACCCGGGTGGAGCTTTTTTATCACACACAAAGAGACTCGTAGCTGCCTATACATTTATGTCCCAGTATCTCACTGCTGTCCTGTAAAATGTACTTATGGCTTATTTTTGTTAAAGTGCGTTACAACACCTAATGTGAACATTTATTGCTTTTTACAGGGATTTATATTGTTATATTGTTTTGTAATATATATACATATATACATATATATATATACTTACATATATTCTATCCTTAATAGCCAGTTGTTATTTTTTGTCCTTTTTCTTTTGTCCGTTTTTTGTTTGTTTATTTCTTTCTTGTACTTTTGCAAATCGTCCACTGGCCTTGGCGTGGATTCATATTTTCAGAGATTTAGTTGCTTCTCCTGCAAAGCCGACATTTCCCCAGTCATGTTTGTTTTTGTTTTCTTTAACCTCAGCAGTAAAAGCTCAGCTTTTATAACACATGTATCTGTACCGACACAATGCAATGCCTACAAAAAAAACAAAAAAAAAACGATAAGTGTTCACTCCACACAGTTTTTCATGTTTTATTTTACAACGTTTTGTCACAGTTGATGTAATTCGCATTTCGCTTAAACACTGATCAACACAGAAATAACCTTAAGGTCAAGGTGAAAATGAATGTTTGAGTACTGAGGTAGATTTTTCTAAATAGAGAGACAAGAAAATGATGCAGACGTTTTTTCTTTGTTTGCGTCGGGGAGGAAATGCTGGATCGGCTTTGGGCTTTCGGGAGGCTTTCCTCTGCAAAGAGCTGCTCAGTGAGAACTTTCTCTTGACTGGATAGGTCTGTTGACTCTGACTCCCCCACTTTTGAACAGTCCTTCATATGAATATTGCTGCAGCTAATTCAAAGTTTCCATCAGGAATTCTTCACATTTCACTGTTTTAGTAGATTTTACGGTGGAGGAGCATCCTCTCCAGCCCTCCTGGTGAAGATGCTATTCAGTGCCTTGCAAAAGTTCTTTATTCTCATACTCGATTACTACTTTTTAATTAACCTGACACGTGTTTGGCTTATCCATCTGTCTTTATTTGACAATTTTCCAGGAAATATGCTGTAACGCCATCAGACAGTCATCACACGATGATGCAACTTATGAGAAAACCAGTGATGAATTCATTCTCAGAGATGGGACGGTTGTTTGTGGAGTGTTTTATCTGCCGTAAATTTGCATCAATACAATTCTTTTTTTCTTTTCTTTTTTTCACCTTGACACAAAACTCTGCTGATCAGTGTCTAGAAAAATAAATCTGTAAATAAATAAAACATGAAAAAATCAGAAGGAGGTGAAAACTTTCTATACACACTGTAGTTTCTTTTTGGTGGGTTGATGCTTTATTTGTAACCAAAGATGTGGTTCCAGTTTGAAACATGTAAGTGGTTTTGTCCTGAGATCTATTTAATCAACGAGAATTTAAAATCGAAATTTGTTCAAGCGTGCAGTACAGATTTCCAGTGTCAAAGGTGTGAATTTAACCAGAGTTAAGCATGTTTCTGTTTGAGCCTCAGGAACTAAACTTTCAGATAATCTGACTTTGTGATGCTTTCCTCACATTAGAAAATAAGGTTTCAAATTCAGACTGTAAATTGTATTTTATTTGGGCCAATATTCCGTCTCTGCGTTATTTTGTGGCTATAATTATAATCCCTTTTCAACCCTGGATGGTGTTTTTTCTTGACTTATTCATATTTGTTCACATTTCAGAGAATATCATGCAGCATAACAAAAAAATTCCACATTTAATCATCTCTTTACTGCAACTGCCGATTTTATTTTCCATTTTTTATCCTCAAAGTTAAAACCAGAAAACACATTCTGTAACCTTCCTCTTTTGTGTGAAGATTTTCTTTGTGCTTTTTCCCTGTGGTAGATCTTACTCTGAGGTAAAATGTCTTCTTTAAATCACCACGGCAAAGCCCCAGTAATCATTGCCGCTCCTCTGAGGGTTCTGCTGGGGTCTCGCCCAGATTTGCCTGACATTTGCTTAGTGTTTCAAAGGACCCGTGTGTTAGCTCATTTTAGCCAGGTCAGCAGTTAAATCTGATTAGTGATTTCAAATAGGGAAAATAGTCCTGTTCATCAGAGAAGAGCGCTCCACTGTGAACCTTTTGTTCCTTTTTTTTTAGTGTTATTTGATCATTGAAAATGAGCTGGCATATGTTAATTCGGGTGTGGTGCTGGGTGGTCTGTACCCTTGTGTCTTGGGAAAGCACATATGGATGGCTTTACTTTACTCAGAGCAAACCTGCACCTTTTGTCGCCCCCTGCTGTCAGCCTGTCATCAGACATAAGCTGTGGATAGAAACCTGAAAGAGTGAAAGTGGCATTAATACACTGATAAGTATTAATGCCATAATAACAGTAAGGTACTATTATTTCTGCAGTTACCATGGATACCCCCCTTTTAAACAGAGCTCACACGGCGCCCCCGTTTATCTCGGGTCACAGTTTGTGACTAATGGAGATCAGGTTTTCTCCATTAGTTCCCCTTTTATGTAACCCGCTGAACTCAGGCTCTCAAGCCCCTTATCTCACTCCCCAATTTGCACCCGCTGGATTCCTCCACTCCGTTCCTCCATTTGTGTCTGAGCGCATCCCACCAGATTTGCAAGATGGACAGACATGAGGAGAGGAGAGGCGAGGTTTAACAAAATGAGACATCCTGGGCTGACAGCGTGGTTTCATACTGACGTCAGTGGGCTATGACGAGAGACATGACGGCCTCATCAAGCCATTGTTCGGTTTCAGCTCAGCACCAAAATTGTATCTGTCGGATGGGCATTGAGTGGTGACGAAGCAGAAATGCACTTTCATTTTAGTAAAAAAAAAATGCAGTATGTCTGTGACTTCCACAAAGGACACGATCGCGTACAATCACTTGTTGGTTCCCTTTGAGCTCCAAAGTATTTTGTTGCCAACAACTTACAAGCAACAAAAGGGAAAAGAAGCTGAAAGAAAAAAATGAAATCGGATACCTCAAACAACCCATGTGCTTAAATCCCTTTTCTTCCACATCCATTTGGAGGGGTTAGATATCTTTTATGCTTTACCCTTTTACCAGCCCTTCAACTGAGGCTTTTGTGGGGATTTGGATATTAAGTTAACTACTCCTTGATCCCTGAAAGAAAATGGCCACCATAAAGCTGCAGAATTGAGGTGTAGGGCAAATAGGAAGGATTGGTATTAAGTCTGAGGCTCCAAGTATTTTCAAGTCCCCGTTTAAAAGATATAACTCCGTGAAAGCCTTTGATAATGTCTGATATATTTGGCACAAGTTTTCCCTGATGTAATCTCAAGTCATCTGGTTTGTTTCTATGAATCATTTGATCCCTTCCTGTGATGCAACTTGGAACGTTATTGACGTGGAGCAAAGATTTAATTCCTGATGTTAAATCTGTTGCATCATAATTGTTTCATCTTACATGAAGAAGTACAATTTCCTCTTAAATGGAGTGCATATGACGAGGACCCCCCCCCCCCCACCCCCTCGTGTTAATCGACATCATTAACGTTGGCTGTCAGCAGCTCCTGATGTAGTTTCAGTAGTAAACACAGATTCAGCTTTGGAGTTATCCAGAGCGTCATTTTCTGCTATTTCTATGATTTATGGAGGTCCGTCACAGCTAAATATCATCTTCACGGTGTAAAAGTTACACTGAATCCAAATATGTGTCTACGGTCTCGTGTCTGTGTTTAAACCTGCTTTGTTACTCAGCGAGGGGCCAGTTAAGGCGAGCCCTTGCGCAGATGTAATTACTTTCCACTGCTGCTTTATCTATAGTTCACTTAGTCTCTAATTATCCCAGGTGCAGTGGGTAAACATGACAGAGGATGCACATGTACAATAATTTTTATTTGGAGGCCACAGCTCTTGCATATTACAACTGTTGGCTTTCATAAGGCAAAAGCAAGAATGAATCCACCAGCTAATTCACACAGAAAACAGAAAGCGTTTAGGGAGGGTGGGAACCCACAGGCATGCAGCGATGGCTCAGAATGCAATGTACAGCATTTTATATTTATATATATTTATATAATATATACAAAACAACAGTGAGACCCAAACAAATGCCAGACATCTCATTCTACACAATTACAGAACAAAGACAGACCAACTTTTTTTTTAATAAAAAAAAATTTTTTTTTTGCTCTTTTCTCTGTAAAAGTGCAACTCAATTCAAATAGAACCTGTTTTCAAGGCCTTTTTTTAAATGTTGAAATAAAAATAGAATCTCCCAAGTTATCAAAATGGAGCTATGAGAATATTGCATCTCCTGAAGACCCACTTGCTGAAGTCCAACATCCCTGTTGAACCGCGTCTAATTAGTAATTGAGATGAGATCACATAGCATTGACACATGATAAAAATGCAGGTCTAGACTTACTGTCGATGTTCATAACAGCGAGTAGACAACAGTTGATCTGTTAACAGCCGTAAACAAATACAAAGGTTTTTATTTTCAGTTTGAAGCAGTTGGCATTCACTTAAAAACGGACAAGACAAATGAAAGGGTCCACACACTCATCATCACGACAATGTACCATTAATGAATGTAGAATACGACAAAGAAGCGCCATATAGGTTTGCATTGGACAGGGACACACCTATTAATCTCACTCAACATTGTCAAACAAATGGTTCTCCATATTGCTCAGTAACACATAGAAATGAATTTAGAAATGAATGAAGATCAAATATAGGTGCTATCTTTATCATGACACAGCTAAACTGCCAATCATGGATATTTTTTCTGACATTTTTCTTTTGATTTTCTTCATTATAAGTTCTATTTTAGTAGTTAATAGTTCCTTCATAGGCATTTCGAGCTGACAAAGAGGTCCTAGAGTGGCTATCTGGGTTGGTACATGCATCGTTAACCAGGCTAAAGTCAAAAATGTGAAGGGAGAGGGGGGTGGGGGGTGGGGGGGAGGCGTTGAGAGAAGAGGAGAGGGCTTGGACAGATGGACAGGCCGGATTGCACGGGCTCTAGTTGTCGTCGTCGTCCTCCTCGTCGCTGTCCTTCATGGAGATGCCCTGCATGCCTCCTTCCCTCACCGAAGCGGTGGCCTCCTCCAGGGTCAGCCTGTTGCGCACCGTGTCGTACATCTTGCTGTTCAGGGTGGAGTCCAGCACGCCCTGCAGGCGGAAGTCTCTGTACTTTTTCTGCGGGGAGCACACAGAGAGGTCAGCACATTGGCGGTGGACATAACCGCTGACCGCTGTTGTGGACGAAGCATCTGACCTTTGTGATCCTGATGAGGATCTTGAGCTGGTAAACGTGGAGCTGCTGATCCATCCGTTCGGTGAGCCAGGTCCCCAGCAGGTTCATGGTGGCAGTGTACCATTGCTGAAACACAAAAACACAACACTCTCCAGCAAAACACACACCCACACACAGACTCCAGACACCGTGACGTCAAACTAACAAACAACTGCTGAACACGTACACAATACGAAGGCATTGATGCTCAGAGTATAAAACCATCACACAATAAGAAGTGAGTGCACACAGGGTGGAACCTGAGTGTCCGTCCCACTTCACAGGTCCAATCGCACAAAAGGCATGGCTGTATAAAAAAATCTAACACTTCTATCACGGAAATAAAAACAAATCAATCACGACTAGAAGCTGACACAACATAAGACCACAAAGACTAAAGTCAATAACAAAACAAAATAACCAACATGACACCCTAAATGACTGTTAAATGTAAGACAGACAGGCAAAGAGAAACAATAACACCAAAGGGAAGAACAGATGAGATGCAAATGACACAAGATCTTAAGTTACTGTGCTGATTTGGGACCGACTAGCCTACTTAGATGCTAAATAAGGAACATCACAAAAAAAACAAAAGACAAAAGACAAAAGGATGGCATAAAAATAAAGGCAATCTGTAACAACTGAAATTGGGTCAAAAACCAAACAAATAGAAATGTAAAAGGACCAATAAGAGAGAATAAACTTACCGAAAATGTAACAAACGACAACAGATGTGAAAGAATGTAAAAATACACCGCAAAACAGTTTGATTTCGTTTGATTTATCGGTATGAATCAGCAATAGGTGCTAGTTAAAGGGCTGTCATCATGTAAGTGTGACATTAAGGTAAAAATAAATTGATCTGTACGGCCACAGAAGAACTGTGAGCTGCTTTACAGCTGGCTTCTGCTTTTTGATCCTCAGATCTTAAAGTGCCCACTCACAAAGGTAAACTCACCCAATTCAGTAGTCAAAAATCGAGTCAACCCCCTTCATCAGAACTGCCCGAGTACTTTATGTGGAAGCAGAATTTCCCAAAATACATCTCCCAAACCTACGATTATTTTGATGAAGTATAAGTTATATTTAGGGAAAGACAGCACCGTTGATTTGAATAAAAAGAAAATAATAATTTCCACTCGTGACTGGTTTCTTAGATCCAGTCCATGCAACCTGTAAAGATGAAGCACTAGAATGATAGAAACTGTCACAGAAGGAAACATAAGGCATAGCCAAATGATCTTTTTATGATCTATGTTCTGTGATTTTATGAAGAAGAATGCAAGGAGGTCAAGGGAAAAAAATAGGAGAAATTTGTTTGAACTTAGAGAGAGATTCTTATAAGTGCAAAATTATCTTATTTATTTTATAAATCTTGGACATTGCAAAATGAGATGGTGAGAGTTCCCTTTCTGAGAAAAATTAACCAGTCCTTACCATGGCTACCACTTAGATGCCTCCAAGTCATTTAATCTAGGCACTTTCTGAAGCAAAAAAGACTATTCAGCTGGAACCATTGCATGCCAAACCGATTTGCTGGTTGGAAAAGTTTGTTACCGTTGCATGACAGCAGAATCATCAGTTTTGTGCATAGTTAGTAACAAACTGTGTTTCGGGCTCAAGCCTTATATTGGAAAGACACAGTTTTTCTATGTTTCATCGAAATCTGAAACATGCATTTCACAAGAAACTTCAGATAGTTCTTTAACTTCATCCAAAAAGGACAATCAAAGAAACCAGTGTTGGGTGATTGATTTATCCACCGGTATATACGTGGTGGTGGGTGAGAAATACAGACAATCTGCGCTAAAATGGCAAATCCAACCGGACTAAGTCAATAATATCATTTCCCTGCTTATACACTGTATTCCCAACAGAAACATCTCAGACACATGAGCACACCACGAGTGTGACATCCACACACACACAAACCTGTTATAGGGCACTCTGAAGAGCTGAAAGGAGGCATTCACTCAGAGCCCTGATTCTACAGCTACTCGAAGAAATGAATAAAACAGAGGGAAGTCATGAAGAGCTAACAGATTTATCCGTTTTAAACTGCAATTACCTTTAGAACTACTTGAAAATGCTCAAATCAATATTTTGTATAATCTGCATGGCCCATCTATTACTGAAGGCAATTACTTAGACTTTATGTATTATTTATTGAAGGGGAAATGTGGAAGTTGCATCTAAAATGCCCAACACTGCAGATATGAAACTACTACGGGGGAAGGAAATTATAGTTTTGACACAAGTTCATTAGCAAAAGAAAAATAGGATGAGAGTGAGTAAATGGTTAGCAGGCAGGGTGTTGTTTTCTTGTAGCTTTTCTCCGGTTTGCCTTAAATCATCGTTTCCCAGTTTAAAGCCACGAGAGAACAGCACATATGTCTAATAGAAACACTTGTCGTATCTCCAAGAAAAGAGGTCAACTTTAAACTTGTGAGCAGGCAGGAACATAGGAAAAAAAGAAGCTCTGGTTTAAGGCCCAAATTAGAAGTGTGTGTTGTTGGATTGTTTAACTGTTTAGCTTTAAGCTGAAGTTTTAATGAGCTCAAGATTAGATTAGAAAAGGATTGACGTCTGGTTATGCAGATGCCTGTCCACTTCACAGTCGAGTTGAGCGTGCAGTGCATGCAGATCTCGCAAGTGGGTAGGTGGCTGAGTACGTGCTGAGGAAGACTGCTCTATGTGCAAATGAGGCAGAGCTCTGAGGATAAAGGGTCATGCTAGAAGATGTACACAAGAAGATTATTTGACTCTAAAATCATGCCAACCAACATAATGTGATAAAACAACGCAATGCAATGCTAGAGATAAGTGCCACTTTTTTTTAATAGGAGGCAGCAAGAATGGTGTTAATCAGATAGGAGGAGATTAAAAAAGATTGGAAAAAATAAGTTAAAGAAAGAGAGGCAAAGTAGAACCTGTGCAGCATCAAGAAACGACTCTCATGTGCATGCAAATGGATGTAGAGGCATGCTTTCAGATGGAAAAGGAAAAACTGACAGCCTTAGTTTAGCATGCATATTAAAACGCCAAAGCTAAAACATTCACAGCTGGAGAAATCTTTAATTCAACAAGACAGTGCTGACTCGGATGTTGGCGCACTTTGGGGCCACAAAGGAGACACAAGGGGTAAATCTCTGTGTTAGAAACACTGACAAAACACAAGGAGACAGGGTGTGGACCTTAAAGACGAAAGCAGACCCACTTCACGACAGCTTCACTCCTCACGCCATGACAAGAAAAATATCAAGTTTTTCCGGCACAACTCCTGCTTCTACAGCCAACACAAATATAGAGAACCTGACCACCGCTTGGACATAAAAACTCCACATCACTGCCTCAAAGAAAAAAGGTTTCAACACACACACACACACACACACACACCTGTACAGACACAGGTCTGTGCCCGTAGTTACAGAATGACATGAAGCACACACGTCACAGCATTATGTTTTGATCAGGTCACACATGGAGGACACATTCACGTCAATGTATCCTGTTCGGATTATGTTTGTTAAGACAGTGCTCTCTTCACTCTGTGACACACTGGTTCCCAACTCTTTTGTCTCTCTTTTGAAAGCAGAGAGCCTTCTCATGGCATGTTATACCCATTAGAAGTAGCTTTCAAGCTCAGGGGCCAGATGCATAAAATGAAGTGTCCATCCGTGACTATAGCATGTGCTTGCACAAAGGCAGACATGTGCCCTCTTTTCATCAGCTTTCCAAAGTTTTGAGTCCAAATGGTATTCTATTATAACCCCTCAGTTACTGAGTGTCTGCTTATGCCTTGGCCAAATTTCAAGTCCCATATTTAGACATAATGAGATGAAGATGCAACCCTAATTAACCACTTGTATACAAGAGCCCTGTTTGCATGGATGAAATGAGATGCTCAGAGAAGCAGGGAGAAGGAAGCCGGTCTCAGATCTCAGAAGCTGATTACAGTTGTCGACTTACAAACTAGGAAAACCTATAGAGGCCATATCATAATTTTCAACAGAGATGTTATCAACTCTGTTGGTTCAGAGCACAGGGAACTCACACAGCTCAGAAACAAAAGGCTGAACATAATGAACATATTAGAAGGTATTATAACAGATCTACAGGTGGCAGCATAGCCATCCTTTAGCATAAATAATAGCAGAAGGCTGCAGCTGCAGTGCAGTTTCTGACTGGTTAGTAAGAACTATTCATATAAATGTCAGCTGGACAAGTATGGATGAACTCATTCATACATCTGTCAATTTATATAATTACAGCTTGATGAATTTCATGTTGTTTTTTGTACAGCTTTTTTTGTACTGGATATGAACAGATATTTCTGCCTAACATCGGCATTGATCATCTCATCATCCCAAATGTTGACTCCAATAAATGTATCAGTGAATGGGACGACATAAACCAATGGCAGGGGCTTGTATTTGTCAGGTGTCCATGGCTGTCCTTGAAACTGAAAAGATGTATTCATACCTTAATAAGTAGAGATAACTGACCAATGTCAATGCTCTTTCAATATGAAGTTATTTAATGGCTTTGTTTTTAACATGTGTGTTAGATGTGTGTCTTCCTCTTTATTTCTATGATTCATGTGGCGACTGTGTTTAGATCACATCTCTCTTGGTGATTTAAGCTCAAAAGGCTGCACTAGAATGGGAAAATGTTTCATATCTTCTTGACCTGTCTTATCTTTCTCTTCGTTTTTAATTCATTTCGGGGATCTACAGGTTGGGAACCACTGTTCTAACAGATTAAGGCAGTAGGACATGTAAGCCTCTGAGTCTGACATCATTATGTGACACAGGGCCACCCAGCATCTTCCCCTGACATAGCGGAAGCACAAGGGGGCTTCACTGCGGACTGATGGTCACTTTCTCAGGAGGCTGGCATGCTTTGAGTGGAAAGAGTCTGCAAGCTGAGAATGCAGCAGTGACAGAAACAAAAGGTAGGAAAGTTTCTGTCCTGGCACAAACCCACTATGGATGGTTGGGTTCTTTCCACAGAGAGCACTGCTTCAGATAATCCTTTTTTTGGAGGATGCTTTCGTGGACTCTTTGTAAATAAAATATTATTTTGTTTTAAACACACAAAGGCCCAAAAGCACTGTGGTAATGCACACCAGAATGCAGAGGGCAGCTGTGATTCAGAGAGAAGAGCGACAGACAGAAAGAGAGAAGTCAAGAGGTGTAGAGGGTCAGAGAAGTACACATCCTGGCCTCAAAATGGGACTTATCCCTCTCTGCCCTGTTGTTTTGCCACATTTTGAAAGGCCCCTCCCTTTGCGAGTGGAGGAGAAGGCATCTTACTTACATCAAATAACCTTTCTATATACACCTCCTCATTGACCTTATCGCGAAGCATGTCCTGAGAGTGGCGCATAAAGGTCACATAACCATCAGCTACGTCCATTCCAGGTTTCTGTGAAAACACAAGCATAACCCCGTTATGACTCAGCAGAGAAGCGACCGCTGCCACGCTGTACTGTGTACACAACTGGCAGAAACACAAGCCCCGCTCAGCGATCACAACTATTTCATTCAGTAGCAAACACACACACGCACACACTCACAAGTAAACAGAAACTTAGGGTGCTCTTAAACTTACTGGTACTTCCACATATTTTGAGGCAGCTTTAACCTGAAATGAGAAAAAATACTGTCAGGCACTGGGAGGAAACTGTCATTAGCATCCATATCAAGAGGTTTGGACAGTTTTGATGTTGTAAATGGAAAACCAGCATACTGATGCCTCATTTTGAGAAGTATTTTTATTTAGTTTTTTGCTGCAAAACTCTTTCTTCTCATTTAATCAAACAAGCCAAACCTTTCAAAAACTACATTTTACAGCATGTGAAAAGTCATGAAAGGTAATCTATTGTGTTACAAATTCATGAGGAGCAAAGAAAAAAGATTCCTTGAAGATTAAATCATTCGCAAAACTACCATTAATGTCAAATGCACAACATTATAAAAGACTCGGGGTATCTTTATGCGACCCGGCTTAATCAACTATGAAGATTTTAAGCGATTCGTTCAACTCAATAACTCAACACGTGTTTCTGAATGGATATAATGTCAGAGTTGGCAGCAGCAGACAAATTACTATCATATATTTCCGGCAGGCTGAGAAACAGCACAGCCACAGCAGAAAAAGCAGGACAGAAGGACAATAAAGACAAAGAATGTCGCCAAAGTGAATGTGTAAAATGATTAGTTGATCAATAGGGCTGTTGATTTCCGATTGTGGCTTACATCAGACGAGGGCTGCATTGCATCAAATAAAGGACCAACATGGAAGCAGCAAAGACCAGTTGTTTTCATTAATGTTCTGAAATTTAATTTACTTCCATGGGTTTTCTATGATTCGATGAGAATGTATTTGTATAAACATTTTTTTAAACTGTTTTTTTTTGCTGTATGCTTGCACACCAAATGACAAAACAGAAAACAACTATGTTTAAGTGGTGATTTTGGTTAACAAAAGTGATTTGAATATAAGGAATCAAATTCTGTATTTGGCCACCAAAGCATTTCCTTCTGTTAACAAATGTCTGGTGAGGACTGTTTTTCAGTCTGCTGGTTTGAAGAAAAGAAGAAACTCACCGTGAAGGAGAGGAAAGAAGAGAAGAGAGTTCCTTCGTCGTATCTGGAAATCTTAGCCAACACTCCCTCCAGAATAACAACAAACTAAGAAAAAGGAAGAACAGAGGAACCATCACCTCATTGCTTGTATCATTTTTGCTTTTGACAGTGTCGTCATGCCACAGCTCAGACAGTCCCACCTTTGCAACCAGAAGCTGGATCATGTCCTTCACGCTCTCCTCAATCAGTTCGTCTATTTTAGAGTGGAACTGTTTCTATAAAAAATCAGGCCGAAATTTCACCAGAACTATTTCAAAGCACCAAGTATATTAATCCAGTATTGTCTCTGATAATGTTTTACCTCTTGGCCCATCTCCATGGCACACAGCTTAGCTGACTGGTCCTTGGCATCCACCATCACATTGAACATGGTGCATAGTGATGGAGACACACGGAAATCTGTGGACTTACTGCTCTTTGTCAGCTTGGACTCAAATGCCATCCTGGTGCTGAAATGCAAGACAGAAAATGTCACTCATTACAACTTGAAAGAACCATTAATGATAATTTTGTGTTCTAATTCATGTTGGGCTCCGTACCGCTTGACGCAGTTCTCGATCATGTTGCTTGACATGAGCTTGATGCGGCTCTCAAGGTGTTTGGCAAATTCCTCCTCAGGCCAGTGTAGGTCTCTGATGAACGTCTGAAGTGCGTCCAGCTTCCAGAAGAGGTCCTCTGATGTCCCAGATCCATTACTACCATCCACCCAGACACATGTACACACACAGGTAAACAAACAAGGGTCACCTTACGGAAGTAGTCTCAAAGTATGAGAAGGGGTGGGGCTTGTTGTGGCAAGTGCAGAGGATCATTCTGCTCCTCTACACCCAAACACAGTAAGAGTTTACTCTGACCATACACTGACTGCTCTGTCCAAATGTTTTGTTTTCACACTTCTTATTGGCACATGTAACTCTGGACAGTCAGCGTATGGGCGAAAAGGAGCAGATAGAGTCTACTGTAATCAATAACCATGCTGCAGAGCATGGTTATTGACTAGTACGTGAAGTGGCCACATGCAGGTCAAGTCACTGCAGCAACAGCAGTAGCTCACACTGTGTCAAGACAAAGGGAGAAGGGAATGAAGATGTGAGGGAGGGCATGTAAAAAAAAAAAAGAAGAAGAAGAAAAAAAAAAGGGGCATCTCTGGTCAGGGTTTAAAAGCAAAAAAACTTCACATGTCACAGGCCCTCTCTCAACATCCATGTCCCGAGGCTGGTAGGGTACCTGAAAGATTTGCAAAACAAATCATGCAGACCTTTTCTAGGACATCCTGAGTAGAGCTGATTGGGAAAGATGCGGAGGCAGGAAGGAGATGCGATAAAACAGTTTGTTCCAAAGCTCCCCACTTTATCATCTCCAAATGGAAAACACTGTCCTCCTTCCAAATCAGACTACTGGCAGGTGGGAAAGGTCAGGGATGAACCTACAGCCAAGTTGCTTAGCATCGCTGTTATCCCTTTCTGCATCCCAGACGAGCCCCCCTATCTGTTACGACCTGTCTTAACTGGCCCCTTCCCTGAAGATTGGCTTAGAAAGCATGTTGGGTGAAGCTTATAGGGCTCATGGTGCTCACTGCTGGGCATGCCATACTAGTTTTTTTATGGGTAGCCCCTGCCTTTAACTTTGTACACTTTTTAATTTGAAAAAGTACTTAATTTCCAAATATTTTGTGCCCATCTTAATTTCATTTTGCGGCCCATTAAACAGGTTGTAACAGTCACTCAAGCCAATGTTTGCAGATGTCAACTCTGGTGAGATACATGAATTGTAGAATGGAGATCTAAACTTGCAAATTCCTGATTTTTAAGTGTATGTGCACTTCCTTTTTTGCCTTTTTTAGTGCCTCTTTCTCCACATCTCAGCTCAACAACATGCATGTTGAGACAAATGAGAGTGTTTCAGCCTCTCATTTCAGACAGCAGTATTGCATCTACTCTAAAGTTTCTCAGAGTGACCTTGGCATGAACATGAATATCAATCAATGGTGTTAACACAGGAGAAGACATGATAAAAATGTCGATTTAGTGTCTTTTAGCAGTTACTGTACTTACTTTTAATTCAATTAAAAATAAAGAATTATATTCATCCAGAAGCATCTTCATACCAAGTTACTCTCTACTTCATCAGTGATTCTAAAATAAACTAGTTGAATACACACTCAGAGTCATAAATAGCAGCCATCCATGACGGGGTAGAAAAGCTAGGCATTTGTGGAAGGTTAACTGATAGTCCTGCTACTGGCACTGGCAGATTTGGTACTTTGGGAATTTGGAGATTCACATTTGGTAGATTCACATTGGGCAGATTACTTGTTAAACTCCTGCAGAAAAGACAGACAAAAAGAAAAAAAAAATCCATAACAGTGGTGTGGGAGCTGCAGAAAGCCATGTAACACTCATCATAAAAGTAAAATCTGAAACAGGTGAAGACAGGAATGTACAGTAGCACACAAAAACAGTCAAAGACACACGTTATACAAAAATACCTGCAGTCAAGAGAGCTGGACACACAAATACATTGTAATAAATGTGGTGACAACATAATACTGAAAACAATGAACATGAGTAAAGACATTAAAAGAAACCCTTAAAATATCATCAATGTAATCTTAGCAATGCAAATAATGCAAAAGTAAACTAATTAAAGCAACACTGGATGAATTGTAACAGCAACTTAACAGACTGAAGGCCTTTTGTTTCTGATTAGACGTCAAAGCACAAATTATGAAGGTTAGTTCACAAACAAAACAAAAGAAATATTAGGTGTTGGCCTGACCGCAATGTGTTGGAGAGAAATTGGCAAGAAACATGCATTAATCAAAGGCTATTTTCAGAATAAATAACCTATTTCTTCCACAGAAAAAAATGGGTTATTCAGTCTGCCGTTATGCTAAACCTACTTGAAGCCTGGATGAACATTAAAGCTGCTCTTCAAATTTTGTCAGCTTCCACACACTCGATTTTGTTATTTGAATAGAAATCCTTTGCAACTCCAAGCATCCTACAGCCTTGCTATAAAGACAGAGATTCCTTACTTAACAGGCTCCCAGGACTCCCTGTCAAAGCCCTTGTGAATTGACTGTGCGATGGAGGACTCCATCAGATCCACATATCTAACAACCAGAGGAGCATACAGATCCTGAAGGTGTTTGTGGAACTTTCCATTGCACAGATGATCTGGATGAAAAGAGGCATCAATGCACACAAATTAGCATATTTCTTTTACGGTGATGTTAAGACACAAAAAATGGAGCGAAATCAATCGGCTTACAGTCTGTTCGGAGGAAATCGTTGAGCAGCTGGAAAAGGGGGAAGCTATCCCAGCTCTCAGGGGACTGGATCTCCAGAGCAGCATCCATGTCGATGGCGTAGAGGGCCAGGAAGTTTTCTGCATGCTCCACCATCAGGTCTGTCCACCATGCAAATGCCTAGAGACACAGCATGAGGGAGAGCAGAAAGGTTAACAAGGCTTCCTGATTGGAGTTGACAGGGTATGAGGATGAGAAGAGAAGCAGGGAGGGGGGCTGCTTTTTGATGCGGAGCACCAGTGGATTTTTTTTTTACATATGTATACATACTGTGAAATTCCATTTGATATTTTAGGACATGCACTTGGTGAGAATCAATATCAATTTCATGGTGTCTCTAAAACACAATGTCAGAATCAGCCGCTGGTTAGCGCAGAGGCTGGCAAATGCCAGCTTCAACTCTCCCTTTTGGTTCAGTTTCTATTAAGTTCATTCTATTAAGCTTTAGAAATAGTGTTTTTTTGTTGTTGTTGTTTTTTAGCTGAACCAGCCATTAATATAAGCAGATAATTGAAGTTCAGTGCTTTCAGATGCATGTTTATTTATTAATTTATTTTCCTTTGAACTAAATGTGGACTCTTCATGGGGACTCGCTAAAAAAAGTCATACAGTCTCTTCCTTAACCATAAGATGTTTTCTGTGGATTCTGAAAAAAGTTGTTTTCATACGTGTGTGAGTGTTTTTTCCATTCCATATATATATATTTATCTATGTCAAATCAACAACTCTCATTAATCAGGATTTAAAGTTAAGATTAGGCAGAAAGATGTGCACTGTCGGGATGTGTGTGTTAATGACATATTTTGTGCATTGAAAGCAAAGGTGCTTTTCTCATGCATATGTGGATCTCCCTGCATGCTTTTGTCCCGAGCTGAGGGATGAGGGGTCCACCATTCACATCAGCAACAAACCAGTAGTCCATCAGATGTGAACGTGACGCATGCACATCTTTGATTAGGCACACCAAAGACTGCAGCACACAGCATCTCTGGACTTAGAATATGTCTGTTCCAATTAGTTAAGTAAGTCTTTGACATTCGGCTGACCATTTTCTGGTAGAGTCCGGACTTTCTCAATCTTTGACAGCTCAAGTATATAAGTTGCTTTGCTGGCAGTCTTGGCTTATTTGCTTATCATTCAGACTAACAGGCTGACCAGGGAAGCTTATTCTTTTTCTAAATGTGCTGCATGCTTTCTTTGACCCCTTTTGGTTATCATCATATTCCTATCTGCCACCATGGCAATCCAAACTATATGACTTACCTGCATACTCACCTGTGCAATCCAACATTTTTACAAAGCACGATAGTTGTAATGTTAGAGAAGCAGGCAGCAAACAATGTTTTTGTCCATCACATTCAAGGACAGAGACTTTCATGACAGTTAAAGGGGAGCAGGGTTAATGTTTCCAAAGGGAGAGGGCAGGGCAAACACTGAAAGGCAGAGTAACCTCCAACCTTTGAAAGCTGTTAAGTGACATAAACTGAGGGCTCTATGTCAGGCTCAGTGTTCGCCCACACAGACTGCAATGCTGTAAAAATGCAACAATATCAAGGGACCTGCACCGAGGGAGTGTACTGATACTGAGGGGGGAGGATACATAGAATCATCTACTTTACATGCACAGACCATTATGGGAGTTTCTCATTCAACTTGACTACATACCTCTTTTCCCTGCTTGGACAGTCACCAATCAATATGACAGTGAAAACACAGGAAGATGTACAGGACAATAATGTACTTTAGACGCATTTGTTTGAAAAGGTTTGTATACTAAGGACAGACAGCATAGAGGGATGGAAGAGGAGAAGCTGGAGAAGTAATGCTTAAACAAGTGCGGACTTTGAAATTAATCGCTGGATGGAGGGGAACAAATGTTCATGGTGGATCAAACTTCAAAGGTTCACATGGAGCATACTTTGGGGAAATTTCTGGTTTAGCATGCTTGGAGAGAAAAGGAAACTTCTTCATGGCCCAATGAACATGCTTTATGATCACAATTATGTTGTACAAAGCTAATGTGCCTTTTTTTTTTAGAGTTTTAAACAAGTTTGCTCTCATGTCTATGTCTACAAACCCAATCATTGTTACATTTCCTGTGAGTTAATTCTCTGCCTAGAAACGTGCTTTTTGCCATAGTGGCGCACATGCCATACAGGGGGGTTGTGATGGGGACTGAAGAGGAGAAAGAAATATAAATACTGTACCGATTGATCTCCAGAACTTGTGACTGCCGCCTGTCAAGCATATTCAGAGAGATACAATAAATCTGTTTTATCTGCATATTCTAAGACCACATTGGATCATCTGCAGATCTAAAAACTCAACACATGTTCACTGTGCTTTCTGTTACCTTAGTAACTCTACTACTAGTTTGTAGTGACAAAAATGATGCAACATGGCACCTATTTTATTTTAAAGTATAAAAATGATATATTTACCATTTTGAAGGGAGATATTGCTTCTTTTGCATGCCACTGTACTTTTTGATGATTGTATTTGCTTCTAGGATCATGAATTGCGATGATAAATATACAAGGGGCCTGTTCACTTCTTTACAATAGTCTGTTATGTTCTTCACCATTTTTAATCAGGTGCATTATAGTGTTGGGGGCTTATCCTAAGTAAGACCAAGTTTAGAATAATAATGGGATTAATGCTGCAGTAAACAAAAGTCCTCACTACATTTTGTGGTAAAGAAATTAATAAATGGAATTTTGATTGACAGATTGGGATTCAAAAGTTTAAATCTACCATGATGTTTCCATAAGAGGCATTTATCCATTCTCCAAACAGATTTCTTCTTCTATCACAACTGCCTTATATGTGTGTTTTTGTACTTTTGGACATACCCACACACCCTTGGCCGAATTCTACATGAAAAAGACTGATATCATCATATCATCATATGTGTGGATGTTTATGCTGTCCATTCTATTTATTTAAGTTTGGAGTTGAGCAAGAATAAATGATTGGAAGTAAAAATAAAAAAGTTGGAGAAAGCGGATGAACTGAGCACCAGTATAAACAAGATAAACACAGATTGGCCTAATATGTGCCTGTTAATATTAAGCCACTGTTTTTTTTGAGAAAAAAGGAACCTAAAAGAATACCAAACAAAGTACAGAATAGATGCTGTTCAATCTCTGTTTATCCTCTGACGCCTTACTTGGCCTGGACATTACAGTCATATTTCAGTGTTATTTAAGACTTATGTCAGACTAGATCTCAGTCGAATCAGAAATTTTGCATTTGTATGCAGACCTCGTAGCACAACAATCCATGGTTAGAAACCGTGAGATGGCAACAGATCTCATGGCTACTGTTTCATTTGGGGCAGTATCCACAGGACATGACAGGGCCCTGGACCCCTGAAGGTTGAAATGTGCCAATCAAATATCTATGGTCAAATATATATTGTAATCTCTAAACGTAACCATTTGCAACGATTTGAGTGTCTTTAACAATTCAAACAATAACAACTTATGAGTAAGTGCTAAGGTAAAAAGTGCAAAATTGCAAATGAAACAAGCAAAGTTGTTTTACTGCCGGAAGGGAGGGTACTGGACTGGGCTCTCAGATACAGGAGCTGGCCAACTAACACCTCAAACTTCCCCTCCTTCTTATTTTAAAGTATTTAAGGTTGGCCTACTGGGACACCCATTGTACGCCGTGACATAAGGTGACGCAAACAGCGCCTTATTATCATTGTATAACTGCAATGTTTTGTGCTGTGGACGTGTGCTTTTTATAAATTCTGTGGTGAGATGGGATCGCACACTTGAAACACTGTGAACTATGATAAGAAGAAAGAGATGGAGAGTATGTATCACTTCCTGTCTAATTTACGGCCTACACTGAGACACTGCATCTTTGATTCCATGCAGCTATGGTCTGCTGAACGCCAATTAATGCTTTCCAAAATTAATTTAATCTTAGCTGGAGTATTTCAGTTACCCATAGATGAAAGCAGTTTTATTTATAGCAAAGTGATAAGGCTAACTCCCCTCAGAGGGGCGAGTGTGGTAAGAGCGAGGATATAGAGGGAAGGTGCTTTGAGCAGGAGAGGAGGAGAGGACTCTCACTCACCTCTGCGTGGTGCTCCTGGTTCTGCTGGAGGACCTCTATGACTAACTCCGCCAGGCGAATTGTTTCCTCCAGCTTTTTGGCAGGCGTGACTAAGCGGCCTACGTTCTCTGAGACAAAAGGATGAGGGTGAGGGGTGAGTGGTTAGTCAATAACAGAGAAGCATTCCAGGGGGATTCTTATAACTATTCAGAAGATTGTTCCCCTTTTCTTATTTTGGACCGTTTGATACAATTATAAACACAGTACTTACACTGTGAGGTTTACCCAGTCCTTCCCCTCATAACAAATAAAGCATGATCTCATTTAATGTTGATGCATTTTGGGTTACATGACATGAAGCAACAGATTTAATGTGTTTGTCGGATAATCAGATTTATGTTGGAGGAGTATCAGATGTAAAAGTAGTGAAATGGAGGTGCAATGTGGCATCAAAAACATGCATTTTGTGAAGCAATGTTGAATAAGCCATCTGTATTAGGAGCTGTAGCATGACTTGGTTAAAAAATACTCCATGAACACGCTGTAAAAATGTCATACCTCAAGTGTGGTATAATTTTTTTTCCCTCCTTAGTATGTCTACAACAATATGATTATAAACATGTTTTTTTAACAGAAAAGGTTAAGTTGCTGCATAAGGACGAGTAATAGTGGTCATTTTGGGACTACTATATGCAATAATATGCAAAAAAGCACATGAGACTATCTTTTTATTTGTAGTCTAAACCTTAGAATTGACAGTTAGTTTCTAATGATTTTGTAAGTGGTTTTAAGTACACATTTTAAAATTCTACAAAGATATTACATTTAATAGAGTTATTGTATAACACAATTATGGAAATATTTTAAATAATTCCAGCAAATACAATATGTGTGTAGTAGACTAAAAGGTTATTTAAAAAATTCAGTAGCAAATGTTTATTCAGAGGGATTTTTACAGTGCGATGGAGCAAGATTTGACATGAATTCAGGTGTTTTGCCTTTGAATTTTTAGTTTTTGTTCGTGTCCCTTCTCTAATCAGCTAATCACTTTTGTTTGGGATTTACAAATGCTCCAAATTACCTTAGTACTTTAGCTATCAAAAAGATCTGGTGGAACAGATACATGTAATGAAATGGTATTATTGAACAGTGTAACCATATGGGAATGATACTCGTATAATCTGAACATGCAACTGAATGGCAACACAAATCTAAAATTAACAGCACATGTATACGCAACTCTACATAAGACAGTAGCATTCTTGAGGTGACACTTCTGACTCAAAGTTCTTTTTAGTATGAAATTACCACTGCACAGCAATATCGTTTCAGACTTTACTCTGTACAAATAGTTATTCATATTTGAAGACACCCTGATCTATGAACTTTACATTTTGTATTCTTATGTTCTTTGTTGCAGTAAGAAACCTGAGCTTTTTAATCAGAAAGATAATCTTTCAGCTGTTTGTGGAATTTCCTCAGCACTAAGGGGTGGATCCTATGGATTGGTATCATAGTAACTGTATATTTTGAGGTGATAATAATAATTTAAATTAGGTCCAAACATTGTTTAATTATTTTTTGTGGGGCACAGTGACCTCCTTTGTAAAGGCACCCCTGTGGTGTAACAATAGATTACATGTAATTATTCTGGTAAGATAATAAAATCTTTCCACTTATCCTCGTCGGTATACAGTCATGCAGATGCTTTAATTCCACTTTAAATGAACCGCATCTGCATAGTTGATTTCTGATCTTAATGACCTTTCAAAAAACCTATCAGCCATGAAACCATTTGCATGCTCATTCCTAAACAGAGTACGGTGTCTAGTATCTCACTGAGGATAACTTGAGGTGAGCTGAAATATCTTAGCAAAAGCTACTTATCTCCAAAAATGTTTTGGAAGTGCCTGTAGGAATTTATGTGTCTATTAAGACTTTACCTTACTAAGAGACTTAGATTAAAACCCAAGTGTGTTTTGTCTGCTTTTATATGATATAATGAGGCTGACCTTTTCAACACCTATGGAAACATGCTCAACTGACTTTAAATCATGACCAAACAGCCAATGTTTGCTGGGAAACTGAATATTTGAGTTAAATCCAGTCGTGACCTTTAGCTGAATTGCGCATCGCTAAGTTGTTCTGCCTATTAGGATGTGGGTAATGTTAAAAATGTTGCTTATGTCTGTCATTTTTAGCTTTACCATTAGGGCAAATATATGATTTTGCCTCTTGATGAGAGATTGTATTACTCTATCATTGTTAGTCTTTGGGTTCATTCAAAATAATACAACCTTTAAAAATTGTGGATCCCAAGTCATAACAGTTACAATAACTTATGAGGATATAGTCCATGCTAATATAGGAAAATGCTAAGACAATACAACTGATACTACTTAAATATAAAGTAGTACAATCTCTACAAAGTCTACTTTATAGAACCAGCTGTTTGCTTAAAACATGCCAAGACATCAGTGTGTATGCCCCATTCTGTGGCTGATGAACTTCTAGTAAATGCATGCATTCAAACTACATGTATGTGAGGTTGTAAAGAGTCAGGTCTGTACGTGCTCATGTATGTGTGCTTTGTAACTAAACTATAAGCTAAACATGGCTTCACCTGGATCCTTCTGATCCTTTTGACCTTTCTCAACTTCAGCGAGAAAAAGGGAGAGAGAAGATAAAAGAGGAGATGTTTAGAATTAGCATGTTTTTCTTGTTATTTTCACAATTCTGGAGGGGGGAAGGAGGGCTCAGGGTTGCAGCTCATCGTGATGTGACCCTTTTCAAAGAATCTGCAGGGATGGTTTCAGCTCCAGGGAGTGAGGTTTCTAGGCAACAGACAAACATCACAAAAACAAAAACAAATAAAAAACAAAAACACTGAAACGTTAGCCTGTGAAAAACTGGAAATCAAAATAGTGAAAAGATGTTAATTAACAAACATACAAAGCTTATACTACTGTAAACGGAGAGGACAGACACACACACTTACAAGGGTCAGAGACAGGACACACTGAGTGACTTGATTGGAGTTGAATTAAACACAAAAGTGGAGCTGTTGAATCTGTACACCCTCGCCTGTCTTTTACGTTTGATAGCTCTGTTGACAGATGCTCCTTCACTGAGGCTGGTGGCATGGTGAGAGAAATAAAAAGCCTACCTGTTCGGCACAGCACACCACTGACACATGATCAAATGACCAAATGACTGGAGGAGATACCACTGCCAGCAATATAAAAATGCATTCAAGTCAAAGGAATGGGTGTCCAACCAAAAGAAAGAAGCTTACAAACCAGACTGCTCATTCATATCCATAACAAACAGATTGTGCTACAAAAGGACCCCCGACTGATTCAGTGTGATACTGCTCAGATCTCTCGACTCGTGCGCTCCCCACTCACTCTCACACAAAAAAGGCACAGATAAAAACAAGCATGACAGGAGCATCTGTGAAGGGGGAGAGGAAGCGTAAGAGGGATGGAGTGAAAGAGCGCTTAAAAGAAGAGGGAGAATGAGGCAGAGGGTGATGAAGGTACTCACGGATGGTTAAATCCATCACTTGAGAGGCCAAGCAGAAGACAGGGTGCTCATACATTTCCCTCTTTTTCCCTACAAAAAAGGATTGTGGCATGCAAGAGGCTGGGGTCAGAAGTGGGAAGGCCAGAGGTCAAAAGGAAATGGGAAGAGGGCCATCCAGGTGAAAACGACATTCTGACGGGCAGGGGGCCCAACATTAAAACAAATGTTTGGTTAATTTTGAACCAGGCGCTTCACAAGGACAGGGGGAATTAAATTCACATAGCATGAAAAGATAGTAAGGACTGAAGCCTTAGTATCTTTAGCACCCTGAGGCATTTCTTTCAAGGCATAAACAACATCAATCTTTTACAATTCCAAGTAAATGTGCATTTAAATTGAGTAATGCCAAAAACATATACAGAGGAGGAGAAAACAAGATTATATAATGACATTATATATATATATATATATATATATATATATATATATATATATATATGCATATATATATGTCTGTGCGTGTGTGTAAGTATGTAATTTATGCCGACAAAGAAAGGCAATGTTGTTTTGTTATGTCTTGGGCACATGCAGGTGGCTGATGCTGGTTCGCCCAGTGGTGTTTGAAAGTTTGTGAGCCATTCTTAAATTCCAATATTTCTAAATGTAGAAATATCATGTTACATTTCTCTATCATGAAAAAGTGCCAGGCATTAACCCTTGAAGACTTAGACGCTTTTTTGGGCACCTGGCATTTGATTTGACTGAAAAATGATGCAATTAGAACAAATTACATTAAAAAAAGGTAATAAAAATATGAGGGTTTTGTCCTTTGGACTTTTGGGACAGGGAGGTGGCACCAGGCATGAATACATATTGCCTTTTGCTGTATATACGGGTTTTATTCCCACCACAGATGAATTTGTAACACAACAGAAAAGCCAAGCAGCTCAGCCTTTTTTATTTTAAAATCACCTTGATTGGATTAGAGATTTAACAGCTATTCAGCTTTAAAAAGGAGTTGCAGTTTTAGCAGCTAGCTGCAGCCTAGGCCTTTAAAGGTTAACCACAGGGATTTAAAAAAAGTGAGACTGTATCTTTGTTTGAAAGTTCACAAACTATGAAACCACCACTGCATGGTCAGTCACAGCATTACTTCAGTAAAAAGCTGCTTATTAAGACAATCAGAGGTCAAACAAAGTGATATATCTGTGGGTAGAGGAGAGAAAAGCAGAGCAGACAGGGAGCAAAAAGTAGAGGATTTAAGCAAGAGCATAAGACAAAAGTGTCAAGACGACTGCTGTTATTTCCAGGCAAAGGGAGGTGTAATAATGGGTAAGCAGAGCTAGCTGAACGAACCAGAGAAATAAGAGTTACAGTGAGGAAGTCAGAGAAGGGGAGTGTGCATCGACTGGGAGCTGGGGGTCTGAGAGGACGTTCAGTTAAGCTGAAATAACAGTCCCATCGTCTGATGTCTAAGGCCAGTTACTACACAGCTTCAATAGTTAAGGCACAATGAGAGATCAGCACATCAAAAGATTTCAGGGCTTTGGATTTGAATGCATTTTTACTCACACACCTCTACACAAAAGCCAACTTGACCTACAGAACAGCACAGAGCTAAAGCAGGCCTGAAACAAAGGAGAGAGTTATTGGGCTGAGAGACAGAAAGTGACTCACAGACCGTCACAAATCATTTAGGATATGGATACAAATATACCATGTACCAAGTCAGTTCACAGTGTTTGGAAATAAATAGATACGGGTGACAAGCACAGACTCATACTGGAGTAAGGGAAGAAATACGAAGAATAAACAGTCTTCTGTTTTGCTACAATAACTTCAATCTGAAAAACATACAAAAATACAGTACACAGGTACACACTGGGGTGTTCAGCAGAAACATTTTGAAGATGTTTAAAACATCAGTATTTTCATTCAATCAGTTTTTGTGTTGTTGGTTTTTGTGTTACTATCGTTACCTTCAACTTTAGCATAGTCTTTAATCCGCTCGTAGTTTAGCTGAGCAGCCTGCTCCAAACATTTGCGGATGACTCCTTTAACTTCTTCTGGTGGAACTTGGGTGGCAATGTCCTTCATTAGGACCTAGGTTATACAGCAATTATGCAATCTCAGTGTTTTAATCACATCATTGTTTTTCTTTCACTGGTTGATATATTATTTTTGAAACATTTACAAACCCTGTCCAGCAAAGACAGAGTGGCCTTCAGGGCACCCTCTGGACGACCGAAGGGGAAAAAATATCTACAACGACAGATGCAGACCACAACTGTCAGAAATGAGACAAAATGTCAGTACAACTCATTCCAAGTGCTTTAGCTGGCAGTTACCTGAAATTTACAATTTGGTTCTCCAAAATCACACGCAGCCGCTCCTTGATGTCTTCAAAGCGCTCCTTCTCGTCCACAGTCACGGTGCTTAGCCCGTCCGGCCTATGAGGATAACACCCACACACATAACCCAGCTGAAACATGCAACTCATGCACACCCTCATCTCAGTCCAACAAGAGCACAGCAGTCACAAAAAAACAAAAACAAAAAAATTGCACTGGCTGACCTCCTGCGAGTGTGAGATCTTTTTTTTTACTCTCACCTTTTTTCGCCTTGAAAGGACTCCTTTCTCTTTCTAAGGTTGAATATGCGCGCTCGCTTAGAGGCCGCGCCAGGATCTGGGCTCTGGGAGCTCTTTGGGGAAATAAGGGCCTCATAGCCCAGCGGCCCCCAGTAATTGTTGCCCTCTCTGACTTTAACGGATGCATGACAGGATGAATAATATGGACAATAAGAGACTATGGCAACAAAGGATAGAAAAGCAAAGAAAAATGGCAGAAAACAAGGAAATATGTGGAGACATGCAATCGGTTAACAACAAAACATAAAATATACAACAACAAAAAAACATAACAGTAAAAATTGTGGCAGCACAAAAAACAACAACATAATAATAAGCAAAAGTAGACACAACAAAAATCAAATTGATGGGAAAAGCACAAAAATATTTTGGATGCCTGAAAAAAAGCTGACGCATTCCTGCTCTTGTCCTGTCTGACTTCAGGCTTAATCTTATAATAATGGTATTTTAAATGAGATTTCTATGTCATGTAGGAGTAGAACAAAAAAATATATATTTAAGGGACATGTCATGTTTCATTTTGCTTTTGTGTATGTTACTTCCTGCACCTTAACAATTTAAAGACAACATAAAGGCTCACCGGTTCCCGTGAACATGGGTGGCGCAAAAAGCAAAGCTGTAGTGAAGAAGAGTGGGGTCAATAATAGCCCCATTTTCTGCCCTTTCCAGTAGATCGCGTAGGTAACATAGATGTCTGTGACAGCCCCGCACTCCATTCCTCGCGCAGTACTCGTCCAACACGAATACCTGACCTGGACTGAACCATCCCTGCACAACGCGAAAAACACAAAAAGACACCTCACCTCAATCGCGCATAACAGAGAGCAAAGCATCAAACACCACCCCACGTCTTTTCATAGAAGCGTTCAAACGAGCAGAGGGGCCCTCACCAAGGAGCAGAAGGTGTCGTTGAGCCTGTGGTCCAAGGTGAGCCGCTGCACCATCTCGAAAAGCGAGGCGTGGTCAAAGCTACAGGGGTTAGCGGAGATAAATTCATCCATGCCATGTTTCTGAGCTCTGTCAGCGTCTATCCAGCCAAATGGCACAGGGAAAAGCACACGGTTCAGAGGAGAGGACATCAGTGAGACACAGTTAGACAGCACATTTTCAGAGCATTACATGAAACAACAGGGGGTTTTATGGCTACTTCTAAGGGCAAATTATGAACACTTACAGCTTACATTGTCAACTTGCATTGTGTCAGACAGCGTAAAGAGTTTTTTTTTTGTATTGGCTGCTGAGAAACTGAAACTAAGTTCAAAGGGACGGGTGCTCATATTGTATGTGCATGCATGCATTCATCTTGGTATGTCACATTCCCTCTTGTTGAACAATAGAACTAAATTCTCAAAGATCCAAGAAGTGTTTGAAGAAGTGCTGTTAGATTCATATAGATGCATTCTTCTTGATGTTTTCAATAGATTCTGCCATTCGCAATGGTTGTCACTCAGGTCCTGACAAATATTGAGGTGTGTGCTAGTAAAATAGACGCAAATATGGCAAAAAGACTAATTCGTTTTAACATACTTAAAACTATAGGGTGAAGTGCTAGTACAAAAAAGGAAACATTAAGCTGCAAAATGAAACGAAGACTTTTGAGATTTTTACATTTCTGGATTTCCTTGTTCGTTTTATCATTAATCTTGGCTGTATCAAGAGAAAACTCATACTGTTGGAGACTAAATCATCTGTGAAATTCAATGAAAAAGGAGGAATTCTAACATCAGACTAGGCTAAAAAAGAAAAAAGGAAATGGAACAAATATAACCATGAGTAATGAAGCCACCATTGGACTTTTTTTTTTCTTTTTTTTTTGTTTACAGATTACATCTACTTATCAGAAGAATATCTGTGCTCTGAAAACAATATCACTGTCAGGAAAAAAAAGAAAAAATGACATGGATGATTCAAAATAGATAAGAGGCGCAGTCATGTCCTCAATTTGAGTGACAGGTGTTATGTCCATGAGACGCTGACATGAGTGATGAGGATTAGGGGGTTGGGTGCAAAAAGTGGGACCCTGATCTTATTAAGGCAGGACTGAGTAAATAAATAGAGCACAACTGACATTTCTTACCCTCCAGGTCATTGTCAGGGTGAAATGTGGGTGTTAAACAAACACTGAAACTTACTGTTTTTAAAAAAAAAGAAACCTACTGAGGGTTACACTTGTTTTTAGCATATTTTTACTCCAATCTGAGAAGAAATACCTGTGAGACAACAAACAAATGTGGACAATAAACATAAGCGAGTAACAGGAGAAGGAAGACAAACAGTGACAGGAGGTCCTGATGTTAAAAAAAAGAAAAACTGGATATTTAACACACAATGTCTTGAAACACTGAGAGGATGGTGTGCAGCTTTAGAAGTGAGCCCTGTGCTGGATGAGAGACAGCCACAGGATCAAAGGGGATTTGCTTGTAGGACAACCCATGAGTGGGACAGCGTTGTTTTGGTGAGGGTGACCGCAAGACTCACTCCAGGACCGATGCAAAAAAACAAATGTTGCGGTGGAGAGGTACAGTGAGAACTTATCCAAAGAATTAGGAAAAGTGCCAGGGGTTGCACAACGTGACATGGTGAGTGGGCTACCTTTCCATCGGTTTAATTACATGAGATAATGAAGTCCAGAAGAGACTCAATACTACAGCAACATTATCAAAACTCCCATCAAGGTGTTCATTATGACTTCAAATATAGATAAAATTACCGTATCACCCAAGTGTAAATGAAATTACCTTTGCATACATTTATAGTACAACATGCCAGAGAAAGGAGTGAGTTTCAGTAAACTTTTAAATGTCATGCACATCTGCAGACCCATTTTCAAATTTGCACTGTATCTGATTTTGTAGCATTCCTTTTTTTGAAAATCTCTACGCATTTGCAAGTTGACAATACTTGAGTATGTGGCAGTGTATTTATGATCTCTAAGGAGCACACTAACAGGCATACCAATACTGAGAAATCTAATAGGGTAGCAATACAATTTGGTGCAAATACATGGGTAAATAGCATGAAGCTGACAGAGGCAGAACTGTATCATTCTCTGGGAGATGGGGCAATGAATGAAAACTCCTGTATTTTGTACAAAAGTATGGACACATGACACAGGTGTTCTCCTATTCAGGCAAAAAGGGCAGTCAAAAGAAATCAAAATGAGACCTCTCCTTTCTGGAGGTGTAAGACTGGTCTAGCCTCTATCTACAGGCCCATCTACTACAAGAGGAAGGAGGGGGAGAGGGTCTGGAGTATTTTATCACAGGAAGGGGTGGCAGTGGCTACTCCATCTCTTTGGCATTCAGAATACTCCGCATACATATTTGCCAACTCTCATCAATTACAGCACAAAGAAAAAGAATTAAAAGCATTTGAGCCCTCTGAGGTAAAGCGCAGCAAACCCTCATGTTTCAAATATGTTTAGAGAAATCATCATCAATAAACATCTAATGAATGAAAAATGCAAACATCTTATGTTCTCAGTAACAGGTTAAAAGGAACATTTTAGGTCTTGGAACTTGTGTCCCTAATCATAAATTTACAGGCTAAATCTTTCTCGAAACACAAAATTATTTCACAAGGTAGCTTAATAGTTGTATCTTATCCTCTGACTGCTTTACTCTGAGGGGTCCGGTCACCAATAAGGATAAAGAGAGAAGGCAATTATGCAAAAATAACTATAATATAACTTCAACCATTACTGAGTCAAATCATAATTTCTTAAGATATAAAAATACATGCATCCTATACTGGAACAGATGGATGCCTACAGTTTGATCTTCTATTTGAGGTCATTAAAACAAAAAAGTAATCATCTAATATCTAAGACATGAAGCGAGACGTGAAAAAGGAGAAGAAAGAGAGAAGAGAGAGAGAACGTTGCATTTGTCAGATAATCGGCGGGGATTATCTGAGCAGTGCCGGCTACAGGGAAGCACTTACCCTTGAGTCCAGCTAGAAGACAGCAGGGTAAGAAGGGACAAACCAGAATAACATAAAGACTAGCAACAAGGCTGGAGGAGAGCAATCACGAGAGACCCTGACCTAGGAGCTGCATTACTAAAGAAGGGTCCAGGCAAAGCATGAAGAAGAAAACACAACTCAAAAACAACAGCCTGTACCAACATGATAGTTTGTGGGTGGTGGTGTGTGAGCACGTGAGGATATGTGAACAACAGATGTTGAGGCATATCAGACCAAAGAAGAGGAAAACAGGGTGAAAGTGAGAAAGAGAGAGAGAGACAGAGAAAAGGGGAAAAAGACAGAATTTACTATCCTCATTACTCTACTGCAGTTTATTTATTCTGGATTATGGACAAGTACTTAAGGAGTTGAGAGCTACACTTTAAGTACTGTCACTCAGTCTGATCAAACACAAGGCTTGCTTTTCAAGGACATTGGCATACACATACACAAAACACCATGATGTAAACTCTACATTATTTTAGGGAGAAACAACTATGAAGGTCCTGAAAGGAGTCGAATGACTGTGGTAGGTGATACTGTGAGATGTTTGTAATAGAATAATGACCCTATTTTAGTTCTACACATTAATTCATAGTTTTACTTTCCTTTGCAACTCAAACAATATACTCTTTTAACACTGGAATGAATCTCAATATAAACTTTATAAAATGCAAGATGGTCCCATAAAAAAGGAGATTGACTATTGACCCTGAATATGCTTTACATTATTTATTATCCCCAGGTCAAGTATAACCCTACAGGAATGGTATTTAATCATGCTACCGTCTGCAGTGGTCCAGTTTCTCATGTTGGCTTCTCAACAAACACGATTTATGACTTTTGGCTAGACTGCAAATGCCAACGCTGCATATCGAGACTGAGACTGAACTGGCAGCCACATGCTGACAAATATGAGTGAGACGGTTTGATATATTAACATGCATTTTCAAAATGTAAACCAGGTTTCACTATTGCTGCTCAGGATGCAACATGTTCAACGAAATGTAATATGTCCATTAGACCTGTTTCAATCATCAGAAACCATTTCTCCTTTTTATTTTCACTTAAAGTATTTTTTATAATATTCCTGAAAAAGGCTGTATAAGCCATCTTTAAATTATAGAAATGATATTTTTTGCCTCTTCAGTGTTATCATTAGGTCCCTTAACTGCCTTTTATGAGTCACCACCTTGTTTGACGGTATAATTTCAACCAATAATCTCTTCTTATCCTTTGCCAGCTACTTTTGTTTTTTAAAATCATCCAGGTGTGTTGCTAATTTTATTTTGTCCCGTATAACAGTATTATAAGATATTTAAGACGAACTGGGGTCTCCACGGCAAATTTCACACAGAGGGCACAATTAAACTAATAATTATGATATCTCAGGGAAACCACCAGCTTGAAAAAAATATTGACTGATGTCATGGGAATGGAAGCATGAATTAATTGAACTAATTTAATTTATAACACAAATAAATTGTGTGGCATATGCTCAGAACCTTCATAGGATTCTTTGTTTCCTATCCTTCCACTGCAGCAGAGTCAGGAGGCTTTTGTATGTTATGGTCCCAGTGCCATTCAAGACCACCAGGGGGTGAAACATGTACGCATGGTGTGCCACAATGTTTCAGGGGAGGGAAGGAGGTCTGTGCCACTGTGAGGAGGCTGTGAATGGCAACAGCTGGCATCAGAGGAGTCAACTAACCACAAGAACGATCACATACTGGACAAAGAAATCAATGGAGAAACAACATAGAGTTTCATGTGATACGATTCTGAGTGACTAACTCAATTTGGCAACAAAAAGTGGAATAATAACTGGGGGCCTTTTACTGTTACTAATTCTACTGTAGTCATTCAAACTACTTTTCTTTTTAGTATTCCTACCGAATACCAATTGTTTTTATAGTTAAAAAAAACTTGTTTAGAGTTGAAAAAGACATAATTCTTAGTCTATCGAGTGAAAAGGTGCACACAAAAGGTTTTTGTTCTGAATAGCAGGATCTATTTATGTGAATTGTTAATTTGTATGTGACTAAACGGTTTGGGAGGTAAGAGGTGCAGTCATGGGCAGGGGAGCAGTCATGGAAACCTTTGGGTTGGAGCTCTATACAACTTAACAAAGGCCGACTGAGTTGAGCAGAATGTTTCAGTCTGAATTTAAACCCTTCTCGAGTGAAGGGGCGGGGGGGACAAGAGACGGTTACAACAGAAGTTGGTGCAGATGTCACACTACTTAAACAGTCTTACCTTTACTTTGCTACCTGATCTGGTGACAGCTTAGAGGTGCAAGTAGAGTGACAGATTGATTAAAACTTTAAACATGCCTGGCTTGGCTGCTATTAAGTGACGGGAAAAACCATTTTGGAATCTGTCTCAGGACCACAGCTGCCATCACAGCAGCCCCTATAAAGCTCCAATTGGATTTAAACACATCTGTGGTAAGACGGAAAACAGCACACTCTGACACTGTCAGTCTGAATTCAACCCCAGCAGGCTTGAATGTTCAAATCGAATGTGTGCTCGGCCTGTTCCAAATTTGTTGGAAGTTTGTAGGACATAACCTGCTTTTGTATGATGAGGTCTTTACCAGGTTGGTCTGTGAACAGACTGATGGAATTGCATGAAATTGCACCTTTAAACACTGTGGGAGTGGTGACAAATGAGTGGAGGTCCACCAGATGCTGGAGGGATCTGTGAGAAATCAATGCATGTGCGTGCGGGCTTGTGTGTTAGTTCTTACTAGCACGTTTTGTGACTGCAGAGTGGAGCGCATGGTGTGACACATTTATGGGTCAGAGCTTTCACTGGTTTGTGGATGGAAATTGCTTTCTGCTGAAGTGACCACATTGTGTTATGGGTTACTTACAGAACTGAGAAATGGGAGCATCCATTTGGGCTGAAGCACCCCCTTTGGAGTTAAGTTTCTGGACCTGAGTTGGTGGGACAGGTTTGTGGGACTGGCCAGTGGCACGGTACATGGCCTGGACCCACAGGATGCGGTCCTGCTCATCATCACTGGCAAAAATCACAGTATCACCCTCCTTCACCGCATTGAAGAAAGCCCTGCCACCATCCAAGCCTGCCAGAATAAGGTGTTACACGACAACAGGTTAGACCTTTATGTAATGTGGGTATTTGTATGAACCGTTATATCACCTCTTATTATCCCACCTGGCTGAGGGTCACTGTAGTCCACAGTATAGCCATCCAGCTGGAGGAGCTCTTGCGGTTCAGACTTTTTCTCTCTGTAGCTGCACATAGCAAACGTATACTGACTCACCTACAAAACGAAGGGAAAGCGGTCACATCAACCAGCCACAAAAAGTGTAACAGCCCCTTGAGTAATGATACCAAGGGTAATAGATGTAATACAATGGTATAATATACAGATACTGAATCTCTTTCTTTGCTTGTCACTGTAATACAACCAACCATACAGTCAAGTGCATTGCTGCTCAACATAATTAAAATAAAAAAAATTAATGAAGAAACAGGATGCAATGATTCATTCAGTTCTGAAAAATGTATGCTCTTTTTGAAATTGCATGGAAGACTGTTGTGACTACAAGATGAAGTGGCAACAGATAAGCAATCAGTTAGGTTGTTAAAAAAGAAGGGGATATAAAACGAGAGAACGCCAGTTGTAGATAGTAGTAGAAAACTCCTTACAAAAACAGGACAATAACGACTTAAAAATAAACATCATATCTATCTACTACTCATATATACATATACACGTTCATAAAACATGTATGGAACATTCATCTAACAAAATCTGTGTGAAGAAAGGGAAACTATTATTAAATGGATTTATCTTCTGGAGATGTTTGATTATTGCATGAGCTAACTTCAGACAACTTCTGAACACAATTTTTAGTGATCATATTCCATCACTGCACCACAGAAAATGCATATTTATTTGTATTTGCAGAGCAAAGATAATATAAATAAGAATAGCTTTTGCCAGAGACACAATGACATTTTCTACCAATATCACAGCAGCATGGCTGAGTAATATAAGATGCCTGGACCCTAAACCTGTCTCTGTCCTTAAAAATATGTCATACTAAGCTGTCAAAGTTACAACAATAGAGAGGCAGACTGAACTGTTGAGAAGCTGAAATCTTGTATACATTGGTTGTAAAACATTTGTCATCAAACTACAACAACCAATTTTCTCTACAACAGTTTAAACCAAATTCCATTCTTTATCCTAAGTATGTTGTTAGTTTAATATCGTTGTAAGTAAAAACAAATCCAAATCATTTAGTTGAATTAGTCACAGAAATTAGGTTAACAAAGAGGACCAATTAGGCTGAACACGTTTGTATTCACATCTCACCTGAACAAGAACAAAGAAACGCTTCTTCCAGCGCTTCCAGACGTTCTTCCCAAAAGCCCACAGATACCTGTAAATATACACGATGACACCCATAATAAACAACCATGAGGTGAAAAGAAGCCTAATTTGACAGGCACACTGTAACATAAGCCCGCAAATTAGCTCATTGTAGGAACTTTTAGCAGCGGGAACAGCTGTGGATTTATTTATTTTTAATCCAGATGCATTAATGACTACATAAATGTTAAAAAGCACTGGCTCGTTCTTTTTTATAAAAAGATATACTAAAAGACATACTAAATACTAGTGTCCACCAGGGGGAGTAGTGCACCTCACAGTATTTTTCCACAGCACGTGAACAGAAATGAGGCCAAGGAGCTGAGAGGGTTGGACTTCCACAGGAAAGGCATGGAAAATGAAGAGCGCATAAGAACACCACTCTGTGACTTGGTGATGGCTGTCTCACCCGCAGTGTTTCATGTTCTGGGGTTTGTCCATACGTATGGCCAGCTTGATCTTGAGATCTTGGTCTGGGCAGGCCTTGGTCACGGTCATCTTATGCAGCTCTGACTGTTTGGGGCTGTTCGGTGTTGGGTGGAGGACAACCTGCACTCGAACAAAAGATAAAAGGAAAAAAAAAACAGACCACAAAATGTAGGACTCAATCTTCATTAGCTTATTTTATCCAGGTAGCGGCTCTTTTATCTCATCCCGCGCAGCCTTCAGCTGTACTAATCAGTGTTTGCAGAGGCTCGGGATTGTGCGTGTTTGCTTGATGAGAAAAAATAAAGTGTTGGTAGAGTAACAGAACAGTGCTTTGCTCCCTCTCTGAAGACGAAGCCTAATCTCTCTTTGCTGACTTAAAGAGCTTTGAGGAAGCCTGCTTCCTGCCAACTCTGCTGCAGTGGGAGATCAAAGAGCCTTGTCACAGCCAAGGTCACTGCCACCACGGGGACGTCTGAGGCACCGCTGCCCGGACGCAAACAACTAACAATACTGCTCCTAACTACCTGTCACTTTTACACAGGGATACGCAGGGTAGATTTGTGTTCCTGCTTCCTTAACGTTTGCGTTACATTGAATAAGATGAAATTTGAATACAGTAATAAATGAGTTTGTCAGCCTCCTTTTATTGAATAGAAAAGGCCAGCTGCATAAATAAATTTAGAGCTGGTCAAGCAGAAGCACAATGCAAAGGCACCAAAATAAAAAGTGATTGCTGGGCGTACACACCAAAAAATGATGTTGCTCCTTTGTCCTTTGCTGTACAAAACAGTTCATAGAAGATCCACAGCTAAGATTTAGTCATACTGAAAACATCTGCCTCGGGTTCAGTCTGCTAAAATACACAACTCATTTTCTGTAACTCACTAAAGCCAATAGATACCAAAAAGACAATTACCTTCTAATAAATCAACACAAAATCTTTCAGATGGACACAAACATGTTATATATATACTTAAAATGTAGGTACATATATTTATACATCAATACAGGAACCAGTCTGGTGTTCTATCACACGACTTGGGAGGTCTTTTTTCTGTGTTTTCACAGTTGTGTGGAGATCACAGTGTACACTGCTGAAAGAGTAAATAAACATAGGTGTTACCCGGCCCAGCTCTTTGTCCTCCAGTGCCAGCACGCCTGTACTCTCTGTAAACAGTTTCACCTTGACAGCAGGCAGAGGGTGTGTGGTGGTGAAGTCCCCTTGGGTCCCCCAGCTGAAAGACACAACAAAAGACACACCAGAGGTTAACTTCCATGACAGCATGATGGGGCAGTACTCCCTTACAACAACCTCACCGGTTAAATTCTCTATACAAGCCAGTCTGGGAGAGTAACCTCAATCCCTTGTTGATATTCTCTTTAAATCAAATAATATAGCCTATAATCTATTTTGAATACACATATTGCATGATGATCAAATACATTTTTAGATTAAATACAAAAGCTTGTAGACTCCAGAGAGAAGGGACGTGGACACAAAGACATGATTATTTTTATCTTCTTGTGATCATGGAAGTTATGGAAGCTGATTGGAAAACCTTTTCAAAAGAAGAAATAATGCAGTCACATGGACTTGCAGCGTAATACTGAGGATCACACACACATCTTATTTTTATTTCCCAGTCTCACAGTCACTTATTGAAATATGTTTCTGCTATTTATATACCTAATAAGTATTCTGGCTCTGTAACAGCAGACAGAAATGAGGCTCTGCACAAAAGTGAGCCAATTATAATTTCATGAAAATGAAAAGAGATGAAATATACTCTTTCATAGCCTAGTATAACACTGTATATATGTAATAGTATAACACTAGCCTAACACTGTATATATATATATACAGGGATACATTTATAGGGGATAAATTTGTGTACAGGATGGAACAGAAGTAATCAAGGAAAAAATGTGCTTTCATCTGCTTTTGACCTAAATATCCCCTGTGAAACTACAACGGATCTGATAATTTGCCTGAACTGAAATGTGCATGTAGTTGGAGGCTAAAGCTTTTTAGAAATTAAACAAACAAACAAAAGAAAAAAAATCAATTCTGCCAGATCAACAATCACAGAAGTGATTAGCTGTGAGTGGTGTTGTCTGTCATACAGCATGTAGGTGGCATTTCAGAGAAATGAAACTACATATAGAACTTCCTGGAAGTTTTATATGTCATTTCTTTAATGCATATGAAAGAAAAATACAAAAAATGACAGAAACCTATCACCAGCTACGCCCTCAAAAGCAAAAGGCATTATGGGAACAGTGACACAGGGAAAACTGCCTTCGCTGTTGACATGTTACACAACATACATTTGCTTCTCTCAGCTCTCATTGTCCTGTTTGGGCTTCCAAGATGCACTTGCAGCCTTAAAAATATGATCTACTGTACATGTTTCAATTCTGGTCCTGTAGCAAAGTATGGAGAACATGGTGTCATTTTTCAGCTTTAGAGAGCTTTTGTTTCTAAGCATTTCTGACATCGATATTCAATTGTTACTTAATGTTCACAAAAATATTGCGGTTCCAGTGTGTAGACAGTGACTGGAGATACTGTGGGCTGACTGTGAGAAGTCAGTGGCGAGTTGTGTTCATTTCACATCAAAGGTGCCAGCATGAAGGTGACCTTGAGGTTAAATGGAGGGTCTATTAATGGACACACTACGCAACACCCCATTGCTCTTTCTCCAAAATGTTTGCACTCTTAAGAGGTCAGATCGGGAAAAGGAGAAGCAAAATCAACTATATCAAACTCAATGATAAGTCATCACACTTAAACGTAACATTTTAACACTTAGAGAACAAAATTACGGACACAATTACTAAACACCTGCAGCTACTGAAAGCCAATAACCTCCAGCAGTGTGACGATTAACTTACATCTCTTTGTTGTCATGTGTGCATGCGTACTTGTGACATCTTTATACACCCACTCAGCCAGCTATTCGCCCGTCATGTGACCATTCCTTAAGATGATGTAACAGTCGCTGCCTGGAGAACAAACCTCTCCGTAAACGCAACCTGTATTCGACTTTTCGTAAACCTCAAATCCAATCTTTACCTTGTAATATATGTTGCTGGTGATTGTGCAAGCAGCGTCATACTCAACAAAGTCTGCAACACACACACACACACAAGCACGTACACACACATCGCCCATGCCTTGTTCTCATCTAATCCCTTCTCTCATTCATGCCCCTCCATCTCCCTCAGACCCTGCTTCCCTAAAATGGCTCTTGCATTAGCCAGATCAGGTGGAGACGTTTGGGCCTTAAAATAGTTCATACATGCATGAATGTTTCATAGAAATTTCTCTCATAACTCTTTCCGTATAACATCAGAATATGGTACAAATAATGGGAAACTATATTCGGCAAGGAATACATTTTTCTTCATTTGGACTTTGTGATTAATATGGTCTGATGAACTGTCATAACAAGGAGTGAGGTGACAAAATAATTTCGGATATGTGCCAACTGGAAGTCTGTAAAAGGGAGGAGAGAGATCTATAATTAAACAGTTGAATTTTATACTCTACTTTGCCACACAAGGTTTCTCACAAGATTTCTCACACTTCAACTGATAGAAATTAGTTGGTGAGAAGAGCTTTTGGAAGGATGGGACAGATAAAAACTTAAATAGCTTTACCGCACCAAAAAAATAAAAAAGTCCTAATATCAAAGTTAGGGATCTATGGTTATCCAAGTACAGGTCTCTGGACAAAATATTTGTGAGGTAGAAGATTTCAAAGAGGATAATTTGTAGATGACCATTTTTCCTGAAATAAACAGACCCATTTTGTTGTAATTACTAACCCAATATAATCCTAAATGAGACAACAGGCAGCAAGCAGCTGCCGGAGCACAGGAAATGTCTTTCTAAAAAACAGAAAAACACTAACAACATAGTGTGCTACATGAGTTTAATTCTAACAATTGTATCAATGAATACATTCAAATTGAAAGAAGATTGTGTCAATCGATATCTTAAGAGGATTTACGTTGCTTCAAATGACTGTTACATTTAAAACAAGATAGAAAATTTGGTCACAACAAAGTTTGCACAGTCATAAAACTGTGAAAAGCACTGAATCATGTAGGTGCACACTTACGTTGGCTTGGATGCCTCTGCTTGGTCAGTCTGGAGTTTCTCACCTCCCTCCACCTCCATGGTGCAGTAAACAATCCTGTTCGGAGCCAGAGACTTCAGCCCCTGCACTTCCATAATCACCACCTGGGAAGCACAGAAAGGTTGCCAACAAGAAGTGATTCATCTCTTGAAGGGGGTCATGGAGCAAAAAGGTTCATAAGCAGATGAAAGGGCAGCAAATCCACCAAGATACACTATCCCAGCTACAACTACTATTTATACGTACAGCCTGTTTTTTTTAAAGTGTATTTGATTTTATTATAGATTCCTGCTGATTATCTACTAACAGAGTCTGTAAAGATTCAATCCATTGTCCCTGGACACAGTAACTCTATCCTCCAAACTGCTTGAAGGCTTAATCTGCCATGCAAAGTCTTATATCTACTTTTTAACAGCTTGAAGAATATTATGTATCACTGCTATTGCCAGGGGTAACTGTTAGATAGCAAAAGTGAATTTCAATGGGACAATCTGAGGCCAAAAAGCACAGTCAGGATAAGAGTTCACTTTCCATATGAGCTTCTGTTTAATGTACTGTCTACTGTCAACTGGATATTTCACTCACTGCCACTGTCTATTTACTGTTTATTGTTCCAGTCATCTTATACTGGCATTCTGCATTCACCTTGATAAGTATCTAAATTAAACAAAAGAATAGAAAAATTGTAAAAATGATCATTTCTCATCTTTAAAATATGCTAAGAATAGTTCATGATATACTACGACATTCTTGACATGCAATCCTGAATAAGAAAATATGGTTAGATTAATTATCTTAATTCAAATAAGCCTTTCACAATGTAAAAGATGAGCAAACACACGAATACAAAATGTATCCCCTGAACACAATTATTCGTAGTCTTTCCATTTACTCATCTTTTAAATGGACCAGCCACCAATGACCTCTTACAGTTTACATGAAGCCACTTAGGGATTTCCTTCTCTGGTCTTTTTCTTTTCCTTAAACCATTATTTTCTGTTTGGATTAACGTTTCTGGCTGATGTCCTGATGAGAAATACCCGACCCTCATTTCTTACCACCTTTTAAAACCCTGAGAGATTTCTTTATCTATGAAATCACTTTTGGATCCTGTGAATTCTTCATTACCTTGAAATAGCCAGTGCCTCCAGGAAAACAGCTCCACAGCTTCACACCATGATGATATTTTATTTTACGGCTGGTTAAAAGCTCTTCTCCATCTTTTAAACCCTACGCCTGTCTCAACTGAAATCAGGTCATCACCCCAGATAAACTGTTGATCATCTTTGAACATTTTTGCAAAGCAGTAGTCCTCTGTTAAGTCTGCTTTATTCCGATAGTGTTGTACCCCTTTGTCTTTTCCTGTGAAGCCTTATGAAGTGCAAAGCTCATGGCACAGGCTGAACCCTCCCCCTCGACATTGCTGCAGGTCAGCCTGAAGCTCATTTAATAACGTGTGCTTTTTTTTCCTGAATTTGCAATACCACCTTCTTGGATGCCCACTAATGACTTTCTTTCTGCAGAAGTACCAGACTCCAGACACGGTTCCAAATTTTAATGAATCTCAAACTTCTTCACAACATCACAAACTGATGAAACAGCGTTTTCCTCACCCTTCTGGCAATTGCCTTGTGGTCTTTGAAATAGTTTTGGATGACCGCATCTGAGATGTCCTTTTTGTAGTGGAAAACTGGTTGATCTGCTTTTTAAGGACATCCTAAATGCTGTATCCGAAAAGCACTGAGGTGTCACAATAACTCTGACTTTGACTTCACCATATATTTCTGTTAAGGGTTTTTTCCCAGATAATAATTCTGGCAGTTTTGGCAACATATAAAACCAAAAAAAACATTGAAAAACTGAATACTACAAAAAATTGAATATTGAAAATTCTATTTCTGAAGCTATTTTTTTTCTTAATCTAAATTTTGCTTGCCATTGAGTGAAAAAACAGAAAATTGGGGTCACTGTTTGGGTGGATTTTGCACTTCCTGATTCTAAAATAGCACCACATCACAAGACGAGGTGTGACTGCTCTCTGTGCTGTGGTGCTAGCTCATCTCAGGCAAGCTGATAACAGGATGAGTCATATTTCCTGTTAAGGAGCAGGTAAAAGCTTTTGTTTTTTGCGTGTGTATGTGTCAGTCTGTTCTTCACACAGCATCTGTTCAGAGCCCTGAACAGCTTTACAGTCTGTTTCTAAACTTAGTCTGGAGCAGAGAAGCAACGGAGCACACATTTTGATTGATATGTTTTGTTATCTTGTACATTGTGACACCGCCTTTTTTATTTACTGCACCGACATCAAAAACTATTTGCATAATTTTTATTCGAAAAATCTTTCATTGTGAGCTTAGCCAAGAGAACATTTCCTCTAAAGCTCAAATCAACTTTGCCACGCCTGAGTCTCTCATTCAAACACACCCAGCCTGGATCCTTAAGCGTCACAGTACCTCCAAAGTGAAGGACAGCACCACATCAGATTTGGACAGTGTATTCTCATCCTCCTGGCCCATGTCGATGATGGATGTGTTGTGGCCCCGTTTCAGCTTCTGGAGTTTAAACTCCCCACCCTTGGACACGGGCATGCTCTCCAGATTGGCCATCAGCTGATTCACTGAGGACTTGAGCTCCTCGATGTACATGGCCTCCATCTCTTTAGACACAAATTTGGGGAACTTTCCTCCCTGCTGACGAAAACAGGACAAACTCATCAACAGCCACAGACAATTTCTAAAAAGTTGAAAAATTCAAACAATTTCACTATCCAACGCTTTACAATTTACACATTTTTATCTACTGTATATTATTTGAGACAGTACTCTGGAAGTGGTTGGAAGCTCACACCGAGTTGTTGATACAAAATGTACCATATTAGTGACATATTAACTGTATAACAAAGCATATTAAAAACACTCTGAATCACCCCCGCGGAGTCTGACTCACCCTGGCAATCTGGTCTGCCATCTGAAGACGACCATCCAACTCTCGTCTGATCTGTGCAGCCTGTTCATCCAGGTTGTCCAACTATTGAGAAACACAGAGGAGAAAGTCACTTACTTTAGTTGGTTATTTTATGTACCTGGCATTATTCAAAAGAAACAAAGGGTCAGCATCATCCGATTTGCCAATTTATTCAGCTCATCAAAGACTGGGATGAGATATTTTTACAGAAAAAACAAACAAATATTCTTACACTAATTTAAAATTTGAGTCAAAAGTTAGAATTCAATTCAAAAAAAGTTTTCCAACTTAAAAAGTGGAAAACAAAAAGTTGAAGACAAAAAACTGCAAAGATGACTAAATCTTTCAAAAAGCTCTGGTGGATGTAGTTTCATCTTTGAGAGCTCTGTGAAACTGTTGTAAATTATTAATGATTTAAACTTCATTTAGGCAATGTTTCCATAGCCACATGCACGCTTTCAGCTAAAGCTGCCGGCACAAGAATAGAATTAAGAAACATGCCTTTCATTAAAAAAGCAAGCAGTTAATTTGTGAGTTCTCAGTAGTTTCCTTCTTCATATTCAGCATATTACTGCCTGCTATTTGGCAGCATTAAAGATTATTCTGAGGGGCAAAAAAATTATTTTTTACGCAAAATCTTCAGGATCGGTATGGGAATGATAACTGACGGAATATAAAGACAAACAAACAAGACAAACAACCTAAAAACAGTCTGTGTGACTTGTGAACAAACATTTTTTTTACCCAAAATCAGTATTTATGCTGGACGGTCATGGTAATGATAACTGATCAAATCTCAAGACAAACAACCTAAAAACAGTCTGTGTGACTTGTGAACAAAACACTGCTAAAGTCTGGCCTCAACAATTAGTTTAAAAACAACTCAAGATAATCCATCCATTCCAAATTGCCCTTAGCAGTGAACGTGAGTGTGTGCTTGTTTGTCCTTGTATGTCTTGCGTGTGGCCCTGTGATGGACTGGCGGACTGTCCAGGGTGTAGCCCGCCTCTCGCCCATTGACCACTGGGACACGCTCCAGGTCCATTAGGGAAAAAGTGGTAACGATAATGGATGGATGGACAAGTCAAGATTATACATTTGTCTAATTACAGCAAAATTTCAAAGCTTTAGGTTTAACATTTATGTCCATCATGACACAAGCCCTGTACCCCTTAGTCAGTGCAGTCTTGAAATATTAATCACAAAAAACAATGCCAGTGTACACTTTCTATTCCACCTCCCTCCGACATGTGACATTAAAAACATGCCTTTGGGCAATTAGTTTTAATTAAAGGCCTTCAGTGCCACAACCATCACAGAAGGTTTTTCACATTACACTGTGAGAACAGAGCAGTTAAACATCTAAGGCGACATTGAAATAACAAATTTAACTGAACAAACACTAAATAATGTATAAATCAACAAAAAGAAGAGGAACTGAAGGGATCAATTATAGATTTTGTTAGAAGGTTACACATCAGATAAACAGTTTGTTTGTTAGATTACAACAGTAAACCCAAACTAAAGCGGTTATTCATAGGATTAAGTCACACTACAACGTCCGTACGAGGATTCAAATGTGCAACCAAAGATTACAAATAACAAAAAGATCATAAGAATAACATGCTGTTATTTTATATATTGCCAAGTTCCATTTAAAAACTTGAGACCAAAGATACTGACATGGAGGGGCTGCAGTTGGAGGTAAAAGGTCAGTCCAAAAGGTGCTTATGCAGATTGGTGGCTACAAGAAGTTACACCAGGGCGTGAAATGGCTAATCAGAGCTACAGTTTGTGCTGCCTGGCAGCAATCACAGAAGCCTGGCGTGGTAGCACACATGAATAGATGGAAATCAAAAGGAGATTCATCTTTTGGTCACAGGAAACATGTCCCCATCACCACAGAGATCATGAATGCAATAACAGGGTTTTTTGGAAGCATCAAGTGTTCTTAATTATCCCTTTTCTCTCTGAATTCAATCACCAGAATGAAATATTCAACTTTCTGAAGTGGCCGTGTCGAGAGGGCACTAAAAATAAGGCCACAACCAATTACAGTTGTAAGGAAAATCTTTAACAAAGAAACAGAAACAAGTTTTGGCATTGTGTGACTAAAACCAGACGTACAGTCAATTTCTAACTCATATTTGAAATCTGCCTGTATGGAACCTTTTCAGATACAAGCACAAAAGCCTGACATCTGTGGACCTGACACCTTTAAGCCTGACATCTGGCCGGCAGTCATGAAAAGCAAAGAAATTTTGTGGGTCTCCGACATCAATAATGAAAAAGAGGTTCACATTTGCTGATGAAATGAAATCGTGGATAAGGCTGGTGTCTTTTTCATGCTCTCCTTTTATGCATGTTTGACATTCCTTCTGTTATTCTCCCAGAAACAATTTGTTCTTGTCAAATTGGATGTTGTGAGTCATCAGTCAGCTCTGTTAACCCTGTCAGGTCTGTGGCCTTATTGAGCCTTATCTACAGCATAGTTGCACCCAGAAGCCTGCTTCCAATTAATAATGAGAATTAAAACATAGTTTGTTGTTTATTTGCTTTCTGCATGTACAATGTAATTCTGTATGTAAAAGAAGAACATCCATTCTGAAGGAAAGAATCCCTTACAGAGGATTATAACCACGATACAATTACAATTACAATCTGCCAAGAATGACGGGGTTCTCGCTACATACTTGTAAAATCATATGATGTAATTTCGTTGCCCATTACATCACAGCTTTTATATCCAGCTTTCTACGTTTTCACTTGATAAACTGTTAATAGTAACTTTAAAAGTTTTTAAAAAAACATGCAAATGAAATATGGTGTGAAATATGGTGTTCTATGTTCTATGAAAGACGACATGTCTTAGTTTAAGTTTTTTGACTTACAAGAAAACTATCTTCAAATATCCGCCTGGTCCCAGCCGCTGAGAGCCTGATTCTATTTGTTACACGGTGCGCCAAAAGCCCCTTTGGTCTCCTGCTGCTGGGATGCCTGCCAGAGCTGACCTCCCCTGGCCTCATGGTATTTCAACCACAGTTATTACATTAACAGACCTCGTCTCTCAAGCTTTACCATATTGATTCTCTACCCCTTCCAGCAATCCTTTTTAAGAGAGGATGAGCTTATGTCCCAGTTCGGCCATTAACAGAGGGGGAGGATCTTGGTAAGTAGCACACGGTGGGGAAACAAGTGACACAGTTACAGTGGTGAGTATAATGAAAAACAGCCCATTTACAGGAATGATGCACATCTTAGTCATGTAATCAGCAGAAAAGCCATTTCATGATTGAAATGTGTTATGATGGTGATCACTCATGTGTACATTATGAATTGATATCAAGCAGATGTGTCTTAAATGGGGAACAGTAAGCATGAGCTCTTAAGTCTGGTGTGCTACCAGCACCGGCCCCTGAACAGCCACCCTTCTACATAACCCAGAGTCCTTGTTTAGTAGAGCACAAAATCAGACTTTCCCACCAGCTGCAGCAGAATGTCTGGATAAGAAGCACAGTGGTACTCAGAGCAGATTTGCCACGGAGTGACTCTTAAAGAGTTGAGAGCATTTTGTGATTAAAAAAACACACACAATTGTGAATTGACAGCAAAAATGCATCCACCACCATAATAGTGACTTACAGTGATTGCTGTGCCTCAGCAGTCCCCCCCCCTTCCCCCCACTGCTGGCAATCTAGTGTCAAAACACTCTGAGTAAGGTTCACTACTGGACGGTGTTGCAGGCGACATCTGACACATACAATCCCACAAGAAATGTCAGTTCCGTGCCTGGACTGTCAGCGTCTGACACAGCGTTTTTACCTCTGATGTGTGTTTTTGCGTCCTGTCATAAAACCCCCCCAAAACACAACAATAAAAGATGTTAATCCATATTTCCAGAAACATTCAAGTCGGTAAATTACATCATAATTGACAATGAGGAAGATACAAGCAGATAGAAGTGACGTGTGTAACCCCTATGTGCATCTATAAAATGTGAGATGGCATCAGTATCTTCTATTAAAGCTAACTTTGACTGAACAGAATTGAAAATAAAGAAGGTTATGGGGGTGGAAGAGGAACAAAGACAAGGCTCGTCTCTGTGGACTAATAACCACCAGCTACCGGGCCTCAGAGAGCTCAAACAAACAACTGCGACAAGGTCATTGTTGTCACTGACCCAATCCAGGTGGACAAGGCAAGCGCATATGAGAACAACGCTGGTAAAAAAAGTTCTCGCTCTATTATAGAGGCTTGCAGCAGAGGTGCTAAATGAAGGTGACTCCGCATTAGCAAAGTTGACAGCGGGTTAAAGGCGATGGAACAGAGGCAGGTGGGTATTTAACAGCCAGGCCACTGACAGATTCCCAGGCGTCCACTCGGACATTAGCGGCAGATACCAAACACAGCCACAGAGGGGATTCTTATTAAGAACAAAGAAATGGGCAGCAGGACTTGCTTGGACTCGCAGGAGTTGTAGCTAATCTATTTTTAGACTTGCTGCGTGTGCATGTGTATATTAAAAAAGGCAAAGGGAGATAAAGCTGATCTTTTGTGAATGTAGCATCATACAAGATGTTTAATTACTAAATGTTTTCAGAGGGCTGTCACTGTACTGTGTAAAACAGCAACAAAAGGAAGTGAAAATCTTTTTGTCTTACGTTTATGAAAAGGTGGGAATTCGTTGTTTCTACAACAGAGCTGTCACGGGCAAGTATTTTTTTGTTTTTTTAATTCCCTCTGTTATGAACATTGTCCAGATTCTATAAAAAGCGGATGCAATCAAACTTCCCCCTGCATTTCTGCTCTCTCAGTCAAGAGGTGGCTCGGCAGGCATGGCAAATGTACTCATCCTCTCCCAATCCTCAGTGCAGTGAAGAGGTTCCATTATGCAATTATATCAGCTACAGGCTAAACTAGGAAGAGCTCAGGCCTCATTTCCCAACTAACAGTTGCAGACAAGACAAATTAAAGAGGAACAGGAAGGGCCTCCTTCAAAGTCTGTCACTGGCAGAGCTGATCTGAGTATGGTATGCCAGTTTAGGGTGGTGAGCAGACGATGATTTATGGCTCTGCAGGGGGAAAACTCTCATCCTGATTTGTCCGGACCTTACTCTGACTCCCAGGCTCGGGTAATTCAATCATCCAGTTGATATTCGGAAATAATTTTATGCGAGTGAGAGTGCATTGGTCTGAATAAATATCTGGTTTAAAAAGCCCAGAATAACAATCTTCAAGGAGTGTTAACATCACTCTTGCTCAAACAATTTACAAGTCAACAGAAAATGTATTTACAGTCATAAAAGTCAATGAATTGAAGAACTGTTTTTCTATATTTTTATTTTTATAGCTTTATAATTTTAGTGAACTAAATATGAATTCAATTTGGGCTTACAAAAGCAGGCATTAGATGATTATTTAATGAATCAGTTCAACCGTTTAAATCTAACCCTAACTTGAGCAGAAATATTAATTCATTAATTCATTCATTCATAAAGAATAGAACTGGGGAATTGTTAGTGCAAATGTTTTTATTGCAGGATTAAACATACCTTGCCGGTGCCATAATACTTTGTTTATCTTTTTGTTTTATGTGTATTAATCAGTACTTTATATATTAACACTAAACAGAGGTGAGAAATGCTGACTTGTGGAGAGACAAGTGTGTCAAATAAAGCATTTTGGTCTGTAAATGTGTATTAAAAACAAAAAAGTTGGCTGAACCATTGCCACTGGGTCTTCTGCTCCCGTCATTAAGAATCAGCTTAGATTAATATCCATCTACCACAGGACAATAATACAACATATGAATGAACTTGGTGATTAAATCCTTTTCCATTGGACTCAAAAGCCAGATGTTTGCTGGTATTAGCGGTTTGTACTGGAGAGAAACAACTCTTTAACAAAATTTGTGGCATGCTATTGCTCTAATCCATGGACAGTGTAACATTCTGATGTTCAACTAGCACGAGAGTCCGTCTTCTACAGCTTTGTTTTTTAAAACTTTAGCTTTGTGTGTGACCCGAACACAGCTCATCTCGTCTCTGCCCTATCATCTCTTAGAAATAGGGACCATGGCAAACTACAAAAAGTACAAAAATTGAGTTCTCTATTGTTATGCGAATGTAGGGTTGCCCACTCGATGGTATTTTCTAATTCCAAAGACTTTTAACCTACACTAGGCCATTTTGTTTTAATTTATACAGCATGCTGGTCTAGGTTTTGATTTATACACAGAATACAGTAATAAATTGAATACTCTTTTTCAGCCAAGAGTGACCCAACTGAAATGGCTTTGGGTGCTTTAATGGCTGAGGCATTTTATACATAAATAAAAAAGGGTGGGTCTGATATCAGGGCTCTGTGAGTATTTTTGGTGACCCAATGTTAACTTCTAACTAGAATGATAACATTACTACATTGACCCTCTACAATGCTTTGACTTCTGAAAGGGAAATCATGCTGTGCAGATGTGTAGCCGCAAACCAGGTAAAATGTCTGTCTTTATTATGATTATCACATGTTGGTGGATCAAAGACAAAAGTTAAGAATCTCATTCTGCAATTTGTGTGCCTACTTTGTGAGATACACTGTAGTGGAATTTTGTGAAGTTAAAGGCCGTGTGCCAACTCCAGACCCAAAGAATATGGATAAGCGGGTCAGTGGATAGAGTATTATATGAAGAGTCACAGTGGTAGAGAGTTGAGATCATCACTAATCGTTTTTCACTGGTAGCTTTGCATACTTACACTTACAGCAGACCACTGGGATTATGGTATATATATGTCACATTGCTGCATTGCCACACAGCTGGACTGAGCATGTTCCTCTGTTACTGATATGCTGATTGTGTGCAGGGCAAACACACCCTAAGAACATAAGCTGCACATTTCAATAATGGTGTGAATCAAATAAGTAACACTGATAGAATACATTTGGTTTAGTTTAACCAAACTCTTTATTTTCGCCGTGACAACTTTTATCTTCTCTGTAATGTCACAATGTTCTGCTGAATTATTAATAATGTGTTTTTCTGTAATGTGATAAACTCAGAAGGAATTTTTATTTAATCTGTAGACTGACAATTAACCAGAAATCTGAGAATAACAGATTACATTTCTTGCGGTCTTGACACCAAATGCTTTTCTTCACTATTTGCCGGTCCTGTTTGGTCTTGCCACAGATGAATAACTGTGCTGCCATCAGGTAGCGGAGCACGCTCAGAGTTTGGTTTGCACAGCAGCAGCTGTACCAGTCTGATCCTCCTGTTAGTCATTTCCAGGGGCTGCTCTTACTTCAGTGTGAGACAAAAATAAGCCAGAGCTTTCTTTTGACTATCTGGATATGACTGCAAAAGTGTAAATCCCACGTGATGAAAGCTAAAACATGATAGCCTCAGAACCCCAGCCAATCCATGAAAAGCTTTAATTAGATGCCAGCAGCCCTGCACCATACTGACTGAAGAGCGGCATCTTGTTTCAAGACAACATTTTCTCATTCAGGAAGGGCAATATATGGTGGCTGATAGCTTCCTGAGAGATGCTCAAAGTCACCATAAGTACGTCTGGATATTTTCATTACTGCAGCAAACATAGATGAGACGATGCCGAGAAAAAGGGACGAACAATAGTTCAATGTCTACCATACATACATACATAAATTAAGTGAAAAAGGAAAAAGAAAAACTAGGTTAACCATCCTCAAAGGATTGGAAAAATACACACAGGATATGAGTTCTTCTGATATATTGCACCTCTGGTAACACTAATGAACCCTCATGCAGAACAGACTCTGTATAGATCTTTTTCCAGCTGACACATTCAAACAATACTGTCCAGTCTAATTTGTTTAAGAGAAACTCTTGCCATCTTCTTAAATCTATAGGTTAGCAGTTGCTGAGAAGGGACTGACACCTGAGCCAAAAAAAATCAGCATTTAAAAGCAAGTTGGCCTCAAACACACATATCCATTAGGGCTGAATAAAATGAAGATGAATGTTCTTTATACATTAAATACTATGCAGATGTATAGGTGTCAGAGGTTTTCTTCAAATCCTGTTGGGGTAAGGCTTTTAAATCAGACTTCAGTAGGAAGACACAAACGAATCCGTCTACTGAGAGCAGTTAAGAGAGCAAGGGGATAAGAGTTATGTCTGACACAATCATTCCAGAGTCCACTAATATCCACCAGTAATCGTAGCACATGTCCGTGATAATGAGATATTTCTGGACCGGTATCTGGAGATATATTACAGTGATATATTTTTTTACATTTTATTATTCATGGGATTTAACTTGTTAAATGTCAACTGCTAACAATTACATACAGTGAGTGGGCAAAATGAATTCAAGGTGAATTAATTTGTCAATATTTACATTAATACTTGGTACTTTGTGTAAGCATTCTCACTGAAGTGTCAAAGTGACTGGCTCATCATTCAGTAATGTAAAAGGCTTGTAAAAGGCTGGTGTTGTTTTCTCTTAAAAATTGAAGTGAAATTTAGAACATCTTACAAATGATGTGGACTATATAAGTGACACATTGACAAGGTGGACATGACTTAACTGTGAAAGAGAAAGGTTTGATAACTCACCTGACAAGCCTGATAAAGCAGCTGGTGCTCAAACTTTTTGATGCCAAGGATATTCTGGAACATTTCATACAGCTGGTCCTTGCTGAGGATCAGCTCAGAGGCTGCACTGGCTGTCATGCGTTGCTGAGCCTTTCGTGGATCCTCATCACCACGGGAGATGGTGTCAAACTTTGCCATCCAAGAGCTGAGCACTGTCTCCTTGCTCAGGCCATCAATCTCCGGAAGGCTTCGCACACGCTTCTCGATGTGCCTCTTAAACACTTCCCTGAAATCATTGGCGGAGAAGCCGCCACTCTGGACCATCTTAGCCACACGGTCACTCTTCAGGAACACCTATGTTGTAAGAGACGCATGTCAGTCGTAGTAAACAAGCCAGTCCATTTTAATATCAGCTTTTAGATTGTTAGCTTCTCTGTTCCCATAGCAAATCTTATTTCAGGAAAGAGGACATCCAAAATAAACATTTAACATTAATTTAAGTGACGACACAAATATGAACACAATTTTTTATATTTCATGACATAGAAAAACATGTTAGCTTGTCAAAATTGAAATCACAATATATGGGATTTAACGAAAGCAAAATTCTATGTTGAATAATTATAGGCTTGCATGTGTTGCTGTTATTTTGCAAGAGGCAGAATGCCTGTGTTAACAAGCTAACAAGGACAGAGGCGGGCAGGATTAAATTGTCACCGCATCAAGTGAAGAAACCATCCGAGCTGACGGCTTTGTCACTTTGACAGTCACATTTTGTTTTCAGCATTCATTATGGCTACAAAACAGCAGCCTCTGAAACATTTATGGTTCAATGTTACATTGCTCTGGTTATTTGCAGTATGTTAAATTGAGAAAAAAGGTCAATATGACATCAAATTGATATAAAGTAAAAAGACAATATATGAAAAAGAAGATAGACTAACACATAATAGGGTAGGAGCTTATAAACACCCCCACCCGAACAAAACTTTGCTTACACTTGCTTATTGTAGTTATCTAGGGCAGTGTGTGTCAAACACATTCAGTTGAAGTTAGTTACTAGCTACACTGGTTTCATCTACTGCCAAGCACAGGCTTTAGAATCTGGTATTATACACGACTTTTTACAAAGACCATGACAGCTAATTGAAAATTAAAAGACGTTAAAAGGTCTTTTCTCACCACAAACCAACACCAAGAACTACTGGTACAGGACAAAAGCGTACACAAAAAGCAAATAAACCCTGTTCAGAAGGCGAGCAGCGTCCATGACCAACTGTCTCTCTTGTCTTTTCTGAGTTTAGCGCTTCGTCGCCTCTGTTATTTTCCATCAGAGCTGTTTTTTCAGACAGTTCCTCATGTTTTTCAGGGATTGCTGAATTGTTGCTGAATGTTGTGAATGACATCTGTAGTAAGTTGATGTGCCCTTAACTGTTCAATCTCTCAGCTCATCAACAATTAATGTGTTATTACAGAAACTTGTACAAAACATTTTAAATATAAGCTACTTGATATTGAAACCCATAATTAAAATCTTTATACATCAAGATAGATGTTGGATGATAAATATAAACTAAATATTTATCTGCCTTTATCCAAACTATTTTTTTCTGTTTTTCACCTTGCTGAATGATTAATAGACCATTTGTGTATGTGCACAGTGTACATCAGAGTCTGCAGTTGGAAGTTGTCTTTGTGGTGTTTTCAAAGGCTAATGTTTTTTGCTCTGACACTAAGGACAACAGGAGACACGGTAGCGGGGTCTGCTGTTTTCACTTGCTCTGGGTGTCAATTTGGTCCTCAGAGCTCTAAAACATCCTGGAACCATTCTTTATACCCCATTAAGTGTTGTGTTTGATTCCATATTTAGCAGACATCAAATAGCTTAATACTCTATCTCATAATAGTAATTTTGTAAGAAGATGTTCGGATTTGTTTGATCTGCCTCTAATGATAGATGGGATGGAGCTCAGTATCTGAGCGAGCATGATAAAACCTCTTGTTTCAAACTTTTACTTACCAAGTTAGAAAATGTATACATTAGACAAGTCATCATTTACACTGTTCAGAAATCATGCAAAAACAGAAATATTTCTGTTTTTCTATCGCAATTTTGGCTCTGAACAGATTCCGATTAATGCATTGCCTTTTATGCTGTCAGCATGGAAAAAAAGGACTTTTTTATCTGCAGATTGAATAGTGAGACTGGATAAGATGGCTGTGTGAACCACATGCTCTGACTCATAATCTGTGCAGTGAAAAGCTTCAGCCACCATTTTGCCACTCAGCCTTCTGAATTCAGGCATTTTGACACACAATACCAAACAGGACTGTGTCATGCTTGTTGAATTTTAGATCGAAAGCTGGTTTGGAATGTCTCTCAGAATCAAGTAAGATATATAGAAATGCAGAAAATGAACACTGTACGTTACAGCTGTAGATTTACATTAAAAGCCAAACAAATGCATTTGCGCCAAAAAAATATCTGTTGATGGTGCAAGAATATATTAAATCATTTCAAAGCTTGTATGTATGTAAAGGGCTGCATGTAAGTATGTGTACATAGAAAGTGTACTGTGAATTTGAATGCCATGGTGTGTCATTACCTCATAGTAACTCTGCACAGCGTTGATGAATGCCTCATCAGCTACAATTTGCGTTTCTCCATTGAGGAAGGCCTGGAAGCGATCCTTGGTCTGCTGAAGCTGCTGCTTGGTTATCTTTGGAGGCAAGGACAAACAGTACAGGAAAATTGTCAAAACAAGCACATCTAGTTTAAACTACATATCCACCCATTTTGTAACTGCATACATTAGTCCGCTGATTTCGCTTTAAATCAGTTCAAAAATTATTTTTCTCTAATATTTCCTTCATGTCCTCTTGTGGGAAGAATAAGCACTTGTTCTTATTCATGATACATTTACTTTTTCATCTCATTTTGGACAGTGATCATCCAGCAGTTGAATAATGGAGAACTCTATGCTATAAAGCTCCAGAACCTTATTTCCACCGAATTATTCACAAGCTCATTCTTTGAGTAATTTCCGACCAATTTTGACAGCTTGTGAATGATTGAATTCATATTAAACTGGAAGTTTCACATTTCTCTCTTTATCTACTGAGCCATAATCACCTCCTAGTCCCCCTCTATTGTGACCATTTATATGGTAACTCTTTTTTATCATCTCTCAGGACTGACACCCCACTTTGTCTGAAATCTTCCATCTGGACAACCTCCTCACCCATAGCCTGACTTTCGGAATCCACCATCACACACAGATGCACACAGCTGAAAACTGCTCCAGTGGGCATTGTAAATCATGGTCCAACGAAGCTGAAAAGACCTACAAATAGAAGAAATGCCACCCTAACATCCCTCCACTGTGAACCTCTAGGGTTTTTGTCTTACTACAGAAAACATGTCAACACATACTCAGCAACAAAGACATTTTTTAAAAATCTACAGGAAAAGATGGTCAAATTAACTTTTTTGTGTATGACTTAACGTTTGTTTCAATATGTCATCACTTCAATTCTACCTAATTAACGAGCTAATGTCCTTGAAAACTGGCTTAACTAGTCATCCAGGTTGTTATTGACTTCGATCATAGCATACATGAAACACACCATGTTTTGTATAGGTAAGCGGGTGCTGCAAAAACTTCGACTAAAGCCATTGTCGTCACTCAGTTGATCCTGCAACACCCTGTTTAATGTATGGAAACCAAAACCAAAAACCAGAAGTTTAATCTTTTTGCACCAATTTAACAGATCTGACAAAGCAAAATTGGTATAACTCTATTCCATAGATGTTTGGGTGAAAAGATCCATACTACGCTCTTTAAAATGATGAGACACTGACAGCCAAGACTCTCAGGTGACATTACTCTGAGATAAAAATCCAATTTAGAGTTTAGTAAAGCCATCCATTTGACATGCACTTTATGTGCAATCCAACATAATAATTAAGATGCATCTAAATATTTTCACCTATTAATTCCTGACATGTGCTGGTCCTGCACCTGACGTGTGGTATATTACCGCCTCCCTGTTTGGTTCAGTTTTGAACATCACATAGGTCTGGATTGACATCCCACATGAGTACTGAGTACTGATCCGATGGTTAGTTGATTTACAATCTCCCCTTGACAACTGGCTTTAATCGTTTTGTTCAAGCTGCTGTAAGATCAAAGAAGTACTGGAACCTGCTGTTAGTTAGTGTGTCTGTGCATTCAGCAGTTCACTTCTACTGACAGATTTTAGCGTAGGAGTGAGATGCATAAGTACCACATATCATGTGCCTGTGAGGCAATTTCATCACCATCTGCGTGTTCATCTTACTAACCCAACCCTTATTTGATAGTGACAGATAAGGTAAGTTTCAACAGCAAAAAACAGGGTAAATATTACTCACAAGAGGTAAGTCGTGACTACTACATCTGTCAAAATAAAGTTGTTGATCTGAACAAGTATCGTAAGTAATTTCACCTAGACGTCAATCCTACTGTATGTTGTGGTAGAGGGAAGGTGGATGCCTGAAGTAAAGCATAAGGTTCCTCTCTCAACACAATGTGGCTCATCAACAAAACATCAGAGATCAATGCTTTTATTCCTGCTTCAAGGTCTCATGTTTACTCATTATTAATTTAATTTACATATAAGAGCAGGATGGGAAGATAGTTACTCTACATTTTAATTGACCTTGTTGTTCAATGAACATCCCAATGCAAATAATCCATTGGGTTGTTCATTAAACAACACAAAAATATTTAAATGAAATAATAACATGTGTGTGCTAGACTCCTTAACAATTTCTAAAGATGAGGCTACAGGAATCATAAAGCTAATCATTCCTTCTCTTTGACACCTTCCCTTTCCTTATACTCAGTCTTGGGAAAACGCTACAGTGACAATGGTGCTATGAACCTTAATTATTCATTCAAACTTTAGATTTCTTAAAAACACTTGAAAAAAAATAGTGCACTTACAACTTGTAGAAACCTATATCTTTTAAAGTTCATCCTTTAAAGATAAAGCAGCATTAACGGTGTGTAGACTAAATTGATTTTTAGCGATGTTATCAGCGTATTAATGACCAGCTGAAATTGGAACTGACACGATTCATCGAAGATCAACTGACAGAAAATTGATGAAGCATTTTTTTCAATAATCGAACACTACCTTGATACATTTTTTAGTTTCATTTTCATTTTCACCTCTTCTAATCTTAGTCGTGTCAGAAATAACCCTCATATATATTATCAGCTCGTTTACAATAACCAAGTAAAAATAGGATTATGACACACTACTGACAGAATATTTGTCTTTTACATAAAGGTTTAGCTATGAAAGGTCAAAGCTACTTTGGCTGCTTTAGACAGTTTCTCTTGACCAATATGACTTCAACTGACAGCACTGCAAGCTGTTAAAAATGTATTTAACGCATCTCTGTTACAGAGGCACACCGCAGTAAACTAGGTGAATTGTGTGCGTCTTCTCACAAAGACACACTTTAAATGCATTAAGTATTTATGGCTTTCAGCTTCAATGCTTTTCATTTCATTGCTGATTAGAGAACTGTGCTGATTAGCAACGTAGCTGATGGATGAGAGAAAATGCCTCCATTTTCATCAGTATAGCCTGAATCCAAAGACATACTTTCCTACTTTGCTCATATTGATTCTCTCTCTCTAGCTCTTATCAAGATTGCAGCGTTACAAAGTGATTCATTTGCCTTCAATAAAAAAGGCAGAAACATTAATCACCCGTCACATATCAATGGAGAAGAAATGCACATGTACAATAACTTCATTACAGTTTCAGCAGAGGATTTTGACTTTGAAGTTAAGCATACTACCTGAAGAACATTTAATAGTTCCAATATGTCTGTAATTTAGGTCCATTAAAAATAGATTTAGATAGAAAAAGTATGTCTTTTTAATGCAATCTCACTTATTGAAAATGTGCCTGGCAATAACTGAGCATAATTTTAAACGGTTTGAATTGAGCCTCCAACAGAGGTTCATGCTGAGTCTCAACAGGCACATATGTTAACACTAATGGCCCTTTGGAAAAATGGAAAAGCACTTTTCTGAATATATAACCATTTTTCACGATTATATCGCAAATGGCATGCAACGAAATTATTGTCATTTTTGTGGAAATTAAAAGGTCAATTTTTGGTTTTCTAATCTTTCTGCAACCCTGTCTCATCAGAAACTGGAAAAACCAACAGTTTGTGCAAACACCCAATGTAAAGTACAATATGAAATGTTTGTGATGCAACATGTACAAGGGATTTTACCTGAATGAAATTTCTAATCAACAGGTCATCAGCTTTTGAGGTGGCTTTATCAGCTGTTCCTGCAATACTGACTTAAAGTCATTAGCTAATTGAATGCAGTGTACAGTACTGTAGCCACTGTGTGTCAGTGCAGTAAAGCCTCTACTGTGCTGACTCATGCGTAAGCTTCTTCTGGAAGTTACATAACGTTGATAGGATAAGTTGAATTAGGCTGTTTTCCAAAATGAAATTGCTGGAGAGTAAATGGCAGTTTTCAGCAGAGTCCGTGGTAAATGCAGGTTTGATTGATGCATGTTGAATATATCTTGATTACACCTTAGATATAGGACTAGGGATAAGTTCCAGAAACATGGAACCGTTTGTCTGACTTATTTCCAGAGGATTAACTTTATTTGCTTAATATCACACCATACCAACTTAATGCTTTTCAATTAGTTTGCACACAATACCTTCCCATTACATCTTTTAGTGCTAAGCAAACCTGGCCTAAGCAAATCTACTCACCACAAAGAGCATTATATCCATGCAGTAGATAATAATGAAGGCCCACTTGTGAGTAAAAAGCAAACACAAGTATGGGAACAGGCACTCTATGACAGCTGCACAAATTCTAGTAGCAGTATTGACTAGAGCACTAAACTACAACTACACAAGGCAGATGCATAAGGTATTATCCCTGACCAGACACACCCAAATGTTGTGAGAGTAAATATCTGCCCAGTAGGCTAGTAAACAGCCAGGTGTATAGACAGATCATCTTACACGGCAAACATGAATCTAACAAAGAGCTTCGACTCTTTAAACTGGCCTTCTCACTGTGGCCGCTGTCTTTCTTTGTGGTGCTGCTGATGAATCCAGAAGAACACTTTGTTCACATCCAGCACAGCTCCATCTTTTAACATTCATCTATCATCACACCACCAATTCACTAGCAACAGACACACAGCTCAGCTGCTGCCGTACTGTGCTCAGTCAGCTACTGAGAGTGAAGTAATTGATGTGTACATGAAACGCCCCATGAACTAATGAGGATGAAGTAGACTGGACAATTTGGTCCAAAAACAAAATAATCAGTCCTTTGCATAGAAAATATGAAACACTCCAGTAAAGTATCCACAAGTGACAGTTTTATGTTTATTTGATAGTAATTAAATGCATTCATGTTAATGTACAAATAATGTTGTATGTTTTTTTTGTATCATTCAGAACCTGGTGTTTAGTAGATGTGTACAAATGTCATTTGTATTTTTAAGTGCAATTTGCTAACAAAAATTATGTCAGCAAATGGCACCTAAAATAATAAACCAAATATTGATTAGTTACTGATTTCAGCTTCCTGAAAGTCACACATACACTGTTAAAATTACTAAACAAATATGAGCTGCCACCCTTTATACACTGACTTTTTTCTTCCCTAAATCTATAGTT